CCTTCATGAAGATGAAGAAGACAATGACATTGACTTAACTGGATTTGACATTTTACCTGATGTGGAACCTATTATGGAAAATGATGAGCAGATTGCTCATGATATTTTTGATGTATTACCTTTTTCTTCAAGGCCAGACACTGTACCAGAAGAAGTTACAGTTGATGCGAACTCTGATAATGGCCAACGTACTAGGCGAAGGCCTAGATATTTGGATGATTACATTTGATTTGACTGTGATAATGCTTTTAACAATTTATTGTTTTGATTTAAGATAGACATTTCATTTGAGTGTACAGTTCTTTACAATTTCTTCACATTTTTATGGATTTTCAATTTTGAAGATGGAAAATTTCTTTGTAATTTCCCATCTGAAAAAGGGGGGAGTAATGAGACGACCACGTCTATAACCCTGTTTTATTCTGTTCGCCCATATTTATTCTTACCACTTGAGTCACTAGTGAGCAGCTGTGTAACATTCTCTTTCTGCTGGTTTGTCAGACTGCCGGCAGTGTAGATATTTCCTCTGTGTATTAGGTTATTATTATAGTGTTTTAATGCCGTAAATCTATGTAATTCTTGTTGTAAAATGATATTAGTAGTACAGGCAGGGTTGTCCAAAACGAATCGAATATTCGAATATATTCGAATATCATAGTATTCGAATACCTTTTCGGCTGATTTTCGAATAATTCCGAATAGTAGCCACTTTTCGCCGTAAACGTGGTGTTTCGTTTTACGGGAATCTTCAAACGACTTTTTACGCTGTCTTACGTATTGTAATGACGATGAAATAGAATCGGCACTTTGATTGTTTATATTCTGTGCGACCGTACGTCGCATAGTGTTGCGACACATTTGCACGTTTGCGTGGGTGGACATTGCCGACATTCGTCTACGAGGCTTTTAATTTACAAATTCATTTCCATCACGTAGAAAAATTGACAATTACCGCTTTTCTAGGCCCAATTTTTCGGCCTGATTTTTTTTTTGGGGGCGTCTAATTGAGAAAGTATGTATTTTTTATATCTATGTGGCCTGCTTATTAATCTTCTCAAGCATGATTTGTGTAACCTTATATTTGGGTCTTAGGGTCTGCCAATAATGATATTTAATCGCAGGCCGGTTATCGTTACTGTTACTTTAAAGAGAAACATGGCCACCGAGTGAAAGTGATTTGTGACACTTTCGTTTTACCGATTCAGCAGAACACGACAGGGACAGGAAAACACAGCTGTGAAATAACCCGTGGACGTACAGTGTAGTACTTATCACATTCCAAAATTATTTTAACATTCGGGTTAATAGGTTGTCCAAAATGATTGCCGCTTTACAACTTAAATTTACCGCTCAATTGTTAAAAATAGTTAATTCTGTGAGTATGATTCTACCAAACTAACATGATCTGGTTCTAAACATATAAAATTATTAGCGCATATCACAGGGATACAATTTTTCTACCAGTCTTATTGGAGGCCTATATGGAAAAAACCCTTTTTTGAGTGCTAAAAATAGACATCGTCCTATTTGCTATGTGGACTTATTAGCCGGTAAATACGGTATTTATAGCCGTCATTGTTACCATATCCAATAAATTGGCACAAGTTGGAAAAACAAGTTGATTTATTAGAAAATAATTTCTGGCAAAAATTTTGATAACGATAGTTAGAAGTATCGATCCTTTACCAGGATGATTTTTTGTTGCGCAAAATAATCCAATCCATGACTGGTACCAGCATTTAAAATGTCATGTCGTATTAATTTAATTCCGTTCAACGTAACTCATGGTTGTATGGACAATCTGTGGACATAAAATGTGTGGTAAACTGACCGATATTATTAAATATTGATTCCTATTTTCATATTGAGAAAATAATGAAAGTATTAATACCAAATACCACGGGTATTTGTGGACATGAAATACGTGGTAAACTGCCCAATTATATTTAATTTTGGATTCGTATTTACAAAATAATAAAACTATTATAATTCTAAAATGCAACGGCGATCTGTGGCCTTAAAATGTGTGGTGAACTGCCCGATTTACCAACATTTGAGTTATGATAATAGAACTAAATTAACACGGTAGGGCATTTTAAATAGTGGTATCAGTCATGGATTCGAAGATTTTACGCAGCACAAAATCATCCTAGTAAAAAGTCCATACTTTTAAATACAAACCAATGGGAACCATTATCCAAATTAGTTCCCAAAAAGCGGGATAAAGTATAAATTCTTTCTCCGACTTGTGACAATTTTTTCGTGAGTACGAAAATAAGAATCAAAAACTAATTGTATTCGGCACAATATCACGGCAATCTGTGGACATAAATTGTGTGGCAAACTCGCGATTAATATTAATTTTTGATTCCTATTTTTGTATTTACAAAATACAACGGCGATCTGTGGACTTAGAATGTGTAGTAAACTACCCGATTATAAATAGTTTTTGCTTCCTATTTTCATATTTATAAAATAAAAAAAATATTATTACTCAAACATACAACGGCGATCTGCGGACCTAAAATGTGTGGTAAAGTTTCCGAATATAAAAATTTTTTGATTCGTATAAAAAATTGTCACAAGTCGGAAAAATAACTCATACTTTATCCCGCTTTTTGGCAAATAATTGGGATAATGGTTGATATTTAAAAGTATGGGCGTTTTACTAGGATGATTTTGTGTTGCGCAAATATTCAAATCCATCACCGATACCACTATTGCCGTATTAATTCAATTCTGTTAACATGACTCAAGGTATATAAAATATATACTGCAATAATCTGCAAATATGAAATGCTTGGTAATATAACTAGGTTGTAACTTGTAGATAGCAGTTATTCCATTACTTATTGTATGGAAATTCCTACATACATTTAGATAAGCTTCAATTAGTGAATTTTATTTTCGAAGTATTCGAAATTTCATATTTGGAAAAAATAATTTCGAATGTATTCGAAATAGTGAACTATTCGGTATTGGCCATCCCTGAGTACAGGTTTACTATTTCTCCAGTTTGGCATAGCTCTGTTCACTAGTTAGCTTGTATTTAACACTTCCGTAACTAGTCTATCTTCGCAGTTTATTTCCTGTGTGATTTCCGTATTTCTATGCGTATTTCAATGTCTATTACGTGTTTGTCGATAAGATAGGATTTGTGTTGTATCTTTAGTGTCATACTAGTTATTCTTGTATATCTAGGTATGTTTTACCCGGTTTTTAGTATCCCATTATAAGTAAATAGTTCACGACTGTGACGTCATAGACCAATTCCGTATCTTGTGTTTCGTATGTATCGTACGGTATTTGTACTGTGTTTTTCATGTTTTTATTTGTTTATTGTATTTCTTATTGGAGTATTTGGTTGTATTAAGTTCTCACAGGTGTATAATTAATCTAGTTAGTTAACTTAGTTACTCTGCTGTATTTGGAACCGCAAGAAGATTACTTTGTGATCGACATCTATAGCAATTACAACGTCCAAGAAGCTGGCAGAAAGAACCTGAGTGGTGATATCAATTTTGGTACGCCACACTTGTTTGCAGCATGTGTAGATCTCGCGATGAAGTTAGCAGCATCACATAGATTATAGAATGTCACATCCAGCCGAAATAGATACTGTTTGATGTGGTGTAAGTAGTTCGACAACTGTTTGTTTTACCACGCATTCGCCATTGCTGCTGGTGGTATTTTTACCTCCTGCTGCTTGACATCAAAATATCTTGAGAAGCACCAGAACCACATTTTGTGCTATGCTGTATTGCAACTCCGTAACCACTTTGATTAACCCATTTCCTTTAATCAACTGTATAGCCTTTTGCACTCTGCGCAGCAAAGAAATGATGCTAAAACACTTTCAATATTTCCGCCATGGATGAATACCATTCCCATTGAAAAGCCTGTGGACATCGCTTGAAGAGGAATATTCTGAGATCAGTGACAAAGCCACCAACTTACTGCTGATTATTTGTACAACCTAATGTGAGAAAAGCTTTTTCTCGTCAAGACCAAACAGGGAAATCGTGTGATAATCAACGCTCTACATTGCCTTGCGGAAACTACTTTAGAACCGCATTTAGCGCGTATGATATCAAAAAATTGCTGTTCAATCATCTGCTTTCGTATTGTATACTTTTGTCGTCATTAAATTTGTTGTTTGAAATGTTTTGTGTATTTGACATTATGGGTTAATTTTGCAGATCCATCGGTCCGCAAACTAAACTAAAAGGTTTAAAACCACTGTTCTAGAGCGACTGTCGTTACAGAATAGGGAGCAGCTTATAGAATGCGATTGTAGATTTAGTTGTTGATTATATTATGTAATGTGTTTTGTTTTTTGACATATTGGGTTGATTTTGAAGGTTGATCTGACCTCAAAATTAATTTTGAAATTTTACCGGTTCGCAAACTACTCTTCTATAGGGCTTGTCAGTTTACAGAATAGGTAGTAGCCTAGTAAATCATGCGATTGTAGATTTAGTTGTTGATTAGTTTATCCTATTTCAGACTAGTCTTGACTCAAGTCGTATATTATAAAATGATTTGTTGAGTGTGAACTTAGCTTTGTAGAAGAGTCTAATTTGCCGTCTCGATATACTGCCCAATGTTTCATTCGTATTCTAGCATAGCCTACTTATGACTGTTCTTTGAGTCCTTGCCAAAAGCAGTCAATTTATCACATACGCTAACTATAGGCCACAATCACTAGTTATTGGACACAAAATGGAACTATGGATCGTTTTGCCCTTTTGTATTATTGTTCTTGCTGTCATTAACTACTGGGCAATTTGCTTTAAAATTTTCAGTGCTAAAAGATTGTATTCGTTGGAAAGCCATTAGCCTATTTTATTTATTACAAATGTTTCTGTAATTACTCTATTACAATTAAGCTGTGAATAACTTTTGAACTATTCAGGAAATATGACAATTGTCGATTTTATTTAGTCTCTTTAGTCTAACCAGAGTCATTATTATATAACTAGTCTGGAAGCTCTCGCTTATTTGCATGACACCGAGTTGTTAACAGCGACATCTGGTGTTAGCGTGGGTTTTACACCCCTGTCGTCTGCTGGACAGTCGAATCATGCAGGTGATGTGTGATTGTTTTCAAGACATGTTTACGCATTTCAAGTTGCGCGAAGTTGACAAGATATAGAAAACTGAAATAAAAAGGCAAACTATTATTATTAAACATAAATATGGACTGTATATGCAGAAAAGATAGTCTAGAATCCTATCCTAAGCTACTGGTATCTCGGGTGCTGGTAACATTCGTTTTTCAGTTACAGAGGTAATTATGGTTCCAAGCAAGCATCGATGGTCTGGATCATACTACTGCATCCCTGGGTGCACAAGTTCATCTGGGAATGGTGACCATCTGTATCATGTCCCGGATGGTAAGAAGAGGAAATTTGGAATGCCTTCAAAAGAATGGACACAGAAGTTTCATCAGGTTTGTTTGGTATCGGCAATTTTACCGTTTTTTATTTTGGCTATTCAAAGCAAGGGCAAAGTTTATGCTTTGATTTCAGAAATAGGGTGTAGGCTACTGCTGTATGTGAAGTAATGAGTTTTCACGGTGTATTTTGTACCTTATTGTATTCTAGTGTTAGCCATTTATTAACTCACTTATGACTTCGACATATTAATTGTTAAGTAATTTTCTATTGTATCCAGGTTGTGCTTAAACATCGCTACTCTCCTAATTTTAAAAGCAAAGTTGAGAATGGGAAAGCTAGAATTTGTTCCGATCATTTCATAGATGAAGATATTCAAAGGACCAATAAAAAAAACTTGGATTAAGTTTGAACCATTACCCACAAAATGTTTGCCAAGAAAATCACATGAAGTACCTCCCTGCCCACCAGGAAGAATTGTTCTCAAATATTCATCTATAAATGACTGTTCAGCTTCATCATCTCAATCTGCAATTATTAACTACAATATAATTCACCTCTAATTCAAAATAATATTTTTTTCAGGTATAGCCATACAAATCGTGGTTTTGCTGCTTTGGAGGGGTTTATTCTAAATTCAAACAAGTGGTTTGATTGCATGAACTCAGGATTCCAGAATAAAAATGCTGAACCATCTCGCCAACCTTTTTACAACATCTATGATAAAAGATTAGAATGGCTTGAAAAAGATTTTCTAAAATATCTGGATGATTGGGAAGAAAAGGCATACGCATACAGTCGTCCATTAGTGGGAGAAGTTGATCGCCAGAAAATGCTGCTCAGTGATGCCACTAGAAATGCTTGAAAATGGCATCTGTTTCTTTGGCTGCGAGTGTTCATATTGTTTTGGACAGTGGTGAGAGCTATGTTTTACCACGGCGCACAAACCAAGACCCTTTAGAGAGCAGCGTTTCCCAACCTTTTTTGGTCGCGGACTATTTTCTCACAGGGGGAAAACCTTTGCGGACTCAAGGTGCGTTTATTGCAACCGTAGTCTGTGTGAAGAAGCAATAAAATCAAACACAACAAAATTTTAACGAATTTCAAAATCGGAAATTCGCCGCAATTACGCGTTCGTTAAAAGAGCCGAATATTTTATTGTATGATGGCCTTTTTTGTCGCACAATAGTCAATTCATGACAACCACAAGTATTTAAAATGTCTTTCAATTTTAACTTAATTGTGTTCATGGTAACTCGACGTTGCGTCGACTTACGACAAGATGAAAGCATTACTTCTTAAAAATGGCACGGCAGTCTGCGAACATTATAATGGGAGATTATATTGATTGCCCGATTATATTTAGTTTGGATACATATTTTTTGCGATCTTGCGAATTTAGTATTGTCGTTAGAAAAATCCTACTATCTGCTATAAATTTCGTCGGAAATCCGCAAGTGAGTTGTGAAATCCGATCGTTTGATTAGGCGACCTGTCGCGTCACCTGTTACCAAATTTTTGAATAGTAAATTGCTATAGGACCAGCCCTATTCAATAACACGTAATTATTGATTTGATTAATATTATGTGAATAAACTTGCTTTTTATGTTTCTTATAAATTCTACGTAAATCGTAACTTGGCTGATAGTAAAGTTTCGCAAAAAGGTTTGCGGCCCGCAGTGAGTTTCTGGCTCGTTGCGGACCGGTGTCTCCAAAATGTCGTGTTCCACGTATCCCACTTGTACCACGTGTCCCACTTGTACCATGTGTACCTCGTGTCCCACTTGTACAACGTGTACCAGGTGTCCCACTTGTACCACTGTTCCAGGTGTCCGAAGTGTCCCACATGTACCAGGTGTCCGAAGTGTCCCACTGTACCACGTGTCCTACTTGTACCTCGTGTTCCACTTGTACACATGTATCAGGTCTCCCACTTGTCCCACGTGTACCAGGTGTCCGAAGTGTCCCACTTGTATCCCTGTACCACATGTACAACTTGTACCACTGTCCCACGTGTACCGGTGTCCGAAGTGTCCCACTCGTACCACGTGTCCCACTTGTATCACTGTACAACTTGTACCACGTGTCCCCCTTGTACCACGTGTCGCACTTGTACCAAGTGTCCCACTTGTACCACGTGTCGCACTCGTACCACGTGTCCCACTTGTATCACTGTACAAACTGGAACCACGTGTCCCCCTTGTACCACGTGTCGCACTTGTACCAAGTGTCCCACTTGTACCACGTGTCCCACTTGACACGTGGTACAAGTGGGACACGACATTTTGAAGACCCCCCGTTGTAAACTCATTTAAACGCTCCGCGGACTCGGGTTGGGAAACACTGCTTTAGAGGCATATTTTGGTCACCAACGCGAGCGAGGTTTTCGTACTGGAAACCCCATCTTAAGTCAAATCCCATCTTAAACCCAATCTCAAACTCCAGATCAATAGATGTTGTAAAATGAAATAGTAGTGTTTTTGTTATTGATGTTGCAATCAAAAATGGTTGATAAATTTCTAGAAGCTGACTTCTTTCTGCTTAAATACATGCATTTGGATTTATATACAAATAGTAGTCCATTTTTTTTAATTTGTTTCTAATTTTAGTGGCTGGCTCGCCTCTGCTTTAAATAATAGTTAATGTATCCAAAATTATATTTTTATATGAATATTAATTGATGTTTTATTTGTCAAAAATGCCTTCTATTTGAGAGGCTGAATTCAAATTGAAAAGCTTCCCCTATCCCTCGTATAATTTTATTCCAATAGTTGTTTTAAAATTAGCTATCAATTATTGGTCTGTGCATTTGTCATTTTTCTCTACCAGGTCTGTGTGATTATTCATATTTGAGTCAAAACTCCTGTTCAGCTAATGGCTAATTTTTATTATAGTGTAATCAAGAGATTTTTTGGAAAAACAAGTTCATATGATTTGGGTCTATTTTTTCTTTTCGAAACGTTGTTCTGCAGTTCAGTCTTGTTCTAATAAATCTTCTCACAAGAATGGTCAAAATACTGGATTCACTGGGGCTGAAGGGGTTCATGTCAATATTTCCGATAATACGCCGTTCATCTATCACACTTTTGCATACTTGAGACCGGAATTTGCGTTCCACAGAGATTAGGAAGAGAACAAATGTTTCGGATAGTGATATGAGACTACCTCTATTGCGCGCTTCAAAACAATTGGGAAGATCACGCCCTGAAGCTTGGTTTTGGCACCAGTGAGCACATTCTCTACCTAGACGCTTTATGCCCCATATTAGCAATCCTCCAGCTAGGTACTCGGTATTTTTTGTCGGCTCCGGTTATTGACGTTTGCATGAATGACTCAGTTACTTGGGTTACTTGAAACACTTCTTTTATAATTCGGTGCTGCAGTTTTGATTATGCGTTTTAGGTCCAAATGAGAGATTTCAGAATTGTTCAAATATAGCTTTTGCAATTTTTCAATGTATTTAGATGTCATTTTACTTCTGGATTTCTCCCTAGAAATTTCCATCAAATCCGCTATAACTTCCGCCCATAGTGGTGATTCCTGATTTAATGTGATGTTCAAATCATTCATGCAATCTTCAGTGTCTTCTTGCAATCAACACTTCGGTAGTCGATTTCTACTACAGATATGCCCCATTTTTCTTCTATCTTTTCATCAAGCTGTAAAATATATAAAATCGGGTTTAAAACAGTGCCTAAGTGCTTGAATAAAGCAAAACAAATGTGATGTAGAAGTACTGACCAAATTTTTAGCCAAACAAAAACGGTCTCTACTTTCATATATTAAACTACGGTACTATAAACTCTTACTATTCATTCTTTAGGGTCAAAAACTATTTTAGTAAGCAATTAGTACTATATAACTCACGTCATCAAAAAATTCAAGCATTTCTTCCCCAGATAAATTCATTTTCATTCGAACTTTGAATACGGTTAACAGCGAGCAGCCCAAATTACACAGCAGACGACGGCGTGGTTATGAATTACCCACGCCAACACTAGTTATATATTGGCTGTGGTCTAACGTTATAAGAATTTCTGTAGATAAAATGTAAATTTCTGTGACAAAAATTCTTCCTACTGAATATCGATCGAATTTAGGCTGATTCTTGTCGTCGAAAATTGGTAGACCTAATATAGTTCCTAAAGACGGCGGTTGTACGGTATTATGGAAAGTTAGTTTAATTTCAAGGTCATTTCTAGTAGGATTGATTTGAAGTTGTCTCCTAATTTCCTTGAAGCACTTCCCTATTCACGAAAATTGATTCATAGGCATTTGATACTTTTGCTATTTTTTCCAGACTTAAGAAGAAATGTAGCAGCTATAGTCATAATCCCTTCATTTATACTACGGGAGTGATTTTATAATGATGTGATATTTATTTCCTGAATAAACTACGTTTTTTTTTCACAATTAATTAATTAATCTATTCCCAGCGATAGATCACCACAATCTAATTAGAAAACTTTTTTGTATTCCATATCAATGCCATGTGCCTCAGGCATAGAATGAACTCTTTCAATAATTCTAATAGCCTCTTCAAACAAGCTTCTCAGTGATTTCTTTGCCCAAAATTACGAAAAAAGAGTTTCCCTGTCTGTTTCACGACATAGCCTACATACAAAAACAATGACAATTGCGACTCGGACCAATTTGCTGTTCAGAAACGTTACGTTATCTTGCGAAAATGTACATGTTATCAGACAATATCATTGTATTCAATTCAATGTATTCGTTATTAATGAAGACGAACATTTAGATAATCGATATAGGGGTTTAAACTATTCCAATATTCTAACACCACCAGCTAGCATTGCAAAGCCTTGTTTCTTCGCTGGCTCCTTTGCAGATAGATCCTTCGGGCAAGCACTCTCGTGATCTTTCTTGTCTTGCACAATCGCGGTTCGGACAACGAGACCATTCGCTCCATCTACCCCATCCAGCACATTCATTGTAACATGATTCCGTATCTTTTTCGACAATTTTGTTATGCTTCACGAGTGGTCCAACATGTCTTCTGTATTTGTATCGGTAGCCTTTACCTCCGCAACTAACAGAGCAGTGGCTCCAGGAACTCCATTTTGTGACGTATGTCGCTGGTCCTGAGTAGGCATTGCGAATATTGCTTCGACTTATATAACATTCGTTTATATCGCAACATCCATCAAAGCTACCCTTCAGGCGAGGAAATCGTGGAAGATTTAGTGGCTTGTATGGGCAGTACTTGTTGTAGTGCATTGGAGGAAGTTTATCTGGTGGACATGGTCTAAAATTCCAGGGTCTGAAGATATGACCACATGCCTCGGATTTACCCCTTCTCGGCAATGGGGGCATTGATAAGCTTTTGGCCCCGCCTCCATTAGGTACTGGGAAGGGAAACGCATTGTCAACTGGTTTGGAGATTTTCGGCGGAGGTGGCGGTCGAGCACCAAATTTAACATCCTTGTTGTATTTCCATTGCACTGAATCAATATTATGAGGGCCAAGGACGCCACTCAAAACTAGATCCCAATATAGCCAGTGGTCTTTTGCGGACATTGTGTTGCCGATTGCAAACATGTAATGATAATATTTCATGGTGATAGAAGAATCTACCGAACATCCGGCCGACAAACAACTGTGATAGCTTTTCACTGCAGTGTATGGATTCGATGGGTTGAAATGTTGACATTTGGGTCGACCGAAAGGTATCTCGTATTTGTTAAAGTCGTACTTTTGCTGAACTTCGATGGTGAGCGACTTAGGATTCAGTGGATACAGACACTCACCTTTCATCCAACATGCCCCGATGTATCCACATTCTTTAGGCAAAATACCTGGAAATAGTCAATCAAATCGTTTAAGGTTTTGACCAATTTTTGTAGCTCATGAATCAGTTATTTTTAAATCATGTCAGACGATTTCGTACTTTGATAAATGTAGAATTTACATGTTCGTCATCACGGGGATAACATAGATACATACATTGTGTATTATAATATAGATAAGACTAGAAAGAGTAAATAACATCTTACCTCTCCAACCAGCCAATTTGGGCTTGACATGGAACGCTTCCAACAGTGGAATGAGTTTACATCCTGGGGGACCTTCCATTATTTCATCGTGGAAAGTATTCAAAAAGCAGTTGGTGAAGTATGGATTCCAAAAACCGTACTGAAAAAGTACATGCAAGTTATATGGAATATTTTCACATGTACACTCGGCGACAGTGTTCTTTCTAATGTGTGCGCGTGTGTGCGCGCACACAGCTTTCAAGGGCTGCGCACACGCATAGATTTACTGCGCACAGACGTATTTCGATGTAATGTAACAATGTTCTCGGTTGGCAGATTGAAAAAGTTTGTTGTTGGCCCACCCATTACCCAGTTAGAACGCCAAAATTTCTTTATTGGTTTTTGCACAAATATTAGTCATTTCCAAAAAAGTGCGCACAAACCAAAATTTCTGCGCACACATACTACAAAAATTAGAGGGAACATTGCTCGGCGATAATAATAAAGTGAAATATATTGAAGAAAGTTGGACGGGGAATACTCACTATTGTTCACCCACCCCCCAGCTACTTGGGTAGATTGGTTCACACCTAGTTCGGGCCTGATTGAAATTACTAAAAAATATTATTGTGCAAAACTTCTATATTTAGTACTAAACTTCTAATAATACAAACTATTCTATCAATTTAATGGAATGCTGAAATGGTGATTAATAAAATCAATAGCAATTTACCATATAAATTACGTTCTCAGCCTCCCTAGGGAGGATTTTCGTTCTGATAGCCAATTGACAAACCGGTACTCCAGGTAGCACAGAAGGTCCGAATGCATCACGGTATTCGTAAAGTTCTCGATCGAAGTAGCATCCCGGCTGTTCACCACACGATCGTAGATCTCGGTCGTATTTACTTTGGGAGTATCGATCTTTGGAGCATGGTATTCTATGTAAAAGTAAATATTTTCACGTCTTTATTCACGAATGGTCTTCAATTCATCGTGATTCTTTCCTACAAATCATTCTGTATCAACTTATGATAGATTGCAAGTATACAATTTCACACTCATCATATCCTGAACATGTAACACATGTACGTGACAAACACAATATATAGATATGCTTGTTAACATTTTATGAGTTGTTCCAGACGATGCGCTGTTGTATACAAACTGGCACTTTGACATAAATTTAATATAAGATTCTCATTATTTCTGTTTTGACGTTAACTCGACAATTTGTAGCACTTTTAACGGGGTGATAGGCTCAAGATGAACAAGGATATTGGGCTTGAACGCAAACTTCCTCATTTGCGTTGACAACAAGATTGAAAACACAATTTCTAACTTGCGTTTACAACAAATCAGGCCAATAACTAATAAAAAATGATTGTTTTTCGAATGATAACAGATATAAGTTGGATAACTATTTTAGGCATTATTCCTTACCTCAGACAGTACGGTATGTTCATTGGTGGCTCAATGACGAACGGCTCGTTTCTTCTCGGGTGACACATTTCTGGAAACGGCATTGGTGGGGGGCAGTGTGGGAAAATCGGAGGGCCTGAGTGTAAAATATTAGCAGCGTTAGTTAAAGTAAAAGTGTCATGTCTTTTTTAACTACCGAATCATAAATAATAAAATGTAGGAATTCACCTATAGGTAACAATCTAGCTTTGTCCTTGTTTGGCGGATTGAATGGGTTGTCTTTAAATTTCATAGATGGTGTTTTTTCCTTTGATGCGCTTCCTTCTGTCTTAAACTCTATTAGATAGATGCAACGTATTAATCATAGGCATATATTGAATATGAACGATAGTTTTTTCATCACGTGTTAAGCAATCGAAGATATAGTCAAAATGGTAATTTATTTACAGAAAAATTCATTACAGAAATATGGATTTAAATAGCACATACACGATGAAGTAAAACAAAACAAAGAACTTGCACAAATTAAAGTCTTCCGTGAACATTTTCATAAACATTGGAATAGTTTCAAGTATATTATAGTTGTTCAAAGTTAGTCAAAAGCTACAATAAATATTTTTAGAATGTTTATTCATGGATAACAATAATGATTTGCAATGCGTTTATATTTTCTAAAAAAAAACAAGCATGCTACATCATACTGAAAAACTAGGAAGAAGGATAAAAATGGATTTTACCCGAAAACTTCAATGCGCGACATTCTTTTCCTGACCAACAGCAGTGTTCCAATTTTTTACATGATTTCTCGTCGTCAAATGCCATCCATTCTCCGCCTCCAATGTTTGTACATGCTAAAAAATATGGGAACAAAAATTCAGAGTAGCATATTTTTTCAAAATATTATCATCATCACACACGCATTTTTGAAGCATTTTCTATGCATCGATTGGTTATTTTAAATGCTCATGCGGACTGAAGTAACGGAAAGTTTGAAAGTTCGCTGAGAGTACTGTCATTCTCTTTTTTGAGAGATCTCACTTTATAAAATATATCAGGCAGGTAATGTAATAAAGAGCTTTAGTTATAAATAAGGTTGCTAGAATATATTTCTATGAATAGATATAACTTACGGTCTGTGCTGCACTTCGCCGCAATGGCTAACAGCTGCTGCGTGGAAAGAAAAACACTAAGAATAAGAAGTCTATTCATGACGTGTTTCTGAAATAAACACAAAATGGAAAAGAAATTAAAAAACGTCGATCAAATAAGTTTTATCCGAAGAAAATGACAGCAAATAACTTTTAAGCCTACACGAACTTGATACGGTACAAACAATCGTGCTGAATGATGTTGGTCGAAGAAACGTGTAGTAATGACCAAATTGGGAGATACTATCGTGAAGTCGAAAATACTAGGAGTGCAATTGCAAGTATCTATTTTGTCAGTTTTTTATTTTTTGACACCGAGATCTTTTTCCTTGTAATGTTTGATAGTATCAAACTTGTTGCAGATGCAACAGGACTAGAAAACAGCACAAAACTACCGGAAAGGGGCCTGCAACTAAGTTAGACATAGTCGAACATGGGCTGATAAAATATTACGCTTGGGAATTTGCTTTACGAATGGCAACTTGCTTTCAGTCCCGACTAAATGAAAACCGTGACTATTTTTTTCTAAGTCTATATTGCACAGATCTGACTATGCGGTGAACGGCCAAACTCGAGAGCCGTATATGATCCACCTTGCACCGAATTCATATGCATTACGTATTACGTATTTACACTGCTATTGGAAAATAGTACTTCAGTTTCATCAGAATAGTTAACTCATTGAGATTGTACAAATCCTACTGCTTCTCTGTTGTAGCCATCGAAGTCTTAAATGTTCAAGTGAAAGGCGGCACCCTATGCCGGAGGCCAGGACAAGCTACTATTTAGACATAAACATACGTTTTTCTTAATTGAAGTAGGTCGAAACTTCTTAATACCTGGTCTTCGATTCTGACAATTTAAAAAAAAATTATTTGTTCAAATTTTCAACCGCAATTATATATTATTTATTTTAATAGCTAGGACGAAACCCAATATTAAAAATCTGATCAAAATGCGTCAACAACATACATTTAGTTCTGTATCAGAATTAATTCCTCCTGATATCACATAAAACAAAGCAACCCCTAAAGATCGTTCAAATAAGACCAGTCTGCTTGTGTATATAAAATAAGTAAGAGGAAGGGAATTGAAATTTTGGACTTCAAAATGGAACAGTTAACCCATATACACTTTAATACATTATGCACTTTAATATATTATGGTTTCCCAATTTAAAGTTAAATAAGCAATCATTTATCTGCTTTCATATATTTGTCTGACATTACCGACTATTTATTAAATTTGATCGGAATGTTTACAGCAGAGGTTTCCAGCCATTTATAGTTTGTGGTCCCCTTTCGAAAGCGTTTAGCATTTGTGTGCTCCTACTGCGGGCAATGGGCTTCCGGCTGGGAACCACTGTTTCACAGTATATTGACATGCACGATTCCCACTCGAATTTTTCGTCCTATTGTATTTTTGAGACTGTGTTAAACTAAACCGTATTTTCGAAAAGTAATTTTGTCTCTTTGAAAATCTCGTTTTTGTGATCTTCTTATGAGAACATTTGTCGTGAAAAGCGGAAAGTAAAATTTACTCATTGGATACGCCAGTGGACATAACGATCGTTTCAATATTATGGTGTTCATTGACACGTTCTTAAAATTGACACGTTCTTTTCTCTTTGAATACTGGACCAACTGCTTTGAAATTTTTAGTAGTTAAAGATTGAATTTGTTTCTAGAAGGCTTTTACTTTTATTAATTTACTGTGAGCTTTATGGGATTCGTTTTCATTTTGAGCTATGACGTCATCAGAATTCGACACCACGTGGCGATTCCGCATACACATATTGGTCACGTGATCAGCGAACAGGTTCCGTGGTCAAGCCTGCTGGTAAGTTATCGTACCGGTATCATGGTGAATTTCAGCGTAACGTGTCCATATATTTGAGCATAGCTCTCTTGTTATTCTTATTATCGAAATTCTGCGGAATGACAATAATTTTAAATTACCTAAAAACATTTAGCCGAAATGTTTAATTTTGACCGCGAAACCCTAAAGGCATAATTAAACTTTCTTCTTGGATAAGATGTTTTGAAATAGTGTGAAGGTTTCAATCAAACTGAAATTTCACTTTTCATTATTTTATCTGAATTAAATTTTCAATGTTCAAAACTTATATATATTATTCAGTGATTATATAACAGACACAACAAAGTATTACCATTGTTAGAAAGGATATTACATCACGTTTAAGTAAAATTGTCTTCATCAAAACAAATTAAACGCAGTTTCGATTACGTTCTCAAATAAAACAAAATAGTGTCAAGAATAATAATTATGTCCACAACGCAGGTGTCGTCGTTTCTTAAATCATTGCAATTATTATTTCGAGGTTTTTGTAAATGTATAATTTATTTTCAATGATCAAGGTATCAGTATAATTACCACCTAAAAAATCAGTGCAGTACTATTAAGAAATATTTGACTTGTCATGAAGCTAAATTTTAATTTGTCTATATCTAGAGAGAAATAAAGAAAGCTGACAGCACGAAAAACATCAACAAATTAACGGGCAGGCAATTGAAATTAAATTATAAAATTAAAATTGGTGGTAAATAGTTGACCAGAATGAAGTTTTCATTTTTATCAGACTGAAAAATATTGCTGTAACAGACATTCATTTTTCTGCCATTGTTATTCCAACAATTAATTATAAGCTTTATCATTGTCTTTCCCGTGGATCGTCCGGAATGGCATAGCTGTTTTTTTTAATTTCTATGTGATGATTCTCATTAAGCCTAAAAGCGATGCAGCTGCGTATAAAATTGAGTACTTCCGAAGTATGTGAACTAAGATGGCGGATACCGGAACGTAGTATGTGTACCGGGTTAGGGCTAGGCCATAATTTTATTCCAATTTTCCTTATTTTAGTTATATTATGAGTTCGGGGACTAGCCAAGTGACTCCCGTAGTATTTGTATCTTAAATTATGACCTAATCCTAACCTGGTACACATACTACGTTCCGGTGTCCGCCATCTTGGTTCACATACTACGGAAATACCTAAAAATTTACCATTGGTGTATTTCAAACCGACATGAGAAAATACTGAATCGAAACTTTTGTCAGCTATAAAATACCATTCATGTGTCGTTACCTGAAACAAAAAGACCTTTGAAAAGTGACTGTTGTCCCTCAATTCTGTAAAATGCTTTCATTTCATACCGTAAACTTATTTTATGTGTATCTTGAGATGCGCATCGTTTACCAATAAAATTTGGAATTTACAGCAAGATTAAATTCACAATATAACTCATGCATACGCTAAAATTTAAAATATTCTGTAAAATTTGTTTGGTAGTTTCAGTTAATCACTTTTGAAACTTTTTGTTTCGAAACTGTTTAATCGAACGTACCGGTTGGTACTTTGCACTTCAGGAACTTCAAACAAGTTGACAGTGCTTTTTCGGGAAGTCACGAAACTCAAATAGGATGAAGACTTAATACTTTAGTATTTATTTTAAGGTCATAATGTTGTGTAAACATTATGATATCGGTTTACAACAAGTTCAGTGAGCAAAGTATAAAATCGTGCGCCTTTTACGAGACATGAAAATTCATGTTTCCACACAAAAATTTACTGACTTACTTGCATTTTCAGGTAGATGAAGAATTCATTTGTATCTAAGTAGTTGCGTCAAGTTCATCCGTTCTTACTGTTTTTAATTTTTGTCCGTGAATTAAGATTAAGTAAAATATCTTCAGGCTGTGCGAATGAATCAGTAGGATAGGTTTCGATAGCTATCCAAAGCAAGGTCGTCGGTACCAGTTATTCATGTATATACAATGCGCCATGTGGATAGATTTGACGTGGCTGCATCTCCATATTATTAAACATAAACTTAAGCATTAACTTTTTAAAGGCCGTGTTTTTTGAACTATAGCCAGCGGTAAATCGGATTATTGCCGTCGGGGATTCAGTAGCGTATCTATTTCATCAAACAAATGTTGCGCTATATTTTCCAACGATCTCTTTACAGTTTTCGCTGAAGCCAGAGGTAGAGTAGACGAAACCAACTACTATCCAACGACCATTGCCAAATGAGGCACCCAATTTTAAGTACACACAAATGTATATGATATTTATTTCAAACACACAAATTCAAAAAATCCTCCTTTTTCTAGAATAATTTATCCATTAAAAATTTCAAACAATTATTTCTGTATAATATAAAATTTCGATTTTGGCGGTGTTTCACTAACTATATTTTTAAATTTTATATTTTTACTCATACTTATGATGTGATAATAACGTGCAATTAAAAACTTAGAGATTCCATGGGGCCAATTACCACAAAGACTAACATGAAAGCACAAAACTCATTTTTGACCTGGAAATTGATAGCACTTTGATTCCTGCCTGTCTACACTTATGTCTACATTTAAATCAGTCGCAAATTTCAATGACGAGCAAATGACATTTTCAAGTCGTCTTCATTTTACACTCCGTGAACCCTTTCGTAATGGTTTTCGAACCCGCAGACTAGAATCTTGTAATTATAGACACATTTTCTATTGAAAATTAAAAAATAATAAAAATTATTACAATACGTATTACATATAACAATATGTATTGTTATGTCCAGTTTAATACTCATGTCTGAAAATAATTTTCAAATTGTAAATCTCTGCACGCTCACATCGGACATTACAGCGAATACCTCCACCGACGTGTTCGATTATTCAGCTGTGATCCGGAGTGAGACAAAGCTGTGACAAAGTGTTTTCAAGTAAAAACATTTTATCAATTATTGAAACGAAATTAGAACTTGGATATGACATCACAAACTTTTAACGCCAACGTACTTATGTAAAATCAACAAATTTAACCTCTAATACATTCAACAGATTTATCACCCAGAAAGGTAAAACTATTTTCATTCGGGTAGCGCTCATTATTGTGTATATTACAATTCTAAAGAGGGTTCGCGTGGACAAAGTTGTTCCGAGTCAACCATGACAAGTCAAATTCTTATCGGTATTTTTCTTCATGTTGTTACCGTATGAAAAAATCGCCCTTCTCATTAACTACTGGGTCCATTGCTTTGACATTTTGAGTGGTTAAAGATTGTATTTTTCGCTGAAAGTCTATTTTTTTCATTTATTTCAAAACTATATTTGGGCTCTATGCGATTCGTTTTTCACTTCAAAATTTTGACGATATCGGTACTGTAAAAGGTATAAGGTAGATAAGTGGTTCACAACCGCCGGTGCGCGAGAAATTTCGTTGTTTTCGTGCCGTCTCAATTGCTTCACCGAAGACGAGGTTGCGTTGGTTTATTACGCAATTTCTCTTCCGCCGTCATATTGTGACGTCTTTCGCGACATCATGGCGGCGTCTTTCGCGACATTTTGGCGCCTAGTAATCACACTTTTCGCTTTTTCGGCTCCGATTCATCGCGAATGCGCTCCATCAAATCTCGCAAAGTAAAGAAACCTAAAAATCGGCACGCGTGCTTTTTCTGTTCTGCATGCTTTTCCTGATTAATATGACCACCCATATAAAACGTTAAGCATATTTCTTTGTTTAACCCAGTAAACAGTCAAGAACAGTACGATATTCCAGTAAGATATGAACTTGTTGCTACCCTGCAGGTGGTTACGAGAATCGTCAAAAAGCGTGGGCCGCAGAGATATTTTCCAGTATTTTGAGCCTGGTGCCAAGTTAGAAGTTACCGACGACTTTGTCATTGTAATGTAAATTCATTTCGTTTGAGGCGTCGATCAACTGCAGAGGGTTTATTATGATGAACCCGATGAAAAAGAAAAAGCTTGATTAAAATTGTGATTCTACTTTATAGTCTTGATTTAAAAAAGATCTGTTGCGATTTGATATCTCCTGATAACGAATACTCATCGCTAAGTAATCGAGCAATCAAACTGTTGTCCGTATTTTCAACCAGTTACTGCGCTATGCGAAAAGACATTTTCATCACTAGCTTTAATTAAAACGAAGCAAAGAAATCGGCTGCACGGCGCTGCAGAGCTACGTGTTGCAGAACCTTTTTTAAGGCCTCGTTTGCAATTCTATATGGGAAACGAAACAGCAGCAAAATTTTCACTACAGTTAATTGTGTTTGTACATGCTTTGGCATATACATGTTTTTTTTTAAATGAGACGTTGTATGCGTGCATTTCTTACGCAAAATGGGTGCCCAGCACTGCATTTCATCACGCAAATATATATGGTATTATTTTAGGTTTCACCCATTTCAATTTTTGGCCGGCACATTATTTGATAGTTTTCTTCGTGTGAAATTTTTTAAGTGTGCCCTGTTTTGTCTAGAAGCATATTAAGTGTCCGACATTGCATTTTATTACGCATATATATGGTATTCTTTTCGGTTCCGATAATTTCAATTTTTGCCGATCCGCAAGTACATTTAATTTAATTTTACCGGTCCGCCATGGTAGAAAGGTTGGTAACCACTGAGGTAGATTACAGCTTCGCTTTGGTGTTCGTGTCCATATATTTGAGCATCGTTCTCTTGTTTGTTTAATATTTTAAAGAATTCATAGAAAGTCGTACGTACAACCTACGCTCTGGCCTTTGTACATTTTAAATACTTTATAATGTGTTAATAAATACGCACTACGGGATTACTGAACAAGTGAAGAATACTAGTATCTATTCATATTTTACAAAGTAAAATTTCTGTAATTCCTAAACAAAACAAAAATTCATTGTTGTCTCAAATAATGTACAAAAGTTTAAATAGCTCAATATAGAAAAAAAATTGTTCTACAAATAAATGTAATATTATGCTACCATTTTTTGTTTGCTACTCGCTTGCTGGTTTTAATACACATAATACAGAACAAAAAGAACGGACTAATCCACAACTAACGCCGTACTGCGCAGAGCGACCTTATGAACAAAATGCGAATTTCATATAATTTACTTTTACAGCATTTATAACTCATATAAAACTACTTCGTATTTGTGTAATTTATTCTTTATTTAACTTTTCATAATTATTAACGTAACCATTCATCATTAACTGACGTCATCATTCTCCAAGAAATGCTTTTTACGGGCATGTCGCCAGATGAAGATCGTGTCATCCGTTTTGTTGCAAAAGTAACAACACCTCCAAACATATACAACGCAAGCGCGTAATGCAGCAATATTGTTGACAAGTAGAGTGTATCTTTAACTACTTCTCCGATGATCAATATTTTACGCAGAGCTATGAATCCACCCACAATTCGAATTCCGGCAAAGCTGAGAAAGTGTGCTGTTCTAATACGTCCTTCTCTTCCGCTGAAAAACATATTTTTGTAAAATGCGACAATGTAAAAACGATTTTGATACGCAACAGCTGTATGGTTAAATCGCTTGTGATATTCGCGGTGGCGTAAGTTATTTCATAAGTAAAGACGATTAAGATTTAGTGGCAAGCACTGATTCTGTTAAGATCGGAGATTTCATATTTTGAATTTTGGCCAATGCCATTTTTTCAGGTTTTTCAATTATTACCATTAGGTGATAAAAATGTTTCGAGGCAAATTTAAAGGTATGGAAAGAATATCTTTATACTTAATTCAATGTACCCCCGAGGTTTGTGAACTCCTGATCCACGTATCAATGGCTGCTTATAAAAACGCTTATTCCGGAGACATGATGTGAACCACCAGTCCTGAACTAATAGGGAGTAAATTAAAAGCATTGATACTAAAAGATTTCTGATGTTGCAGGGAACCATGGACGTAACCTCCGGTCTTGTTGTCATATTTACAAACAGTTTAAATAAACAAGGCAGCGTAAAAAAAGAATTAAACAGAATGAGGTGCGTGCGGATATCGTATCGGATAAATCTTTTTTTTTAATTAAAATTCAAGTATATACAGTATAATCTTTACGTAACGACAATACGGGTTTACCTGGCTTGTGTTGTTCCCGAAACCACCGGCCCAGTTGAACCCCCTCTCTCGCGCAACCATGCGGCGGCACCAAGTGAAGCAGCCCTTTCGTAATTTGTTTTGTGATCTCCCAATGTAGGCGTCCACGTGTTTGCTTGAAATCCAACATTTCTAGACGGTGACATCCGTAGCAAGGCAAGCAGGTAATAGAAAATATTTGGACTTTCGTGTACTAGCAGTTGTGCAGTCATCACCCAGCTTAGTACAGATGTTTTCGCCAGCAAATGGTGAGATAACACTCGTCTTTGAGTACTACAAAATGAAATACATACCAGCTTTATGTAATAACCGCCTAAACTTTGACGCATGCATGACTTCTTGTTTGTGTTGTAAATTTTGGGCTAGACTTGTCGTTGCTACAGCTATTTAGGAATTTGTAAACCAAGAGATATAATGGTGTCAACAATACGACCGCGGTATTTTATGTTAAGGCATAAATGTCAAATACAAGTCATGACCAAATCAAACGATTGTGATTCACAAAGCTAACAAACCTCGATGGACTTTTCCATGTCATGCTTAAATCCATGAGGTCCATAACTGAGTTCCGCCAGCCATGCATTTCTCGCGAAACAGTTCTTAAATTCAAGAAGATTCCTACTGCGCAAAACACATTATGTAATATGTGCAGAGCGACAGTTTTCTTTGTGTATCTTGGTTTTTCGTTCATATCGGATGAGCGACCACTGCCAGTAAAATCCGCAAGATTCCAATATAAGGCGTAGATATGAAAGCTTAGTGACTGAAGTTGCAGCACAGAGTTTGATTCTACGTCAAATTGATGAGAACCCAACAGCATCGCACTCCACAGTGGAACAACCATTGAATGAGTAAATGTAAGCAACGTACGTACTACATCTCTCATCCGCTTCTTGCACGGTTTCACAACTCGCGATCCTGGTTTCTGGCAACATCCACTAACATGAGCAGTCACGCTGATATGGCTTAGACAAAACATGAAAAAATAATGCAATATTGGCCAAGCAAACAAACAGAATAATGTTTGAGTCGAACTGCGATGCCATAAGCACATCAGCAAAATCATATTTTTGATGGTCGAAACAACTAACCTACAAAAAACAAGACCTCGACTGGGTAACTTTAATTCTGAAATGAAATAATACGACAAAAAGATAGTGTATTGTGACGACACAATATCAAAAATGTATGATTTTCAGGCATACCCGCTATTTTATAGTAACGATATAGTTTAGCAGTTAGGCGTTCCAGATGCAGATGTGTTGATACCTTGGCCTGAAGCATAAAATATGCGAAATCGTCGAAAGTCTAAAATCTGTGGTATAATACCGAATCGGACTATTTTACTCTCCTAGTCGTTACCTTATTATATCACAATGTAATTGAACACAATACACATATATATGTCCAATGTTGGGATTGAACTTCTGGCACCGCTTTCAGTCAAGCCCGGATTTTGCTATGGAATCGGAACAGGAGTTGTATTTTCAAACTACCTGGTGTAGGAATTCAGACGATGTCGTAAAACAAGTCAAAATTCATACAGAAAAAGCATTACACTCGAAAAGTATTACGTATCTTAAACGTTGGAATTATTTTTTTTACAGCGCGGAGTCGAAGACAATTTTATTTTAATCCGGCTCTGAGTCGTTTGGAAAGACTCCACAGCCATATCTGGTACCTTTGTTAGGTCTTGAGTTTTTTAAGCGTTGACATTACTGATGAACTAATATTTCATTTAGTGCGGTCACTTAATGCTCTCAACTATTATTTCTAAGCGTTACTGTGTATTACTGAAAATGAAGACATCTCGAACAGCCCTTCATTATCTGCGCAGTCGAAAACTTGCGATTTGTTCGAAAATAGATATCAGTGTCAGTGTGTATTTTCGGTGGTAAATAATTTTCAATACGAAAAATATATCAGTTGTTTTGTTTTCTTTTTGACATTATTGGCATGATGTATTACAAAATAATTTAGGCATTTAACGCGGAACGCTCTACCATCATTTACTTCGTCAGTAGGGAAGCTATGTCTAAAGCAAAAAGTTTAAATTCCGGTATTTACAGTTGCAGTTATTTATCTATAAATATACGCAAGAGAGTGACGATATTTAGAGACACAAGGAACGCAATTTAACAGTCATTAGTATAACTTAATACCTTTCGTTATTTTTCGATCTTCTGTCGCTTCCTAGACAATTCTATGTTATTTAGGATGTCGGTGTTCTTTTTTACATTTTGACATATCTGTATGAATCACCTTATCAACTAATAATAAGAGCTTAGAATAAACATTTTATTGTACTTTTTCGATTTCATGATGTTTTTATTGACATTATCCTCTTTCACACTCATGAATTTAATAGCTCGACAAAACAGAAGATTCAAAAGTAGCATGCATTGTTTGATTATTTTGTTGAGATATCAAAAAAGTTCGAAGCGAAATTTTTAACAACACCAGGCTTTATTTTTCCTTGCTCATCAATAATAGAAGCATGAAGTATGTGTATTGCGGAATCGACTATCCTCCTCTAAATCTACAAACATCAGAACAATCACGTGATTCTTCTTCTTCTCCGTCGCAAAATGCTCCATTTGGAAAGCATACTCGTTTCCTTGTTTGGCCAGCGATATGTCTCCAAGCACCACACTCGCATGGTGGCCCCCAAGAACTCCAATTACTCCAAGATCCACATTTTCTTAGTTCGCAGCCCTCTCTTTGGATCAACATTGATTTATCGCACTTTTCTGGATCATTTCCTATGCACTTTCTGGTTCGCGTTCTTGTTCCCATTCCACAAGTTGTAGTGCATTTAGTCCAGTACGACCACTCTGTCAAATAACGAGAAGGCCCGGAATGCATTTTTCTAATATCAGATCTAGATATGTAACATAGGTTAACTTCGCAACATCCAGCGAACGAGCCTTTCAATGGATCGAAACGTGGAACGTGGACAGGTTTGTACGGACAATGCTTGAATGTTGGTAAAATGGAAGGTTTGGGTGGTGGGCAAGGACGGGAATTTTTGTTAATGTACCTCGGACCGCAACTTATCGATTCCGAAGCAACAGGTTCAGGTCGTCTATGTCCACTCGGTAGACTGAAAACTCCTGCTGGAGGTGGTCGACCGAAAACTCCTGCTGGAGGTGGTGGACGAAACATTGGATCAGAAGGCCCAGACGGAGGAGGAGGAGGAGGTAGTTGGTCATCTGGTGACTCCGACATTGGCTGCATTCCTATTTGCGATGGATCTAGGTAAGCCGAAATTGCGGCTTCAAAATTGAGAGTGTTTATTTCTCCCCTTTCAATTTTAGGCCAATATTTCCACAGATCTTCCGTTTTCATTCCTTTTCCCAGTTCGAAAAAGTAATGATAATAATTATTTGATATACTGGTATCAACTGAACATCCAGCTATGAGACAATCGTGGTAGCTTTTCAGTGTCGTGTATGGTGTACTGGTATCAAATTCCTGGCATTTTGGTCGGCCGAACGTTATTTCATAGTTGTGCCTGTCAAATCGTTGTCCACTTTTGACAGTCAAATCTTGGGTTAGTTCGTACGGATAAAAACATTTTGAAAATTTCCAACAACCATCAATAAGATGACATTGTCTCCTGTTGATTCCTGAATAAATTGAAAGGTTGATTTCCAAAAACCGATAATTATTATTGTTTATTACAGATAACGTTACTATAGATAACGTTGATAGAGAGACTATGTATAGTTGTTTTTCAACTTTGATCTGTCACAATATTTTATATTAATGGGTGTTCTCATACTTCGGCTTGGAACAAGTCTATGAATAAGCAGTCACTCGCACGTAAAAGGATACCATATCGGAAAATATCGCCATTGCCTATTCAATTTATTACACCCTGACTAAGATAGTGCGCCAACATAGTTAGGTATGATGCTCCAACTACGAAAACAATAGCGTTTTGAATACTGTTGAACACGATTACGGGTGTTAAATCTTATGCTAAAATAATCACGCAAGGACGTAACGATGCATCTTATAGTACAACATTTGCAATTGAAGTTTGTTTTTTACTACGAATGCGGTTTGTAGTTGTAAATTTGGTTTGCATTTATTCCAACTTTAGGTAGTTGTCAGTCCTGATTTATTATACTATATTTATTATTTTTTGTGAGATCCGATTGAAATTTTTTATTTATCTCTATTTAATTGAAACTGCTGGTAAATGGAAACTAATCTATTATGCCAAATTTTGAACACGACATACCTTTCCACCCAGCCATTTTTGGTAAGATTTTGAAAACCAACAATACATCAATAAATTTGCATCCCTGTCTTTCCTCTTGCATTTCTTCTTCATATCGTTCAAGCAAGCAATGGGTGTAATAAGGACTCCATTTCTTCACCTGAAATTGGCAAAGTCAAATTATTACTAAAAATAAAACACTATTAAACTGTTATTTTAAAACTAGTATTTAAGGGTTGCCTTAATGCATAATTTTATGTGCTCCAAAGTCTCTAAGTGTGTCATTTTGTAAAGATGGATAACTTACCATGGCAATAGACTTTTGCGCTTCCCTTTGGAAAATCAAGTTCCTGATAGCTAACTGGCACACCGGAACCCCGGCGAGGACACCCGGTCCGAAAGCTTGTCGAAAATCGGATAATTCTTTGTCGAAATAGCATCCCGGTTGACTTCCGCATTCGAAATGTTCTCTGTCTAACATGGCTTGAGTTTTACGATCATCAGAGCAGGGTATCCTTAACCGCAAAAATTATAAAATAATAAAAATATTTTGTTTTAGCCTAGTTTTAGTCTAATTTTGCATTATTTAGAAGTTATAATGTCCGTGAATAGTAGGTCCGTGCAACGGCCTGCTTCGGAAAAAACAAAAACAGACCCAATGCCTACAAACAGTCAGCGGGCCCTTCTCAGGGAACCTATTTAGACAAAATAATCTTTATATATTTGAAGATATAAAACCTGATAAATATGACAATATCAATTGATTAGATAAAAATACCTTTTCGTCGGAATATAGATATTATAGTTTAGAAAACCGGGCAAGATACAATTAATAGCGTTCGGTTTAAAATGTTAAGAAATCGCTTACGCATTTGACAAACGTTACGTGTTGATTGATTTGTATTTTTAAAAATCGATTACGGAATGCATCTGCGTTCAGTCTTAACTAATTAAAACAAAATACTTACCGGACACAGTAAGGTACATCTACTGGTGGATCAAGCACGTACGGCTGCGGGGTCAGGTATTTGCATTCCAGTGGAACCGTAGGCTTCCTTTTGGGGCAAATGGGTGGAATCGGTGCTAAAAATTACAGAAGAGATAAAAATCTTAATTCTACCTTTGTAAAATATATGTGCTTTACACATTTTGATGTAAATTCAACATATTTCGTTTCTGATAATATTCTGAGAAAAAATAACAACGTGACTGACATGTTTGATGTTTCACTGTTATTTTAATGAATGAATTCAAAAATAAAAATTCACACATAAACTTACGTTGAAATCCAGGAAGAAATCTGGCAGCTCCTGGTTTCTTGAAAACAGTTTTTTCTTTTGATTCTTTTTTCTTGCCAGCAGCTGAACGTAAATAATTGGCAAGATCAAAATACAATATTTCTTTTTGATATTTGATGCTTGTTCATTCCATTACGTTTTATCAGTGAGCAAGCAAACTGCTATACTTACATTGTAAAAAATTTTACTGATTGCGAATAGTGCACGAACGAAAGTTTTGAGAAATAAATTGAAAAAACAGAAGACGTCTAAACGTTGAATCCATTTTAGCGTTTTCAAAGCACAAGTCGAATACCACCAAAATGAAATTTGTGCACAAACAAGCATAGAAGATTGCAGTTTATTAGGCAACCAAATAAACGAATTAGGGCAATAACTCTAAACTCCAAATTAAAAATAAAAAAAAATGAATATCATTGAAATCAACTTTTGATTTACCTCCAGGGACTTAACTGGTTATATTATAAATTGTGACATTATAATATAAAGCTTATGCCGATACTAATACGAAATACAGTTTCTACATTGTTTATCAATCTCACTAAAATAATATTATCTGTTTTTACAGCAATGATTTTCAACGTACATTTCATGATTGTCAAGCATCTGTCGTTTTTCCAGCAGCAATTTGTTGGGTATTTTTTGCATTCATCTTCGTCTCCATCAATAGTAATTGTAGCGTCATCACTTTGAAACGTGCATGTTTGTTCTAAAATAAAAAAAAGTTAGGGTAAAATAAATTTATATAGCGCCAAATAGATTTTGAATAAATACCAATGCCCAAACAAATAAGATGAATTCGGCATCATCTTGTCAAAACTTCAAAAGTTTTATTGCACTCTCAAGAAAGTTCAGTTTTCAAAATATATCTAGACAATTTCTGTAAATCAAAATTACTATCAGTCCCGGGGTCAGGATGTATGCGGGATTGGATCAGAAATCTAAGGTATCGAACCTGCTGTTTGAAGAAAAATTTAAATAAAAAAAAAGGTACTCACCAATCGGCGTTGACTTGGAGGTACATCTTTTAGTACCACCAGTTTGCACCGAATTGAATATCACGGCAAACAGTAAAAGAATGCCGTACCTAAGCATAGTCGTTGTATTATCTGAATTAGTTGAAACAAAAAAAAAAGAAGAAATAGTTTCGATATTAAGTTATAAACATTAATCTGTATCAGAAAAAATTAATGAAAATCAAAAATAATAACAATGGCAACTAAAATTGTAGAGAATATTCAATTCAATGTTCAGCGAGAAGGAAGCAAGAAACTCGCATTAATCGAAGCAAGGTCATTTCTGTATAGTATCTCAGGCAATTAACATATAATAAAAATAGTACACCGTGTGGTTTTTAATACAATAATTTGGAAATATATCAAAAGTTTTTTAGACAGTTGCTTCTCAGACAGAAAAAGAAAGAATTTATTTTTAGTTTTCAATTTTAAAAATGATATACAAAGTTATAATGGAAAATTCTGATTGTACAAAAAAATCTAAGAACATCATTAGTTCATATACTCTGTACCTAATGTTTTATCCAATCGAGCAACCAAAAAAATACTGTGAATTACATTTTGTTACAGCTCAGAAAAATAAAACAGGAAATACGATAAATATTGAAAACTTAACACGATATAAGTTTTAATGATTTCCTATCTTCAGAGAGCATTTCTCAGGCTAATGCTTTGACACGTAGACATATTAAATACGACACATTCAATATAAAGTACCACTGCGGACACAAAGTTCCGTTTTTCGATGTTCTATACGACGTTGTGTGTTTTTACGCTCTGAACAGCCGGTTATATGGTGGTTGTTCATCACCCTTAGGGCAAAGCACGACAAATATATTTCGGTTAATTTTATATCTTTTATTTTAAGAAAACGACAACAACAACCTGTAGTTGTTAAACCGTATGGAAGTTCAAATGAAGAAAAGAAAAAGCCAAAAAGCCGGTAGTAAAAAAGAATCAGTGAAAAATTATCTGATATTATGGCGTTCTACTCTTTCAATTTCCAAAATTCTTAATCAAAATACTTATTCAATTTAAAAAAAGAAATTCGCGCCAAGACGTAGATCTTCAGCAGTCAATAGGGTCAGTAAAATAAAAATAATTAAAATAGAGTTACACACATAGGCTCCAACTGCGAATGTCAGGGATGCGTAAAAAAATTTAAACGTTGTTTTAAAGACGTAATACCTGCCTAATGCAAAAATAGGTTTTCGCATCGATTACATTTCTGATTAATTTGAGCAAATATGTGAAGTAACGCGTAGAAATGCCATATTTTATGTGATGTTCCAGCTATATTTCCATAGACGAGGAATTTTAAAAACTAACGCGAAAACATGAGAATCAATACGATCAGAGATCGTTTAGTTAGACATTTTACGCAGGTATTTTATAGTAAAAATTATACTCGAAGACATCCCTACTGCGTAAAATAAAAGGCACTCCCGTAGTGTGTGCATCAAGATGGCGGACACCTGAACGTAGTATGTGTAACAGGTTAGGGTTAGGCCATAATTTTATTCCAATTTTCCTTATTTTAGTTTTATTACGAGTCGAGTGGCTCCCGTAGTATTTGTACCTGAAATTATGGCCTAACCCTAACTAGTACACATACTACGTTCCGATGTCCGCCATCTTGGTTCACATACTACGGGAACACGAAATGAAACTATGACTATCTAAATATTTTATCTTCTCGATCTCGTAGATTAATTATTTTGTTTTGGTAGTGTTTGTGAGTGGAGTGTGTGTTTTAATAAAATTTGATACCCAATTTATTTTTATCAATTATATCAAACCTTTGCAATCACAGACTTCTACAGGGCTGTTCCGTGGTACCAAGTATTCTAAAGTCAAATAGAAAAGTATCATTTTACGATACATCGAGATTTAATATTTTAAATAAACCTTAATAATATATTTCTTCATTTAGCCACGGTAATTAATTTATTTTTTATCTCACAAAATTATGACTTTACAACAACCATATGGGAAATTACCGATCAATGTGGTGTATAAGCTAAAGCTTTGTATTAATCCTCGAAACCATTCACTGACGTTGATAAGTCCCCCTGCCATAGATTTGATACGAGTTACGGGAAAATACCTTTTCAGACTGTAAGTGTAGATGATGGAATTGTAGTTTCGGAAATCGTGATATATTTTCATTTCCAGTTTCAGTTATGATTGTACCGTTTTGTAACAATCTCAGACAGTTACTTCATTCCTGATGATTCATATAAGACATTCAATGATTTTTTGACTTACTAATTATAACTTGATAAATATAAATTTGCTGCACCTTCGTTCAACTTTTGTAAAATAATCTAGTGAGTGTTACGTTATAAAAATATTTGCATAAGACGAATAGTTCTTCTGCGACACTTCTGGTTTCTTTTTTATTCAACCGATGCTTTTTGAAAAGAATATTGTTTGATTTTATGTATAACAAATAACAATTGGTCGCAATTTGGAATTTTATTTTACATCATTCAAAATTAATAATCAATGTCTATAAGAGCAACAGAATGGGGCGTGAAGTACAAATTTGTCACCGAGTTAGAGGATTAGGAGTAACAAAGCAGTGAAAAATACAAATTTAAACTTTTTAAGAGCGTCTGGAGCTTAATTATATTAACAAATTCACATTATTTCTCAAACTGATGTAATATTTTTACGATGGTGACTTGCAGCAACTTTCCCGATAGCCATGCCTGCAAGGGTTTCGAAGTCACCAACTGTATCAAGAGATATATGTCATAGAAAAAAAAAACAATAGAAAATGAATCAATTTTGCCATCTTTTTGTAGCGTTAAGTTCATCTATGAATGACTTGTTGTTCGAGTATGTTTTTTCATTAACATATTTTGTTACACGCGTGATCAAACACACGAATTGTGACGCCATCGAAATTTTCAATATAATTTGTGATATCGATGACAGGAATGTTGAAAACAACAGATTTATTTTGATACAGAAACTTTACGAAACAGTTTCGGAGGCGAATGTGCTGCTGAATCATGTCGCAGTTAATTTTCAGCGACGTAAAATTTTATTTTTGCCGATTAAAATCAAATGACATTAAAAACGATATATTATGACGATAATAAATTATTGCGAAGTGACGTAGTCAAAATTTATGTCGTTCCCTCAAGCAGGAATGAGAGTAAAATTAGGTGGTAAATACCAACATGTCTATAAAGCGTTGTCCCTTCGCAGAGGTTTATTTAAATTACACGAGATACCAACACAGTAATGATTTACAGTAATTATAGATAAAAGTCAAGTATGCTCTTTGAATATTTCAACAGCTTTATCCCTCGCTTGGTAAGGTATGCAAATCTTCTGCAAAACATTAGGTACTGATAATTTGTATCTAATGTGAAGAAACAAATGAAAAATATGACAGTTTATGGGTATCAAACGGTAAATAGGCGGCCGATTTTGTTTATAGTATTATAATACGGCGTGCCCGACGGGTGGCTGTAGCCGGAATCAAGCAGTTTGCACAAACAATGCAAATAAATTAAATTAATAATTATAAAACATAGCCGACAGCAGGTATACCAGCCTGCATTAAATCAGTAATCTGTTTTGGTTCAACGTCAGCAAAATTATTGCTAATTAGATGAATTTAGCAGAATGAATTCAAACAAGGCAAAAAGATATAACCTGCCCGATGACTTACTTTGAATTTTACATTGTTAAAATAAAGTTCTATATTAAGTCATTTTTGATTGCAAGTACGCGTAAGATCAACTTTGCTTTTGTAAATGTTATTTATTCAGGTGCCCATTCATTCTATAATTTACATATTTTTAAATTAACTATACTTCGCTACCAAAATACGTATTCGGAACGGAATTTTACGATAAATAGACAAAATCTGGTTGATTAAAAAAAATTCAATTTGAAATATCGACGTGAAATTTGAAAACGTCTGCAAAAACAGTGACAACAATAAGTATTTATAATTCCAATTGCCATAGGCGTTTCGTGCCATTGCTGCAAATCTCCTAAATCTATTTGAGGTAATAGGTCAACGAAGGTAGAATAAAATGTTATATAAATTTATGTAAAGTAAGAAAATGAAAAATTATATGTATTTTGTTGAAAAAGAATACGACTTGCTCAACGGAATATGTTGCCTTAGTCAGTGCTTGATATGATTTATTTGCAATGGTGGGAAAGAAAAAATTCTGTCTATATGACAAATTGAAAAACAATATATTTTAACATACTATATCAAATAGGCACAATACAACAGTTTTACTCCATTCCAATATATGGCAACAAAAATTTAAATTTTGAATACGTTTTTTGGTTACATCATTGACTGAACTCAATAAAATTGCCCAATAACACAACGTATATTCATGTGGTAGATAAAAGGTATTTTTATTCTAGTGTAATCTGATAGTACGAGTTTAAAGAGGTTTTATCCGGATTTACTACTTTTTTTTATAAAATCACACTAGTCTTCTTTTTCAATTTTTCATTATGTAAGCTATGCAGTATTTAAAAAAAAGCAAAATATATTCTGCGAATTTTTCTATTTTCTTTATTTGAAAATGCAACTGTTATTATTTCAGATTGTGGTTGACTTAATTCAAGCTAACTCGATAGCCCTTCAATTTTTGTCTGAGTTATCTGTTTTAATTAAACGACTAAATGACTTTTGATATTGAGTTATCTATAGGTTAATTTCGATTATAGATCTTTACATATTGGCGTGGAAATATCGGGAAACATTGGTCATTTCATAAGTTCCGCAAGTGATATCATGTGTAGAAGATTGTTGGCAAAGTCAAAATTGTACACGATATAACATCTGAGCTCGAACCTATATACCCACTAATTTGCTTTCATAAAATTTGATATACATATCATTGTCTTGAATATTTTTATTCAGAACTTTCATTCCAGGCGTTAATCGCAGAATGCAGAGCAATGCCCCCTGGTATCGCATAAAAGACGTGGCCAAATAATGACAAATGCACTGTATTAAATCAGTCGTTACCAACAAGCTATTTAGATTGGATTGAAGTTGTATTCAATATGATGGGCGCACACTAAATTTAGCTCGCCTACTTAACTTGGATTAACAGCGCGCGGAAGATGACTCAGAATATAACGATCCAATAACAGGTTTTGCGGCAATGATGCAAAAACAGATTTTTGCCGGTAGCAACAAAACAACGTAGCTTATCATAAAGTCATCAAGTCTCCGCCACTTTTTGACATTTCGTGACGGCATGTTAAACCGTCGTTTATCGTGTTTTTTATCGTTTCTTTTCTCTTATGGAATCGAAAATCATCGAATGATTATGGACGACGTGTTTATGGCACTAAGCCGCAAACCCGAATCAATCAAATATCGAAATTACAGCTAATGAAACCTGGGTGACGCAAAATAAGATATTCTGGCCAAAACGAAAGGGACGTAAACAATATTTCCGTGTCCCATTACGACAACAATATTTTTATCATCCAGATGATAAGTTTTTGAAAATATAGATGAGGAGCAGAATATCGAATGACACGATTCAACTGAGTGCCATCCGAAAATCTGCCAATTCGCGGACATTGAATACAATTTATTTGTGGAAACTTCCAACAATGCATGCAAAATACAGAACGAATTCATCACTTACACGAGAGTTCATAATGGAGGTTATTGATTCGAAATCCAAGGTTCAAACATAATGATACACCAGACAACAAAGAGGATTTTTGTTTATATGAGTCCTCTATTGTGTAAGACTACTAGCAGTAATATAGTATGCCTACTGTTGTTTTCTAAACGTACCGAATTAATTTCCCCTCTAATTTACGCCGACAATTGCTTGATTTATAATTACTTATTTTGAACACGTTGAAATGATCATATGAACTGATCTCTGTGACGTTTTGTGTATATAAATATTTGTCTTTAATTTAAAATATATTTATAATATTATTGCTAACATTGATAAATATTAGAAATTATTAGTTTAACATCGCTAGAGCATTATGTCAAATATCTGCGCAGCTGAAAGATTTTGGTCAATGTAAACGGATGTTGAAAAACAATTTCCGCACTTGAAAACTTGTCGTTTTCAGTTTTATATCACAATCTATAACAGTTGCACACATAGCCAATTTTTCGAGTTACCACAATTTTGCAAAACTTGTTTCTATGTTTATGTCTACCGTCTTGCGAGTTAAGTTTTAGGAAACAAACTTTAACTTAATCTGTAGCAAAATTAAACTCGTTTTTGAGGTTGGCGGAGTCGATAAGTTGTTAACTTTATATAAATTGAAGTATTGAAAAAATGTTTTTATGCAAATATCGTTTTTCTATTTTCTCAGTTTTATTTCTTTCATAAACAAAAACCTTATCAAAAAAATCTTTAATGAGATGTTGGATTACTAATATATATTTTTGATATATCACTATAGTTTTGGCAAAAACATTCGCCTTTGCGAATCATCCAGAATAAATATATGTGGTATTGTTTGTATTCTGAAATGTGCTTCTCGGGCTCAACTTTAATTATAGGACTATATATGTCATACTGGTTGTTGATATCCACGAAGGAATCGTTACATGGAATAGTTATCTTTTTCTAACAATATTCATTGGTGTAAAATTTATAAAATTTGCGATCACTTCTTAAAATATATTTTTACACATATTCAAGATCGGACGATGAGTTCATGTTCGGCACTATGAAGAGTGAGGATTATGCCATGTTCAAATTCACGTTTTTTAAATCGAAATTGTTTGTGAAAATTGTTAATCCAAAATGATCACGAAACTGAATAATAGGAATTCATATCTGTTATTAAGATCACGTTTTTGTGACATTACCTAACTGACACACGGCGTAATAAATTCACCAATAATTTGTTATACGAATTACTCGTAATAAAGTTATTAACGTAACCATGTATTTGATAACGCCTTCAGTTATTCTAACTGTTATCATGATATTTGTCCTGACAAGAGTTAAATTATTTTATCGTTAGTCGGTTTGAAAACCATTTGACGATACTGTTATGATGGTGGTTTGTGACATGAATATCAAGTCTGCGGATATACACTAATCGACTTAGGTCTTAGAGTATATGATACACATCGCTGGTTAACTGAACTAAAGATACTGACACATATTACCCTGAAAGCGTTTAGGAAATGTTTTGCATTTCGAGAAAATTCACTAACCCCTACAATAAGTTGGCCAATATTTGACTATTTAGTACATTATTATGGAGTTGAATATAAATGTTCTATAATGTGTCTTTCTTAGATATAGTAAGAAAACATGAGAAATTTTTCGTGTAAAATATATCAAAAACTATCACGCCGTCGTCATTATTCCTATTTTCTAGGTGTGTTATGATGTTTTACGTGCTTATTTCTGATTTGAATTCAAATGCAGACGACAAACGTTATCGCAAATAAAGAACACTAATCCATCTTTGCTAAATTTTGCCTGAAGGTCCAATTCATATTAACCCGTTGTGCAAGAAAAATGGCCTTTTAATAGGTTACATACAAATAAGACAGAGTAGAGCGAAGCGAACTTAATTAAGTCAATGGGCACGAACTCCTTAGTGTTGCAAACAAACAATGAACTTGCTTTTGTAACGTTGCATTTTAGGAAACCAAAAATCGAACAGGACTAAATTATTGTTTAATGACCGGAATCGATTTTTCTCTTTTTTTTATTGTTTATTTTATCCCAGGGCTGTGTACGTGTGCGGTGTCATGTCCTTGATTTTGTCTCATGTCTTTTACCCCGGCGTATATACCATTATTCTTGGTGCACTCGGGAAAATTATGTTCACGTGATGCTATTTCAGCATTGCACTTTGCCTTCCATGTCTGACTGCCGTGAATTTTTTATCTGTTCAATCTGCGCATCTCTACCGGAAGATAAAGTTCTTTACTTGCGTCATCAGACTATAGAACATAAGGCGTGGTTTTGCAGCAGATTAAATCTTCTACGGGTTTCACAAGCGTGTCCAATCAATCGTTTGAACTTACCGCTGCATTACAATTCGACGGAATTAAATTTACTGTCACAATTATTTGGTCCATCCATCCTCATCCCGAATTAATGCTTTTATTTTGTTATAATAATACAGAATATAGATCATAAGGCGCCCCCGAAGTGTGTGAACCAATATGGCGGACACTGAAACGTAGTATGTGTACCAGGTTAGGGTTGTGACATAATTTTATTTCAAGTTCCTTATTTTAGTTCTATCAAGAGTTCGGGGACTAGACAAGTGACTTCCGTAGTATTTGTACCTGAAATTATGACCTAACCCTAACCTGGTACACACACTACGTTACGGTGTCCGCCATCTTTGTTCACATACTACATGAGTACCGATCATACTCGTATTGTTCAACGCTACTATGCATACTTCAATGTTACATGAAACAAATTTCTCCCCATGATGATTCTGTTGTAATATGGCAAGGCAAATATGCATAAAATGAATATCCAAGTCCACATGTAAGGAAAAAGAGACTCCAATGTACAAATGGATTTACTTAATAATATGATTTGACACATAATTTTTGATGCATGTCGGATGAAAGATTACTCGACTGAAACGATTGCGGTCATTACTTTTGAAATTATACAGCCTGTAGGTCAAACTCTCGAGAAAATCCAGTTTCCGTAATACACGAACAGACGTTTTAGTGATAGTCACCTCTTCAGCCTAAGATAAGCTTCCTATGGTGGTTCTGTGCTTACTTGGTTTACCATATCTTGTAATGATAGAAAGAATCGCAGAAAGTCGCTTTTTTGATGTTATAATATGTTTTATGCCGCGTATAACATCAGCGGTCTTTTGCACCATTAACCAACGCAAAATAAATTCTACCACACACTATAAAATGTTTGCGAATAAATCAAAAAATACAAATAAATTAATTATAAAAAGCAGTTAATCCGTAATATATATGCCAGTGGAAAAAAAACAAATTCCATAACAGTTTCAACTATGTCGATGTCACTAAGCAGCTCCTCCAAAGTCAATTCCAATTTGAGTTTTTTGGCTTTATGACTGATTGAAATTAGCTGGTGATTAAATTGCTGGTAATGAAGTATAAGGTAGCGTACTACGGTCTCAGGTACAAGAACACGGTTTGCAATATCCGTGGCAATGTGTATTTTGCTTCTGAGACGGAAATTGGAAGCATTAGGTCGATATAAGGTTTATTTATTGTTTCCTTTGCAAGATTATCCACATCTCCGTATCGGGACTGTTGAGTAATAATGTCTGAATCCAAATTGTTCCGACGTTATCAAATATGCACTTATTGCGCCGTCATTCCAATGAAACCACTACGTAAAAATGGTGAATTTACACCTCCTTTGTTTTGGGTAATGCAATATTTTTCAATTTTATTGAAGGTCCAATTTCGTTTTCGTTCCGACGTTTATTCGTTTGTTCTTCAATTTCACATATCCTACTTTACCGGCATCAGCCGATAAAATTAGTTGAAATATTACGTTTGACAATAGATAATAAAAATGAATACCATGAAATTTTCGAAACCGCTGAAATATTCGAAATATGTAATATGGAGAATCCCGATTGAAGAATTTTGTAATGAGCAATTCTCAACTCATCTAACTGAACACGGACAAAAAATACAGTTCACTTTCAAACAAACTAATATATATATTCTAAAGTAAATCACAATCGTGAGTAAATCAATGTGTAAGTAGGTACACAGCTAGATTTGTAGTTATGTCGCCCTGCCTTGAATAAAATTGTGGGAATGCACTAGGTTTATTCGTAATGCAGTCAACTAGTACGGTGAATTTCTGTATATTTGATACTGTTACGTAACAATGGATGAAAACATATACATTCACGTCTAATTTATTAAAAGTTGAGGTTCTCATAGATGTGAAAAAGACTGGATAGTTTTTGAGTAAATTTTGAAATGTAGGGCTTTGCCGTGTGTAATGTATGAGAAACTCACTAGTAGGCTTAAAAAAGGTTATAAGGTCATAAAAAATTCGTCAAAGTCGTTACGGAGATATTCAAGCCGTAATGCGTCTTCTTCGCAATCGGATAAGCTTGGTTCGCAAACCTCTACTGCCAAAAGTGTTGAGGATGCCAAAGGTAATATAGATATAATAATGATTAGTTGTCTATTACCATAACGGTATTTGTGCGTCAGTCATTTTAAATGTATTAAAATTACCTTATTTGGTTTCCACAATTCCTCTACGAACCTTAAAGATTACAAGTTTTAAATTAGCAGTTCAAAATTAGACAAATCACCGGACCTCTTACAAATGTATATAATAACAAACAAAGTGCTTTGCTAAGATTTTCATTTGATTACAAAATTGAATTTCTTTGCTGTTTGAAAAAATAGGTTTTCAAAATATTGGGATATATTTCACCAATTAGAATACTTTGTAGATCCATGCCATTCGAAACTAACTGAGGTGTTGAAGGAAAGAGATGGATGGGAGGCCATATTTGAAAATGATCGCTACAAAAATTGGCTTAAAGTTGGAATAGCACTCAGGTATTATGTTTACAATGGACGTAGAGCCGACTTATAGCTCGTTCTGCTAGACTAATATTATTGTTGAAAAATTAAGTATCTTCTCCATTTTGAACCCATCACATTTAAATCTCATTTTTCAATCAAGTATATGGATATGATTTATGCTCAGATATATGGATACAAAAAAAAAAGTAGGCCGAGTATCAAATCTTTTTTCATAGTGACTATAATCTACCTTATCATAAAACTCCCGACTTCACCGACCACGACATCTCTGAAATGCGGAACCTGCACACGGTAAAAAAGTTTTAATTCATGTAATCACACAAAACTTTTAAGTGAAAAACGATAGAACACACAGACATTGTGTACCCTCGGTATTGTCGATTACTCACTTCGCTTTGTACATTTATCTATCCACAAGACATTGGGCGTAAGAAAAAACTATTGCTCAAAGTATCGCGTGTATGGTAAAAGCGTAATTAATTTTTTCTAGATGTACCTGCGATGCAGTGGCGTCGCTAGTGGATAAACTCCTTATAGAATTTCATCTAGAACTAAGAGATAAGTACACGAACAATGCCCGGATTGGATGGTATGGAATTTATCAGATTTGTTTAAAATACATGCAACTGCTTTTCTAACTTGTCAAGTGTTTTTACTTGCTTCTGAAAATTTATCTAAGAAATACCTCGAGTAGGAGGATTAGTAATTCTCTCAGCATAAATGAAATTTGGATTGAAAAATTATTAATGAATATGTATTCGCAGTCGGGCAAAATTGTTAACCTAATATTTTCAATCACGCATATACAGGTTGGTTGTTCTAAATGGTGCACTAGATTTGTGTATGTATATTATGCGTATATTCCTGAAGCCCAACACAAAGAGTCGGTAGATCACAATTTTCCCGACCCAGGAGTTAAATTCCAAGTTTTTTTGTGCACTGTTAGGCAATTTATATAACATATTCACGGTCATAAACTGAAATTTCTACCTATAGCGATTGTTGGGCATTAGCTCCAGAATCGTCGATTGATCATAAATTACATATAGAAACTGTCAAAAATGACAACCAAATATGATAGGATAGGATAGGATTTACATATTTATCCCGGGGGAGAGGTAAGTCGATAAGACGGCTTATCCATATGGCGAACCACGGCCTCTCGTCCGGTTACCATTCCAAGTCGGGTATGGGATAAGTTATATTGTTTGTTTTCGGAAGCATGGACTTGGTGGTGGAGGAAGCCGTAACCGACCAGCGGTTACGTGAACCACCCAACGACGGCGAGGAGTCCAGCAATCCTCTCGCACATAACCATCCCTGCATGGAACTCGAACCTGCGAACCCACGCAGAGTAATTAGAGGTGCGGTGGCGAGCGTATTCCTAACGCTTAGCCCGTTGAGCCACACCGCCGTGCTGAATAGAAACTGTGGTTGATTTTTAGGCAACGAGAATTTATCAGAGAAGTATCGAAACTACACAGAGAATCGATTAAACCAGGTGAAGTTTGGAGGCGCAGCGATGTCAACAAATGGCTTTCTGTTGACTACGGACCTTGGGAAATCGCCAAGGTATAATATAAACCTGAATTTCACTGCAGTCTAAAAATAAATCGCATAACTAGTTACACCCATATATGGCTACAATTTCTTGCTGAGTGTTCTTTGTTCATGATTTTACTCTACACTCTCACAGTCTAAATAATAGATACAATAATACATACTAATAATAAATACAATATTTTTATTTAACAGTCGCTTTACAGTGCATACAATCAATAAATTGAAAATATTAGGCCAATTTCTACATTTACTGAATGAAATTTTACCTGCTGCATTCTTGAAACTATCATCAAAATATTTCTTGAAAACTTCATAAACATTTTATAGCAAGACCATAACTGACCTGAAAACTAATTACAGGTGTTTATGCCAAAAGGAAGTCGCGGGTCTTCCAATATTTTCACTGCTAAAGATTTTGATGCCACCGGACTAATGAATTTTATGACACAGTTTCGTCCGTTTGAGAATTACGTCACTGATCTGGGTCAGGTGCATCGTGTGAGACAGGTTATTTTTTCTTCCCGGGGAGGGCTAATATTGCTTTATAGTTTTTCTATTACTTCAACTTTATACTTATTATAAAGTATTACATTAGTTATGATAAGTAACAATAGGATTAGTTAGACTACTACTAAAGCTAGACAAGCGTGCAATATGTAAAGACAGATATTTGCATAAACTATTAAGAAAGTTACAACTATTTATGAAGGTTTTACGATAGAGCGTAAACACGTCATAAATTTTATATAATTCTTAGATCAGGAATAAGACAATGCACAGTCCTCGACTGGAGTTTACGGTTGAAGAATTAAACTTTTGTTTTGATGAAATACAAGTATTTTTAAATGATGAAGTTCTTCAAAGTCATTTTACATCAGATCGAGAATATAATCAAACTGTGGAAAATATCGAGAAGGTAATTCTGTAACAATAACACTGAACGAAAAAGTCTTATAGTGTATCAACAAATAGATTTTTTCAACGTGAACCGCACAAATAGAAACTGTTTTTCGAAAAAGCTAGCTCAAAAAACTCAGCCAGCGTCGCGTTATTTTGCCCGGTAATTTATTACCAAAACTAGAAATAATCTGAGTGAAGTTTTATTAATCTTGTAACACTTATAACACAGTTGCTAATATTTTTTTTTTTTAAATAAAATTGTTTTCCAGTTGCTCAACCTAGACTTTTAGTTCACATCGCGTACTTTTTGAAAATATTTTGATATATTAATTGGGTTAATTATTACATATCATTTTTCGTTGAACTAACGAAATTTTTACCATAAATTTGTTAGATCAAACTATGCAATTTTAATGTGGTGACAACAATCAAATCGAGCTTTGATGTGTTGGAAGATCGCCTTGATTCCGAAAAAAGTGACGAAGCACCTTACCCTGCGGCGATGTCGTCAAATAGAGAGGTAATCTGTCTAATCCGTTGGAGAATCATCTTGTTTTCTTTAATAATTATTTGCTTGACCACGGTATAACAGGCAAAAAAACAAATTGTAAACGAAAACTGACATATGGCGGTGTAATACTTTTGACGTTTCATGACAATTTTGATACACCGAAACATTCGTTTGAAACGGAAATTTTATTTGTTATGATATTAATACCGACCCACATTTGTCTTTCAGTTGTTAAGAAGTCTTCGTCGAGTATTTGCTTCAGGAGAAGTGAAATTTACATTAAACACAAAATCAGTGGAAGAAAAATTGAACGAATTGGAAATTCTGTTATCAGAACAACAAAGCTTAGCAGAAGAAAAAATAACGTTATTGTTTAGCAAGGTGAATCATGAGTGTAACTTAAATATACTGATAACACAGTTTGGCATGCGGTTTAATTTACAAACCATATTGTCAAAATTAAAAATACTTGAGAGGATATGTGATGTTATATTTTCTTTTACTAATTTCTATGTATGTTTTATTGTTATTGTAATTTTATTGTCCATTTTATTTTTCTCTGTGTCTGAGCCTCATGTAAATAATCTTCTTCCTTCCAGGCCAATTATTTGCGACATCAACTCGATCGCGTGAGTGACCTTTTTGTGTCGAATGGAAGACTCGATGAGCCTCAACAAAATGAAAAATACGAAAAACCTACTTGTTTCAATTCCTTGATGTTGTCAGATCAGGAAAACAAGAGAAAAAAGAACAAGAAACGAAATAGGAAGAACAAAAGAAAGTCAGCTGAATACAATAAGTTAGCACAGAAAAAAAGTAGCCATTTTTCTCTCAAGGTCAAGAAAAGTCGATTATACGTATCAAACAAGAAACAGAAATCGTCTCGGCCTTATTCAGTTCCAAACCTAAAATCTATGCCAATTTCAAATTACATTGGAACCTCCGCATCCAACAGCAAGTTTTTGCTTCCTCAGAAAACTTCAACAATTGGAGCAGTGCGTTACAAATCCACTGAAACTACAGACGACACATTTGGGTCGGCAGACACGACTGCAAAGGCTGAAAGTAATTTGCTCGTTTTAACAATTAACACAATCACGTAATTGTCCGGTATATTCAAAAAAGTTACGTTAAATCTGGCACTGATAGACAAATTACATTCCTTATTTTTTTCAACGCAGTGATATCTCGTGACATCTATAGTTTTATCTCAATATGTGTTTCAAGTCATTTCGATAATAAAGATAATGATTTCGATACTTTAAACCAGCGTTTCCCAAACTGTGTTCCGCGAGAAAGGGATTGCAATTGCGACCAAATTGGTCGCCATGGTGGTCTCGGCCGTGCTTCGGCGACTCTGGGTTGTAAATTTGTTATCAACTGCCGACAAACAGGCAGACAGGCCTCGTGGCAGTCTGGAAAGCTTGGCGTTTTCGTCAACCGTTCAATATCGTTAACCATAGGCCTAAGTGTTAATGACAATTTTTGTTTACAACATCACAATGCAAATCCTGAAGGATTTTATTTCATTTTTAGTCATCATTATCTAATATCATTTTATTTTGTTGTTTCATTGTAACAGCTTTGGAAAAAGCAAAACAGCAACATGTCGAGGAAAATAATAAGAGCCACGAAGCTGGATCGGACATACCAGGTACAAGAGTACACGCAGAAGATAAATAACCTACTCATTGAATAAATTTAAAAAAACAGCTCATGAATCACGCGATTCGCTTTATGAGCAGGTTGGCACTCGGAAGTTTGTGTACCAAAATGACACACAACCTGACCCCAATCTGGTACACATACTATGTTCAGGTTGTGCGCCATCTTGGCACACATATTTCGGGAGCACCAGCAGGTTTATATTAATCCATCTAAGAATATTAGTCACAAGTTTTTGTTTAAAACGAACGATATCGAACGCACAGTTGCTACGAATGTCCTTTAAAGTTTAAACTTTAAGCGATGATATACTGATATAATGATATACTGATCACTATTTATGTGTTCAAAGGACCATCTGGTTTGCAAGATAGTGAGACTGCTGGAAGTACATTGGGAAAACGAAAGAGTTCCACAAGTTGCTTAATTCCGTCTGAGTCAGTTAAAAAGAAGTTAATGATTCCGTTCAATCCAATTTTTGGAAAGAAAAAAGAACACAATAAAAACAATGGCCGTTCTATTGATACAAAACAAGCTGTGAGTCAATGAAATATTTTAATTTGGATAGTTGTATTGGGCAATAGTAGTTTTGCGATATCGCGGCATTATGCCGATACATTTACCACTAATTCTATACATGATAACAAATGTAGTTTATATATTAATTCACTATGCTTGCCCAAAAGAATTGTCCGGGTGAGGGAAATGGCACTACTGGAGTAGGTGGCGGTGGGGGATCAAAAGCAGGTCATTTTCAGAAAATATTGAAGAACCTTCTAATTGACCAGGTAAGTCGGTAATATAAATTAACATGAGACTTTTTATCAATGTGGAAAAATATATGATACACAATATTGGAAAACGAGTCGTGAAAGAAACAAGATTTTTTCAATTTCTGGATTTAAGTTTTATGGCCCAAAAATGATCTTGTTTTGAAAATATATATTCGATTCTCAATTAAATCTTTTTGCATTTTGCAATAGGTACATGCTTGATAATAATTATTGATATAAATATATTATAAATTTAAATGTTGCAGCCGCTTAATTTATTTATTTATTCATTTATTTGGTTATAAATTAATAATTATGCTTCACAGTCAGCACAGGGGTCTCCGGTTTACGAAGATCGGAGAGATGGTGAATATTTCAACAGTACTGTCAAATTTCAAACTAAGTTTGTCGTCAAATCGAAAGTACCAAATTCTAGTCCGGAGGAAGCTGAAATTGAAGCTGCAGTTCAGGTGTCGTGTGGTATATTATTCGTAAAAATACTCTACATGCATTCAAGGTGTACCGGAGCGGTTAGGCCTAGCTGTAGCTGCGCTGGGCAGTGATTGACTGGCAAGCGGGACGAGCATACCATATAGCCTATAAATTGTTCTCTTGAATTTAAATAAGACTGTAAAAGTTTTGGTGAAATATTAGTTCACAGACGAATAGGAGAAATTTAAGATAAACGTAATAGCATAGCGACCTAAATCATCGTCTGGTACTGCAAATTTTAAATTAATTGGTTCAATATTTGCAAAGAAAATTGATTTTTCCCAAAAATCAATCACCTCAAGAACATCAAAACATAATTGAGCGAAACTATTCATATGTCTACAACGTGTCCAAAAATTGATACACTCAAAATTGATATATATTAATAAAAATAGATTAATTTATATTCCAGGCATTGAAGAAATTTGGCCTTGAAGTCGGTGATAGAAAAAATGCAAAAGCTGTTTTAAATCAATTTTGCGAAGCGGCGGTTGGTACACGACCAAATTATCATACGTTCCTCGGTTCTTCCAAACTTCATATCGGAGTTGCGCAAATACATTCATTGTTTGCAAGTTGGAGCACAGGCGTTGACTCGGAATCAGATTTTCATTTTTTCAAGAGGCATAAGTTTACGGACGACATACTACTACAGGTAGGATACAGTTTACTCCTATTATCTCTTAATACTTTTACCACATTGTATTATATTCACATTTTGTAGAAATGTGTTTTAACTTTAATCTAGCTATTTCATTTATTTTTTCATTCAAACTATTTGATAATTTATGTATATAGTTAACTTTTATAACAAAATACCTTTCGCAAAAAAGATATAAAAGCCTTGACCTTTGTTGAATATCCTATAATAAATACGTTATATATTGGATGTTTAGGTGAAAACAATCGATTCTGTATCAAAAGAACGAGAGAATGCGGAACAAAGTTGTGCCAGAATTGCCTTACAAGAAGCAAACATTGACGAATCAAAAATATTGAATTTTAAAAGTGAGGAAACCAGCTTTTGAAACCAGTCAATCGACATTTTGTTTTGTAAATATTCGCTTAAGGCTCTTTAGATAGGCTTACGCCCACTTGAGATATAGATTTAAAAAGGTTTTCTACTCTGTATGAATTAAAATAACCTCCATAACAGTCGACAATCATTAGTTCAGTTTTTCTGAAATAGTTTTATTCTTATAGTAATTCTATATTCTTAATTCTATTACCGTGCCCAACTTACTTTCACTACTTATACGTTTGAAATCCAGAGGCTGCAAATGAACTGTGTCTAAGGGACGGTGGAACTCTTCCAATATATGAAACAGCCCGAGTATCAAAAAGAAAGGAATCGCAAATGGCCACTACTATGACGTCATTTGCCCGTGAAAAATTGACTTCGTCGGATTCGTCATCTGAGAAATCTTCTACAGATTTCGACATCATGCCAGAAAGTTTCTTGTCTGATGATGTTTTGTTGGCGACATCAGAACAGGTAATAAAACAGTAAAAAAAATTATATGTCTAGCTATAATTAACTCGAACGCAAGAATTCAGTAAGGTTGTTTTTCATTTTTTTTTGTCTCGCGATGCCGATGACATTTGTGTATAACTGTTGCGTTGCGTTGAAAGATTTTGGATTAGCAAGAAAATTTAAATTCAATATATATGTTGTTGTTATTTCCTAACCAGGATTATGTGATCGACTTAAAGCTATGATGGATCGACATGGCGTCCCAATGACCACAATACTTATACACAATACTGTTTGGCACAATCGAGGGAACAACGGCGTTGACTTCGCGTCGTTATTTAGCTTGGTTAGAAATTACGTTTGCAACCCTCTCGTTCCACCCCGGCCACCATTTCTGTCTGTGACGCATAACAGTGTAATATAGTGATCTTTGACCCCTAGCTATTCATGTCTGAAGATCACTTTTAATCCGTGTGCTCGTCACATGTACGGTAGTCTACGGTAACCCTAATCTTATATATACCTGTTTTTATATTTTAAGCCGTTTAGGCACATGTAAAATGACATAATGCATCGACTGCAACTAAATGTTTGCACGTTTCCCTATTAATATACGGTCTACGCCCAAGTATCATGCCACGCGAACACTTCATATCTGATGTTTGATTATTTCAGCCATCTTACACACAAGATCAAGCAGAGGAAGCTGCGGCAAAGTGTCTTCTTGAAAAAATGGGCGTTGTCGTCTCACCAGCAACTGCGGATGTTCGACCATACACGCACGTTCTGAGGGAAAATGCCGTACAGTGGGGATATCATCCACCGCAATATCACACTTTTGAGGTTGATCAAGTGACATTATTATTTCATTGTTTTAACGAAAACCCAGTCTGAATTGAATAAAGATTATATTGAAACCCAAATTCACCCCTTTCTTCGATAATCTATCTACAAATTCAATTTGATGTAGCGATTGTAAAAAATGCTTTATAGTTACATTATATACGGATGTATTATACTTCCTTCCACAGGTGAAGCCACAAATTGACCTTGGTCAAGTATATTTTGCAGTGGTCAGTAGTAGAGCGTTACACAAGTTTATGGAATCAATGAGTGCCGAAAGTGATTCAGGAATGACCACAATGCTGGATGCGAGAGAAAGCGCTGCGAGAAAAGCTTTACTAATGCTAGGTTATCCACAGATATTTCAAAAAGTTTAATTTAATTACTACAAGTCAGTTTTTAAAGCTACAAATTGTTTCTAAAATAAAGCATATAATTAACTTGTTAGTGATTAGTTTCTGAGGTTTCTGTTATTTCTACTAAAACATGTCAAGTTCTCAAGCGTTAGGCGAGAGGTTTGGAACGCTAGTTTCTGCAAACTTTTTGCGATGGAGTTCAAAATATATGAACATATCAGATGGCAGTGTGTAACAAGTGTTTTGGCTAAGAAGGTGTGTGAGGGTTGTTTCGTGAAGTTCTCGAAGATCTAGATTCCCCAAATTTAGGTCATTAAAAAGTTCTCTTCAACGTCTTCTGAAGAGGCTTCCGTTTTTTTGTTTTTGTGACAACTGGAATAATCATCTTTCGGTACACCACATCGGAAAAATTTTCTAACGCAATCAGGAAATCGTTTGTTGTCAAATATCGGTAAGAACAACTTCGGATCAAGTTCTTGTGGTTTCTTGAATCCTAGAAAAATAATTATTTTAAAGTGAAAAGAACGAATCAGTAAAATCGTGGGTACTCCCGTAGTATGTGTACCAGGTTGGGGTTAGGCCATAATTTTATTCCGGTTTTCCGTATCTCAGTTCTATTACGAGTTCGGGAACTGTCTGTGTTAGCTAAATGAATATACCTCCTGCCTATAAGCTTCAGCCTCTTGATGTCAAGTAGGCGAGCAAAATTAATTCCCTCCATATTGGTACACATATTTCTGGAGCGCCAAATCGCGTAGTGCTGCTTATTTTCAATATAGACGTATGCTGCAAAAGGCAGTTAACTCATATTATAGTCTAGTCTTGGCGCTTCGGACAGGTGTCGACACTGACTTGACAAAAATTACATTTAGCTCAATTTCAATTACGTTTCCAGTGAGACCTGATCCCGACATAGATTTCTAGGTGTAACTGGGAACTAATTAAAGAAAACTACATCGTACTGGAACTTCATAGTTTTATAATCTTTTTATTAGCTGTGTGTATCTAAAATTTGAAAAGTGATCAACACGGTTTAACAATTTCAGCATTACAAGTCAAAACCATGCGGTGTAATAAAAATATTACAATCTATCCAATAAGATAGAAAATCCACGGGCATCATAGTTTTATGTAGTTGTTTCAACGCTTTGCCCAGTCAAACTCGAGTAATATCTCATAAAAGTAATAAATCACCTGATATTCCGGATGCAATCAATCCTGTAACAATAGTGACTAGAGCTCCGGTTAATATGTAGTAATGAAAATTGATGCTGTAGATTAGCTGATCAACGCGATAACCCCTGGAATTGTATAATGTTAAACCGTATTGTGATAACACGCGTGATATGGTAGACATTATAAAGATATATATATAGCAATTATAAAGTTCTATACGTTTATTTTTCTAGTTACTAAAAAAGTGTTTCGAAATATTTTAAAACAAAGATATGTATATACAACAGTTGATAAAAAAAACTTTCTTTAAATATGATTCCTACTAAATCACCGCTTTGCAAGTACCGGGTTTAAGACTGGGGTTTCACTATATGCTAGAATTTTTATTAACAGATGTCAAGCGCTATACACATTTATATTTTATAGATATGAAGCTTTAGGATAAAAAATATATGGACACGAAAACCAAAATCGACGTAGCAACGGTAAATCTTACAGTTTACGGAAAGTCTTCCCGACTTCGACTGACCACTAGATCGCTGATATACGATTGCGGAACCGCCACACGGTGCGCAATTTTTTATCGTCTTAACTCAATGCGAAAAACGAATCCCATAAAGCCCACAGAATGAATAAAAATAATGGATGTCTAGTGACAACAACTATCTTTAACCACTGAAAATTTCCCAACAATTTTTCTCAGTAGTTAAAGAGAAAGGTTAATTTTCTACAACAACAATAACTGCAACAAGAAGAATACTAACAACAACAACAACAACATAACAACAAAGCGGTTTATAGGTCAAATTCGTGTCCACAATAAATAATAATAAATGTTTCATAATTCATCTATCTTGGATTTACTTCGAGTTTGATTAAGGATGACAGAGCTAGATCGAAAAAGTTAATTAAATTCGCTTCAGATAAAAAAAATTGTTTATTAAATTTTGTGAGCAGTGAACCTACTCGCTTGCCGAACCATCTTGTAGAGTTGTAATGCTTGAAGTAAGCGTTGACATCGTTGTATACGAACCATTTAATAATGGGCAGAGATCCGTTGTTATTGGCGGAAGCTGGATCCTCGGTGGTGCAGTAAGCAGAAAAATAGAACCGAGAAACACCCAAACCATAAATGCATATCCTACAAGAACACCAGCGATGGCTCCCTGATTTAGAAAACAAAACAAATGCTTGCAACTGGAATAATATAACGATTAATTCTATAACAGACAAATTCACCATTGCCAAGAACACAAAAGTTAGTCTTTCTATATAAAACTACATCTTCAGGATTAATTCATATCTGCTCAGCTAAGCAAATACATATAAAAAACGAATTGAAATAAAATATAAAAACTCATAATCAGTTGAAATAAAATCAGAAATTATGCAGCAAACAAATACTCACTGTGGAATTTGCCCAGGGAAAAAGAAGTCCAAGAATATAAATCCCGAAAACTGGACCACCAACTGCTCCCATCAAGCTTCGGAGAATTTTAAATATGTTTGACCCGAGTGTAGATATCATGTATCCACAGAAGGTGACGATTACACCCAGTAGTAAAGCTATAGAATGAAACATAACGAAGCAATCGGTCATTGGTGCCTTTGGTCCCTTATTCTGAACAATTCTATGTCGCGAAGGTATAATGAAAGTCTCGGAAATCTTGTATACGCACTCCGGTTTAAAAACATAATATATAGCTTTTGCCGCACACAAAGCTGACTAGAGTTACTGGGTTATATTGACTAAGGGAATTGCTAATGAATTACAATTTTATCACTCACGTTTTATTTAGAGAATCTAGTGAAGTTGATAAATTATGATAGTTACCACTTGTCTTTCCAGCAAACAGTTTTAATTTCTCTGATGCCCGAGGGTATATGGCTAACATAAAGTCTTCGACTATAACGATTGAGTAAGCATTAATTCCTGACGATACAGTGCTGTAAACATTTCAATGTGTTAGACCAGGAAGTAAAACGTTACCAAGTTAGATATTCCCAAAATCTATACTTCTATTCCCAAAATCTATACTTACTATACTTCAGGATTTGTTGAGCTACAAATATTAAAGTGGAAATACAAAAAGATAGCCAGCACTGAAAAATACTGCTTGACAACACATGCGTATCGGAAGTTGAGTAATATTTTTTTTGTCCATCAATAGGACCTCATATCTGGGCAGAATTTTATACAAATGGGGGTATATCTCTATGTTATTGTTGAGACGCGTTTTAGAAAGCTTTCAATATCTAAAAATATTTGTTCATTCGAAATGTGTTACCTGAGACTCCCACTAAACACAGCAGCAACATACAACCCCGACAATCCTGGAATGTTTTTGAACAAATGAAGAGCAATATAGGGCATTCCTTGATCTCTGCTGGTTAGAATTCCTGACTCAACCGGATCGCATCCTTCAAAGAATGCGTAGTAAAGTAATCCATTTCCTATTGCTATGAAGATAATCGTGATGGCTGGAATGATATATGCTATAATTGCGCTGAAACACAAAATGATTCCGGGGTAAGCTTTTTGATTCTTATTCAACTGCCGCAAATGTAATTCCATTGAAAAGTTAATAAAAACAATCCATACTTACTACTGTGATTGTGTCTTGTTCCTGCAAGATTGAATTCGTTGAAATATTGGTTGCGAAAATCCAAGGTAATGATTGAAAACAAAAAACTCCCCAACTAATATGGCCAATGGTGACATTCGCGATGAAATATCAATTTTATCGAAACTGGTAAAAAAGTAGTTCAATATTTTTTTGGTTATCACATCAATGTAATCGATAATTAGGCGAAATGGTTCTCAGTATTTTCGACGCCATATAACTGCGTTTATTTCTCACTAAACTTATTTAAGCAAACTATAATACATTTTTCATAAAAATGAACGGGTATTTTTTTTAAAGTAGGCTACGGTATACCTCATAAACGTCAGCCTTTCCCCACGACTGAGAGCAGCTTCAAGTTCTCCAAATCCCCCTAAGTGGACGATTCCGCATGTGAGAACAAGTATAGACCCGCCTAGCATCAGAAGAGACTGCACTACGTCAGTCCACACAACTGCTTTGATTCCTCCCTGAAATACAGGAAAATAACTGTTTCATAAAATAGAACAGTGGAATCTATGGCGAATCACCATTTTTCCTTGACGATGAAATTGTAAAGTTGTATTATTGAGATAATATTCTATAGAGTTTAAAGCCAAGCCATACTTAAAACGAATGTCGTATAATTAACATAAGTAACTACAAAACCTGACGATCTCTGACCTATTTATGACATATCAAAACACCCGAACACTTGCAGTTGCCATTGCAAAATAAAAGCATTCTGTACATAAGCCAGGTAAGCGCGATTCGTGTTAGCATACCAGACAAAGTATACAAAATTGAGACAGAGAATTATGTTTTATTGTGTAATGGGCAAGTTAGTAACATAAGGTCACGCGAAGTTGCAAGTTTGAGCCATCCTTTAGAAAATGATCCAAATGCGTGAATTTGCATTGATTTGCTGATAACTCTTTGTGGTAATGATATAAATATGAAAATATAAAACCATTCTTTTGTTTGACCGTACCAAAACTGTGTAGAAGGTGCAAATCCCGCCAGTTATTCCAATACTAATAGGAACTGTTATTGGAGTTACAGCACTCAACGCCAAAGCTGGAATATATGCAACCGTGCCCATGAAAAATACCTGAAAATTTTGAAACATAATTAATATTTGAATATAGAAAAACTCATTATATTGAATATTTTTTCAATTACTTTATGAGCTTATCAAAATCGTCAGCCGAGAAGAGAGTAAAGGCAGGTAGGCATGGATCAACCGAGCGTTTATATGATATGTTATAGTACTGGACTTTTCCGTTTCGGATTATAAACTACCAAATATTCAGCACCTTAGGTGAGGTGGCTGATCTGTAAATTTAAATTTTTGAATATAGAATACTTCGCCGGACATATTAACGTAGTCAAGACAGAAATTAAAAAATTATAAATATCTAAAATATTTGTATATATTGCCAGTATATACAATGAAGATATGACATTAAACACAGAATGATTTTTGTCACAACAAGTCAAGTTTATTTTTCCAACCCTTAAAAAATAATTTTCAATTTAATAACATACCTCGCTTAATGGAACCATAACCGCAACAATCCTTCTTGTGGATTTGTTGAATCGCAACTCTAAATACTGTATGTGTAAATGGAAATGATTCAAATCCTTAGTTAGACCTCTTCAAAACAAACATACAAGACACGAAATGCTCGGATCATATTCTAACAAATTGAAAACGTCTATGCCTATCACATGAGAGTGGGATTTTTCTGGTTTAGGTTTGTTACTTATCGGTCTTGATCGGTAAGTATGTTGATAGGTATTTGTCCTTTCGTTTGTTTGTCTGTTAGACACTTTCGTATGTTACGCGATATCTCACGAAAGCGAGGTTGAATCTGCTCCATTTTGCATGTGCATTCATCATATCTCGGACCAGAAGCCCATTGATTTTAGAGGAATTATGTCGTATAATTAGCGAGTTATTATTTAATTAGTAATGGGAGACGCAGTGTCACTATTGAGTCAGAGCGAAGGATACACGCCGCTAGATCGATAAGTCGGCGGTCTCTGATCGCTATCTCGTTTTTGACATTATCGCATTTTATATCATGTATTTTCTTTGCGTCGGTAGCACATTGGATTTTACTTTCTGGTGGTACTTGTTCATTTATTTCTCAAATTGTCACAAATATTTAGATGAACAAAAAAATCACCACTATTTAGCAAAATATCAAAAATGCCACATGACCCACTTGTAGGAAGCTTTGTGCAGGAAGCACGAGATTATTTCACTCAATACTCAAAAGAAAGTGAAACAAATGCACTTGTTCAGTCACGTAAAATTGAAAAAAAAATAAAACCCAGAAAATTCAGTTGTACGTTAAAACAGATTGAACTTCTTTATGTCAATGATTGCTTTTCCTTCGGCTTGTATCAATATGTTATTTAGTCGGAAATTATAACCACAAATTTTTTGTCATTGATTTTACAAATACAGTCAATGTTTTTCCCGATCAAACGTTTTTCTCGAACTACTCTCAGGAATGTGCCGGGAGGATGCTCTTATGGTAGCGATTATGCTAGTTCATGTAACCGTTAATGTAACAGTATGGAGCCTGATTCTGATTTATTAATAGTATTGGATAGAAATAAAAATTAGTTAATAGCACTAAATATTAACCTACCGCATAAATAGTCTCCAGTTCAAGATTGTTGTAAAAAGGTAAGTAGTACACGATTGTGACCATGGTAGCGAGAATAATCGCAATAGGAGCCCATATGTACACCGTTCCCACGATATATACTTCAGCTGGATATCCAATCATTGTTATTGCCGATATGCTTGTAACCGCAGTTGAAATTCCCACAGCGACCTTGCTCAAAAAGATGTTATCGCAATATTATGACTACCGCATGATAAAAATTATCGTAACTACCATGCATAAAAGCCACGATGGCAATAAGTAAGGAACTGCAAAATAAAATGCAATTGCACTACATAAAACCAACGCTGTGAAAACCGTTATGAATTAATAACGTTGGTGCTTGGTTATTCATGGTCGTTTCTTCATCATAAGAACTTTTTAAATTTTTTAAAGCTCATAACGATTAGTTTATTTTTTCTATGTAGCTTTTGTGAACATCCAATACAGAATAAATATGAATTGCCATCACGAAAAAAGTTTGTACGTTTATAAAATTAAATTATATATTATCAAAAAACGTTACGTAAAGTATAGTACAGATACCAACAAGCGATAAAATATCGTGTATCTGTTCCAACGGAATATTCCTACGATTCCTACTGTGAAACTGTAAAATCCCAAAATGGCTCGCGAGTCGCAAATACTGAAGAAGTATCAAGTTTTTTTTCTTAAAATGCAATCGCAGAAAACCTACAATAGGATAGACAAGTCGAATCCCTCAACACCGCTGTTATATATCGCCGGCGTTCTAAGTTTTCATAAAATTTTATCACATCGTTGTCTTTGACGTTATCGGTCGTCTATTGTCTTGTTTGGAGATAAGTTATAAAAATAAGTCGCACATACTGCATTTAGCTTTTTTTCTCCAAAAAAATAATTGCTCGTCGAAGAACTTTTCCTATCCTTGTAAGCAAAATACACCCCGATGAAGGAAGGAACGACCAGCAACGCTGTAAAAATTAATGAAGTAAACTTCATTTATATTAGATTCGAACAACGCAAACACACAAAATAAATACTGCATGTTAGACAATACCACAACACATTAAACAAGACAGCAATGCTTAAATATATGGGGAAGGGGAACGAGTACCGATACAATAATGAGTACTCCCGTAGTATGTGAACCAAGATGGCGGACACCGGAACGTAGTAGGCCATAATTTCAGGTACAAATACTAAGGGAGTCACTTAAATAGTCCCCGAACTCGTAATAGAATCAAAATAACATAAATTGGAATAAAATTATGGCCTAACCCTAACCTGGTACACATACTGCATTCCAATGTCCGCCATCTCGGTTCACATACTACGGGAGTACCCAATAATGCCTGTGAGAACCCAACAACAACCAAAAAAGAATTTAACATAAAGAATCAATAGTCCACTTTGTTGTCAATAACACATTTACAAATAAATTTAAGAAATGTAAATTAATAACACGCTGGCTAATGATCATGGGGATATAAACAATGATTGTGCATTGACAAAAATTCCTACAAAAAATCAAACAAGATATTGCAATTCAATGTTCTCACCAATGAAAACCACGTAATCGGCAATTGCAAATCTCGTATCCACAGTTTTCTCCATTGATCTTCTCTAATATTCAAACTTTAAGTGAATTGATCTTTACAATATAGACAAGCCTTGTATAAAATATCTATATTCTATATATTCAGAATACTGTACAAAATGTTTTACATTTTAAATATTTATATTTTGAGTTACCCCAGATACTTTACGCTACCGAATCTGCGACCAGCGAAGCGCGCTGATCATACAGACGACTGGTTTCCATGCTCCAAATCAGAGGCGTGCAGCTGTCTATCGCAATGGGTCAAAACTTCAATTTATGATGACGAGAGCCAGTGAAATTTCGATCTTCTTCAATATTTTGCGTGTCGGTGGGTCACGAAATAATAAGCTATCTGCTTCATTATATATTCCTTTACCAAAGACACTTTTCAATGAATATTTTTAACTCGCAATTGATCTACAATGCTATGGTATAACTAGCAGAGTGTTTTATACAATTGTGTGGCTTTTTTAGCAAATTGCGCTAATCGTATCTTGATAGTGTTGAACAGTGAAATATTTTGGACACCAGTCAATTTCGAACTTCCGCCATTTATAATCAACATTGTTGTTAGTGGTAAATGATTTGACGTTTTTAATCACAACACCAAATCACAGCAGCAAAAAATATCACGTTTTTGAATCGAATTTTCACCCCATAGTGTGACATAGTCAAGTAACAAAACACCGGGAACGACATTGGTGCAGCCGTTACAAATGAAAAAGCTTTAATAAATATCAAGTCTCTTACAGGCTACATAAATAGCTTCCACGGGTCGTATGTGGCACCCCTCATCTCTAAACGTTATTCAGAAAAGTTTTATCAATAGAATTTTTCCACCTTTATTTCTGTGACTAACTATTATTTTCGTCAAGAGGTGCACGAATAGATAAGGTTTTCTTCCCATAATCTCTTTTCCCTCAAGCCTAATCTTTCTATTTTGATGGAACACATACTTGTATCTCAATCGCCTACGGCCCTACACGAAAATTGAAACCCAGCCCATCACCTATATTTTGTATTTTACTCGTTTGTTGAAATGGTAGTGACATTTATGAACTTCACTAAGCGTGGTTTTTTAAACGGTTTCCCGATTGACTCGTTTATTGAAATGGTAGTGACATTTATGAATTTCACTAAGCCTGGTTTTTGAAACGGTTTCCCGTTTGACTTTTGTTTGTTGAAATGGTAATGACATTTATAAATTTCACTAAGTGTGGATTTTAAAACGGTGTCCGGCTCCCGGCATTTGTATCTGTTTAATATATTAATGTTTGGAAAAAATGAACTCGACTATGATAATGTCCTGTCACAAACCTCATTTAATCAATATTATATAATAAATAATTTCATATCCTGAGCTACTTCGATACTACCACGTCATCATGATGTTATGCACTGGCGTAAACTACTCAAGAAAAATATTTCAACCCGCAGTTGATGAGAGTAGCGTACATGTGTAGAAAGACATTGGATTCAGAACTGTTTTTGAATCGAAATAGCGGAAAGCGGAAGGATTTTCAAGTGGTATAGCCGCGTCAGTGCGAACACTGCATTGAGTGGAAGTTAAATCACGCCAGTGATTTCCCTACACCCCCCCTATAGGGGTGAACACCCCCCCTAAAATTTCAAACACCCCCCCTAATTTTGAGGTGCGATTCCACACTGAGGGGTTCTAAACCGCAGTCTGCGGGCCAATTAGGGCCCGCGTGACGATTTAAAATGGCCCGCCGAACTTGAGTGAAATAGTTTAACCCTTCATGTGGTACCTTTTGCGTTTTAGATACCGTCTATTGTTACATCATTATCACAGTTTAAGCACGTTTATTTCGTAACAATTGAATTATTCCGGTATCTTATGTATACGTATGGGTATTAGGATTACACACTGCAGTATTTTAGATATCAGCCGTATATTAAGAAAGCTTGAAGATGTCACAAAACGAAAACTAGGCACTGAAAACAGACTTTTTTTAGATTAATGACAGCGTTGTTTATTTCTTTATTGAAAAGAATCAAACTTCAGCGATTTGTCTTCTTACCAACAAAATATTTCAGTTCTGAAGGAATACAACATTATGCGACATTACGATCAGTTGACGAGCTTATTCCAAAATTTAATTCATACAAAAGTCAAACAAACATGTTCAAAAAAATTAGAAATGTGTAACAAAACAAGCCATAAGTAGCCACTCATACAATGCCAGATGAGCAAGTAACTTCATTAGTCACTATCAGTTGCAACTTGCAAATTACTTGTTGAAACGTAGTAGTATATATTTACGGTTGAAAGCCGTGCTTGTTATCTATTCCCCGGGAATTCTATCAGCTAAATATTATAATTATTGATTTCATTACATAACAAACTGCGATGTTAGGTGTATCTAAAATCAAGCTTAGAGCTATTTTCTATTTTGGTGCCTATTTCTCAAAATTTTCTCAGGGCGCTTCAGCGCGCCCTGAACCCCAGCCGTGTCGTCCCGCACTTTTCCTCGCTCCCCTTTTTTGGCCCTACAATTACATTCTGCTGTGGATTTTGGCTCGCGTCAATCAACTTGGGGGGCCCCCATGTAGCCTACATCGTTTCTTAAATACATACCATTTTTTAAGGAATACAAATAGCCTAGTTTTTTTTATCTAACAGCAAATTATTTACCACCCCCTAAATTTTGAAACACCCCCCCTAAAAAGAAAAGCTGGGGAACATACTGAATCACGCAGTCTGCAAATCGCCACATTACTGCCACTCGCCATTGTCATTTCGTGTCTGCATTGCTCGAAGGCCTTCGAAGTTTTAAAAATGTAATGTCGCTGTTTCATTGCACCACCTCTTTTAAATCAGAACTTGAATCCCTGAAGCTCTGAGACAGACATATCACAGATCCAGTTGCGCATGTTACCCATTTAGAAATTAGAATGTAGACCTCCACAACATTGCAAATGTTGCGATAGACAGTAAGATTTTCGGCGTTGCTAAATACAAATATTTTTAACTAAATAAATTCGTTATGTTAATTTCTCGAAGGCATTGTAATGCAGACGTGCCAACCCGCACCAGCATTGTTTAAATAAGTTTACATTCTATGATAGGTAACAGTAACTACAATTTTATTAAAACATGCACTATAAATTCAAACAGATTGGATATTTGTAAGCGAAAAATTATCTAATTTAAAAGATTTCGCTGCGTTTCGTTAACTGCGTTATCAACTGCGACAGCGCTAAGTCTTATTACAAACTTCGTCTGTGGTTTACCACAACACGTTTGTACATACATATATATATATACCGGTATCAACTGATATAGTTTACAACAACAAATCAATTTTAAGTTCGAGTCATCTGTAACAGACTGCATGCATCAAAGATACTTACTATAAATCTTACTGAAAGTATTTCAGTTTATTAACATTTTTTAATACATATGAAAGATCATCGAGTGATCATATGGATCCCTTTCGTACAACTGAACGGATCATCCCTGGGGAAGCCAAAGTTGAACGAGAAGAAGACTTCATCATGTTGCCAAACCACAGCCTGTAGTCAAATTAGAAGTACAGGCCTGGTAAGAGAATAACTAATCCGTTAGGTAATATGTCCGGGAGTAAGAAGAAGAAGCGGGAACTAGCAATCTCGTGAAATGGCCTGGGACGTTCAGAAATCCTAATTCTTCCAGCGTCAGCTCCCAGGACGACCTGCTGCCTAAGACGGAGCTTGTGCATTTCACATAAATGCTAAAAATGCCATTTTATGGAAAAATGGCTCTTTGCAGTGATTTCCATTATGATATTTTGCCAAACCTGTCTTTAATCTTAAAACTGGAATACGTTAAACAGGAGCGTAGCCATCACCTGGGTATAAATCGGAGCAGCCGATTAACGAGAGAACAAGTCTTGGGAACGATAATTGACAAATGCCAACATAGTGGAGAACGAAATACCGCGAAAGCTAACTATTTCGACAATATTGTTTCGGAATTTGCTTCCCGATAACGTAATTTTGCCAAGATGTTTTCTTGCGGGAATATTTTTCGAAACATTGGAGTTTTTCTACAGCGCACTGGAGCGAGAATTTATTTTGTGAGAACGGATTTTTGTGAAAATTTTGTTTTGTAGCAAGATTGGAAATTTGAAAATAACATAGAAAAAATCATTATCATCAATCTAGCAAAATGACCTAATTATTTGTTGAAGTCCGATAGTAATCCCACGATGGCGATTGGACTTCTGCACTTTGAGTAAATTCAACTAGAACAAACTTCCGCTGTAACTCCGGTTTGCTCCCACGATAAGTATCCGCGCAGGTTGTACAGATGAACCAAGACCGAATATTGGAGATTTATTCTATTCCGAATCCGAGAGCTCACCCTAGTATTACACCCGGTATTACAGATATTCTAGAATGGCCTTTTACACACTACTAAATAGATATTTATTGAGTAAATAGAAGAAAATTGCACAAACACAAAATGAATTTGATATACAACCGTCAGATATTGAAGAGCATACCTATCAGCCATAAAGGAACTTACAACAAAGAAAATACATCAAATATAATTCAGTTATAATAGCGAAGACACACTACGTTATGTTGCTTTAGTCGACTTTTTTAGTGGACAACATGTCAATACATAATTCTTTGAACTTTGACATCAACAATATATAAATTCGAAACCGATGACTAGTATTACCAACTAAAGCCACATTGTTGACTGTGGCTGAGATAAATAATACAAACATGATTTTCGTTTTTGGTCTGTGTGAAAGGAGAGTTGAGATCTAGTTAACTAAACGCAAAAATCAGGGCATACACCCATGAATATTCAAGATATGATCAATGCTCATAGAACAGATTCTGGTCATCATTATTCAATGATATAAGATAATGAAAAATTAAAATACCATAAAATGCAATGCTCGAAATGATTTCCATTTTGTAGTAATTAAATTAGATCATGGAGAAGTATACATTGCCAAATACATTGCCTGATATGCAGTCGATAGAAAGTTTACATTTAAAACACTGTCAAAAAATTCCAGCATATCTCAATTTTCCAGTCAAGTACCGATCACAATGCATAACAACATATAATTGGCCGATCTATCAACAATACTTATAAGTGATATACCGTATTTATTCGATTATAACGCGCAAAATTTTGAACTGAATTTTAGGCAAAAATCAACGCTGCGCGTTATACACGAGGTCTGAGAAATGCGGTATTGAAAATGTGGTTTTAAACATCTGAAACGTGCGTGCGCTCGCGCATGCACATTCCAATGCAGGACGATTTCGTGAAAGCACACGCACATGCGACAGCTCAGCGTGCGTTTGACATTCGTGCAAGCACACGCACATGCGACAGCTCAGCATGCGTTTGACATTCCCGCTGCGTTGAGAATATTTATTTGCCATTATCGTACTGTACTGTAGATACGTGTAGATCACGTAGAGAAAGTGATGTTCCCGCCGATTGGGACACTGATTTAAACATAACCCAAACAGAAATCGAACAGTTGTTTGGTGAATCAGAGACTGAATCCGATTTTGAAGAGTTTTGAATTACTGTGTGCTTTTAATAAATTTTTGTTCATGCTGTGAGTTGTTACCTTATGTGCTTACCAGTAGTTAGTAGAGAAAAAATAAAAAAAAGAATTTTATACCAATTTTCATTCAAAATTTAAAGGTGCGCGTTATACACGAGTGCGCGTTATATTTGAATAAATACGGTATATACATCATCATCACATCCGGCGCACACCGGAACGTAGAATGTGTACCAGGTTAGGGTTAGGACATAATTTTATTTCAATTTTTCTCATTTTTGTTCTATTACGAGTTTGGGGACTAGCCAAGTGACTCCCCACGTACTATGTTCCGGTTTCCTTGGTTCACATAATACGAGGGAGCCCGCAAATCAATCGTCACCGGTGTTTCATGCCCATCAACTCACTCAAATCATAATAAATTGGGTAGTTGATGCCGAAGCTGAAAGATTTTGGTCAATATGGGAAAAGCTTACAACTGCCTGCCTATAAAGGCTTATTCGAAGTGTAGTTTACTATATTTACGATACTTTTCGAGCATAGAAAGTCTTGGGATCAATCAGTAGAATAATAGGTTCACGATTTTAGAACCAATGGATCTGACTATCTATGAATAATAGGAATTCCTGCGACTTTGATGCCAAACACCAAGGTGGCAATCGAAAAAAATTGAATATTTGATGAAAGTACCGCATTGACTTGGATACTTTGGCTCACTGCATGAGGAACAAATTTGATTCTTAACATCGATTTTAACCAATGAAGTCAAATTCAACTGTAAAGCAATAACCACAAACCACAGTATTCAATATAACGACGCAAGAAACAACATTAAATTTCAATTTAACACAAAAAAATCTGCAATCCACAATCAAATAACCACTATTTCTGGTTTGAATAAAAGTTTCATCTCTGCTTTAATCCATTTTAATCCTCTGGCTAGTAACTCTATAAATAATATTATCCTTGCCTGGGTCCATAAAAAACATGTTATAGGTTACAACAAGGACAGCAATGAAAAACCCAATCATGAGCCAAAGCATGATGCTGAACATTACTGCAAATTCTGCAGTATTTGGTTCTGCAAGGTTGAGCTGCGTAAAGTTAACTGCATTACCAGATGAGGCAGGAACAGCGGCTTGTTGAAGACTTCGTGTATGACGTATCTACAAATATTGTGGTATGAAAGATTAATATATAATTAATATAATAACATGAAAGCGCTGCTCAAATACATGGAGACCAAGGCCAAAACGAAGTGGTATGCAATCTGTCACAGTAGACTACCGGTACCGCAGTATTAAGACTTCGCCAGGCACAAATGAGTTCGCAAAACGAAAGACAACGGTTTCGATGGCATAAAAGCGTGCCCCATGAACAAAAATAAAACAGCGGAATTTAATATGAAATATCAGATCTCATATGAAATTTAGAAACATGTAAAAGTAATCGCCTTCACGCTTATTCTACATATAAAAATATACAATATATTTACTATAGCATAAACCATTTCAATGGCAAAACTAAATTAGGTATTTTTTCAAATGTAATCAAGTCTATGAATAAATTGGCATAAAATTTTCAAGATTTATCGTGGTGGAGAAATGAAAAGAAACTAAGACATATGACATTTCGGAAAGTATAGCTTCTCATTTGGTTATTGAATATAGATTGAATATTGGAATAACTAATCAATCAGATGCTGGATATCAATGTATAGATGTATCCTGTGGAAGCTGCTCAGTGTTACCTACCAGCTGGATAGTTCCAAAAAAAAAATAATATGCTGAAGAAAATTTGAATATGGGTCAGGGGTCAGTCAATTATCCAGCAGAAAAAATATTCGAATCTCACCAGATAATCAGATACAGCGGGAGCAGCACCAGTTACATCGACTTCACACAACACTTTTCCATGATAAACGCCCTCCAATGATTCAATGAACTGAAAGAAACATACAGACAAATGCCAAAAAAGGAGAAGTAGAACTACTTTACATAAACAATATAACAGCAGGAAATAGTCATATTATCGGGGGTGGCGCTGATTTGTTTAACTTTATGTTGAATTTGCAGGAAGCATTTTAAGAAATTTGAGATTGTGCTGAGAATGCAATGCCAATTGTGATTCATTCCAATCTGTATTGGGATAGGTTTCACTGAAATAAAAAAAATTTGTCTTATTCAGTAAATTGCAGTTTTATCTATGAAAAACCTACTAACACTGAATGACACTGAATGAGCTCTATGTGAAGTACGATTTTTAAAGAAGTGTAAACTACTGGCTCACCTGAGGAATGTAATATTCGAATAATTTGATTGCTTCTTTCACTTGAGGTGAAGTGGGACCATATCTTTGAGATAAAATATCCAATGAAGTTAATAGAACATGAACACTCTGCTTCGCTTCAGTGTCAGTTTCACGCTATAGACAATAAGAAAGGAAATCCAAAATACCAGTGCAAGTTGATCTCCTACAGTTACAGTAGATTAAAGTGAATCATTTGATTCGGAATGATTCGAATGAATCCATTAAAATGAAAAGTGCTCTATATAATAGAATATTTCTATAGAAAATTTGCTCAAAGCAAGGTCGCACGAACTCACTCACAAATAAAGAAGTTAGATCTCCGAGATAAATTTTGGAAAAACAATTTCAAAATGATTGCTTTGCATCATACCACCAAAATGATATTAGGTAATGAAATACTTTCATAAATAAAATGAATTGAACAAAATTTGAATATCACTTGTTTTATATCATACCAACTGTGTGACAGCATCCATCAACATTTGTAATTCTTCAAAGAAATGACAATCTTCATCATTGTTTGTGTTTAAAGAAATGATTGTTATTGGCAATGAACGAATAATTGCATCTTCCTCCATGATGCGTTTCCTCATTTGAAGAACATCAGCCCTGTCGATGTTTGAGCCTTTGAACTATACAGATCAATGTAGGGGGTTAAGAAATAGTATAAAAAAATTTGTAACAATCAAATTATACCATGTTGGGGTTGATTTTGGATGAATAGAGCCCCAGCGCCAAAGTGCTGTGAGGGCTTTTTAAAAGGTCTGCAGAATAAAATGTCATCTAGACCAGTGGTTCCCAAACTTTTTTGACCATCGCCCCCCTACAGTAGTTTATACAACTTCATCGCCCCCCAGCACTGCAAAAAATGTGAAGTCAGAAACGAATATATTACAGACCAAATGGGAAGACAAATCATACTTTATAGTGTTTTTAATGAGATGGATGCGCTTGGTGTTCTTCAGCGAGTTTTATTTATTATTAGGTGACATTTTCGTCAGACACAATCTTAAATCACCCCGTTTACTGATGGAAATGCGATTTCGTTGTTTTGATAGCAATAGTAGCACGGCTGAAAACCCCTTTTTTACCATATATAAGAGGTCGGAAATGAAAGAAGACAGGGTTCTACCTCCTCAAAAACCGCTGTGTACCTACCTTATTGCATTTAACTCCCCCAAATTCACCCCATTTTACATTAAACTGATGAAAACAAAATTAATTTTCCGACAATTTTTGATAATGATTTTTGTACATCTCATTCATCCCTACAGCCTGATGACCTTCACCAAAATACATGATATATAACGATCTTCGGTAAAATTCACCCTCGATTCCTCATCCTACCATGGCCTCCAGTCCGATCACCAGTTCATAGAATTAATCAGCCATTTGTTTTAGATTCGTGGACTCGGATATGGAAAAAGCTGTGACCGACTATCGGCTACGGCCCAGGTGTTGGCAAATTTTATGTGGCTCGCTGGACAAAATTGAGGGTTGCTAGTCTTTTGCGGGACGCATATATTTTCTGAAAGGTAAAAACGGAACATCGCGCGAAAACTGCGACAATTCATGAACTCAACTCAGTCGTCCTATTGAAAAATTATTACAATGACATTTGATGTGACACTGTCTTATTGCTGCATCACGCCTAATAGCTTTGCGACGCCAAGGAAAAGTTTCTAAATAGGGCATCACTAATCCTAGTTCTTTGCTTGTTTTTTGTAATGTTCATTTTCGAAAATATTTGTTCACACAAATATGTACTTCCAAACATCGAAGTGAATATTTTCGCATGGTTTGTGAAATTTTGATGAAGATTTTCCTTAAGAAGATACATTCTTACAAACATTAAGCAGTGATCAAACTCTCGAATAGAATATGATTTTTATTTCCTTATTGCATTGCAATATATTTGAATATTTACTGCGATATTGAATCCCTGCACTCAGCATCAACTTTTCTGCGTGTTGCCATTTGTCTAATCATAATTGAATTGTAGGCTCGTTAAACGAGTAACAGCTGTTCACTAAATTGTTAGGATATAATATATTTTAGTCTAAACGTGTCTCACGATAAGTTTTGTTACGTAAAAAATGTAATTTGCTACTCGAGCGAAGATTATAAATAAAATTAATTCATCTAAAAAACGCCGTTTTGTCTGTATATTGGATGTTTCCCCAGGCATATACTTCCTTGTTTACTTCGTGACATTGGCCAATCAGCAAGATGCAAAAATAAACGTTACAATGCCCCCTTTCACATCCGCTCGGACGCTTTCTCGCTCAAGACTGATTTTCAGGCATGGTCGTAAAGTAAACATTACCCCAATTTCTCGGTTTTTAAATTATATTCGTTTGCTTTTAGTTGTGTTTCGGAAATTTACCTAAAAATCAAATAATTTATTGATCACTTTGTCTTCCTATGAGTTTCAGTTTGATTGCCGTAATCAAAAATTAGAGTAGAAATAGCTGTGATAGACTAGGCTAAAATTCTTTACCGGTAATTTCAAAAAACAGATTGGTGAATGGTATGAATTAGAATGATAGTTTGAAATACCCCATTTTACAGGCGACAACTCGCGAAACCACTCTTAAAATAAACACCGAAAATTCTAAAATGGTAAAGTATAAGAAGAATTCCCCGCGGTCAAAGGTCAGGGAAAGGTCTATTCAGTGAAGGGTCCCGGGCCAGATTATTTTGCTCCGGCTGTATTTTGTTGACCACTGGGATACGCAAACTAACGTGCCTTAGTGCGGAGACGAGTCCAGCAATTCTTTCGCGTGTGATAATCGCCCACGTGATTCAAATCTACGGAAGCACGCAGAGTACGGTATTCAAGTGCACGATGCGCTGAACAAAACCAGGTTTAGCGAAATCGCCCCCTTCGACTTTTTCGCCCACCGGGGGACGATATCGCCCACTTTGGGAATCACTGATCTAGACCAGTGGGGCGCGCCCCACAAGGGGGATGTAGACAATTTGGGGGGCGTGGAGCTAATTAAAAATAAAATATTTGATAGATTTCATACTGACCGCATTATTTTGGATATTTACATATCTTTATTTTAGATATTTACATTTCATCCCCGTTTTTTCATCGTGTTTTTTTAAAAAAACATGCGTTCGCCTTACATTCTGTTATTTGTAGCTCATTTTTAGCTAGTTTAGCGACTTGAAGTTTGAGAACCACTGCTCTAGACACTCTAGTAACTTTCATAGCGACTTGCAGAATATTTTAAAGCTGCCTCTGTGTGTATGAAGCACAGTGTCTATGAAGTTCTCACTAGGCATATACAAGATTCGTAAATTAATTGAACTGATCAATACATTCTGGCTTCTCCGCATATATTTTGACAATGATTACATTCATTTGAACTTGATACCAATAACTACAATCGTATTAAAAAACACTATCGTAAAGTGTAAGATTGAAATTATTGTCGACAGCAGCTCACAGAAAAAGTAGGATGACTAACTCATTTATTTTAAATATTTCTGTGAAAACAAGGGGAAAACTCAAAAATTTCATTCAATATTTACTTTTTCATGCAGTATATTGTTATTCACAATCAACACTCAATATTTTTTCACACATGAGCGACGAAAATATTTCATATATATCGATGGACATGTAAAATAACTCTACACGCATAACATTACAACTAGTCTTCAACTTACTTGATCAGGAAGCACAAATGATCGAATGACAGATTGACTTGAATAATCAGAAATTAGAGCAGAATTCATTTCAAATATTGGTGGAATGCTTGACTCCAAATTATCTGTTGTGTACTTGATGATGTGCTAAAATAGAAATAATACATGAAATCTAAATGTAATAAATGGATAATAAAATTTAGAAAAATCTATATAAATAAATGTGAAAAAGCCACTTCAAAAACATAAAATTATACAAATAAGATTTCTGAATACATATTATAGAATAAAATATTTAAAAACAATAAAATATCATGGATAGAACAAAAATACCTTGCTCAGGGCAAAATCGTTCCCTTTTGGAAGATGTAACGTTATCAGAACATTCGCTGTTGGTGGATTGAACAAATCAATGCTCTGAAGACCTTAAAAAAATTATATAAACATTGCGAACCCAAAAAACTAGTCGCTTTCAAACATAGCATGTTCTATTAGGTCTTTTGTGGACTTTCAGTTGGAGGACCATGCCTTTACTTTGAGCAAATTTGCATGAAAAAAATTTCTAATCGAGATGTTTGACGCTTACAGGTATGGGGCAACAAAATCATTTTATACACGATAATATTCCTTGGATCATATCTCAACTTGAAATTCTCAGATACTCATTGTATTGTGGGGTGTATCATAATGCCATACCTACAAAGCCAACAAAGATTTACTTGTCTGATACAATATAGGAAGTGTGACTGAATGAAAAAATCTACACAAAAAATTTACAACCGCATCAATTTAAAAATGTGGTTTCGTCATCAAAAGTCAAAATACAACCAATTTATAAATTGAACTAACAATTGAAATTGCATATCGACAATGTTACCTGGCCATGTTTCAGTGCGATGTAAATATTGTGCAGGCAAACCCATCATGAAATTGATGATTCCCGGCAGTTCGCGCCTTCGAACAGTTTGATCAGTTCTCGGTATAAACTTCATTGTTTTCGGTGCACTTGCAATGTAAAACTCACCAAGACATGTTGAAATGAGCGCTGAAGAAAAAAAAATGGAATATTTCATAACCATATTACTGTACCCATATATCAGTAGGGTGGTGCAGCCAGTCTGCGGACGATTTCGTTCAAACCGCTATAAAATAAAAACCAATATTTCTAACCGGTAAATTTTTTCACCGTGGGTGCATTGGCATTTATTCTACACTCTACAACTCGAATTAACTCTCTACAATCAGGGGTTAAATCTAAACAAACTACCAAGATAAGACACTCAGAAGACGTATTTGCGACCGAACGACCAGTGATTTCGAGACTTGGAAATCGTTTTTGCTGCGTCGAGACTACAACATACACAGCCATGCGTGAAAAAATTAGGCTTCTAATTGCATTTCTGACCGTCATTTATTTTGAGAACACGGTTATTTCGAACACAATTCGTCAAATTATAAACAAAGCACCGCATCGCAGCATTAAACACACAAAAACATGATGGTCGCATATTGGTCGACAAAGATATTATCGACCTTTTGAAGAATGCGCACCCCTGCCCCCCATTCCACCCTCTTTAAATGTAGATACGCGAACTTTAAAGATGGTTAAAAGTACCACAACTCTACCCAACTGACAAGTTTTATCTTTATATCTCTTTATATTTCTATAAATTTTCAAGCTTTTCTACAGGGACAATGGGTAGTTAGCGACATAAAAAAATGGTTCGTTTTTTTTTCTTCAAGTCGGGTGTTAGGTCGTAAGTTCATAATTTCATTGTTTGTAGCCGCATTTTAGTGTAATTTCGCAGAGCTACGAGGGATAAGTGGACGATAACGCATGAGTAATTTTTTCGACATTAATTACATTGATGAAGTTGATGGCCGCAAAGTAGCTAAGCCACCCTATATCTGTATATACCACTACCACAGCCTGACAGCCCCTGTAATAACTTTATTTACAAATAAATCAATCAATCATTTATTTTGGTTCTCTGGCATAAACAATACAAAAAGTAATCAGACAAAACAAAATATAGAGATACCTGGGAGATGGGCATAACTTTGAAAAAGTTTAAAAAGCGTACAATGTACGTGCCCGCCCACCAAAAAAGAATACAACAAACACAGGAAAACGCGATTTACAATCGGGCAGTACTTTGAGAGCAATTTACCAAAAACAGCAAATTGAAGTAAATAATTGAATGCAATAAACTTCTACCTTTTAAATTATAAATGTGAGACGTGTATGTGTAACACAACAGTGCTTTTCACACAAAAACATGGAACAAAAAAAACACTCCCTGACGCAAAACGGTAAGGCTGTAGGCCTAGTTCAATTTCATTGCAAAAACAACACAGTGCAGCAGTGACAAAAAATTGTTACTAAAAAAACAAGCTTGATAAATAGATTGAATGTTCGGGTCTAGTATAGTTTAGTACCACAGGTACTTCCAGTGGGCGTAGCATAACGAATTTTGCATATGTTATTCCTAACCCCCACTTGACTATGCCATCCAAAAATTACGTCACTACGACGTCGCCATCACGTCATAGGTCTTGCCAAAGTATAATTCCGATCGCCCGAAATGACATCTGCGCCGCCGATAACGAACTCGCTGAAGCCGGCTATCTCTCTCCTATCGTGATCGTTGTGACGAGAAAACGAGAGAGATAGCTTGCTTGATTTCGGGTGCTCGTCTGCGCGTTTTGGACGACCATTCGCATACTTTGGTAGGCATTATTACGCCACTGTGACGTCAAAATGACGTAATTTTTGGGTGACGTAGTCAAGTGAGGGTTAGGATTGACATATGCAAAAATTGTTGAGCCAGGCCAACTAGAAGTGCATGTGGTACTAAACTATACCAGACCCGAATGTTCCATAGCAGTCTATGCACTATGCACAAGTCATGGATTGGGGTACCATACCGTATCGGGTTCTTTTGTCTTTTTTGATTACATATAAATGATATATACAGATATGAAGAATCCAATTCATGTTTTTAAACTTCCAGTTTTCGGATTTTATGGTTACCAGTACCGTAACTTTTTTTTATTTATTCCTGAAGGAAAATGGCCAATTGCCGTCCTGTACGATGGCAGTACCCTTTTCCTTCAATTTTTCTGGGCAAAAAATTAAACTTACCAAGACACACAAAAATACGAAGTCCATCCATGTCACACTAGTGATACTTGTATTCGAGTTGGAGACTGTACACAGAACAACAATCCTGTTTCGCAGCAAACCAGTAAAGGAGACTAAACGGATATTACTTACAGACTTATAACGTCAAGCCTGATCGATAGGAAGCTGACTTCTTAGGATCACGGGACGCAGGTAGGGGTGAACGGAGTCCGTTGTTCAATATTAATGAGTGTATAGGTAGAAGTTTATTTCGATCATATTCAGCATACCGGTACCAGACGATAAAATAGTGGATAAAAACAAATAAGATAAAACTGGAGATAGAACCAGGAGATAAAATGAAACCTCAAGTAAGGTTTTTGGACGTACAGAATTTGAGTTGAGTTGCCAAAATAGAGTGGTACCGGTTCACTCACCTAAAAGCATCAATCATTTGGAAAAAAAAATAAGTGGAAAACAGCAGCCGCGAGCCCCAGCGGCGGCATATGAAACTAGGATAGGATAGGATTTACATATTTATCCCGGGGGAGAGGAAAGCCGATAAGGCGGCTTATCCACATGGCGAACCACGGCCTCTCGTCCGGTTACCATTCCAAGTCGGGTATGGGATTAGATTTACTGTATTGTTTGTTTTTCGGAAGCATGGACTTGATGGTAGAGGAAGCCGTAACCGACCAGCGGTTACGTGAACCACCCAACGACGGCGAGGAGTCCAGCAATCCTCTCGCACATAACCATCCCTGCCTGGGATTTGAACCCGCGAACCCACTCAGAGTAATCAGAGGTGCGGTGGCGAGCCCTAACGCTTAGCCCGTTGAGCCACACCGACGCGCCGAGAATGATAACCCTCTATAATAAAACTGTGTATTACAGAGTGAAATGTTTTTTCAAAAAGATAAATAAATTACTGTTGTATAATAACGTAATACAGCATTTATTGCAAGCTACGCAGGTTAGTTCGATTAAACAATGCGCGGTAAGAGTATAATATCCGATATCAACCACATTCAATGCATCTTTCTGAATATAGGTACCGGTTCCCCACCAACACTAAAACCCAGGTAAGAAAACTTTGTGTAGAAGTAGAAAAGTTGATAATTCTCTTAATCATATGATGAACCACATCCTCTCGTCCGATTAGCAGTCCATGTCAGGTATGGGATTAGTTGGCCAGTTATTTGTTCCAAATGTATTGACTCGATGGTTGGGGAAGTCTTAAGAGACCAGCCGCTATGTGAATCCGCATACGATGGTGAGGATTCTAGCAATCCTCTCACACATTATTATCCCCAGTCAAACTCGCACAGGTTAATCAGAAATGCAACAGAGAGCGTATTTCTAACGCTTAGCATGATGTGTCACACCGCCTAGCATAATAGAAAATAAATGATAAAAGTTCCTAATTCACATTGCCCCATTAATCCTTTTCTGCCCCATTAATAACAGTACCAAAGTGTACTTACATATTGTCGAACAACTGGGGCTCTAATAGCAAATTCACAACTGGACACAATGAGCAATGATACATTTATTGGTCAATGTTCACACTGAACTGACAACGTAGCCGTTGCATGATTCTTTATAAAACAAATAAAAGTATGTGCTGTCTCCAGCTGGAGCACAACAAATTTGATTCTCAAAGGTTCACATGATATGTGGATCGAAATTGATCATTAGTGTATTCTGAATTAAATTCTCAGATGATTGGCAAGAAGCCATCCTTCTCCAGCGATTGGAAGAGTCTCTCATGAATATCGTTCTTCTAGAGATCGTGAAAAAAATTCCCAGTAGTTGCGTCTAATCTTGTCTGTGTCTTCTGCTAATTCTTTGCATAGCTGTTATGGAAATTTTATGATTGGTCAATATATTATTACATTTGGCAAGTTGCACTAACTGGAAATGTTCCTACAATTTCAAACTCGGTAGTTCTACACAATTATGTGACTGATTGTCAAGGGTCTTCTCCAAATTAAGAAGAAAATAATGTATTGCATTGATTTTTTTATTACCCCAGCGACAGGAAAAATTCAGACTAAAGAAGCCTTTAATAAATGGTGATAGAATAACCAAAATTAATGTTGAATATTTGTTTCATATTATATTCCCATTCTTGACATGGACTGGTAACCAGGCGTCATGCAAGTAAGTCTTTCTTCGAATAAGTCCGAAAATCCTAGCTCAATATCACATACAAATCGAGCACCATTCCGATTCAAATCAACACAAACCATTTTTGAAAATATATCAATTAACTCATTGAATTTTGTGGTGTCCAATTCACACTATACATAAAAAACATAGGTAATAATAAAAAATTCAACCTCCATCGCTTTGTGCAGTGTTTCTTTGACATCATTCGTTTTCTTATTTCCTAGTTCTTCTTCATACATATCCAACAAATAAGCCGACAGATGAGGGGACTTCAATCCTTCTCCTCTCCATGAGTGAATTTTCTTATTTAATTCTTCACTCCACGTTAAGCCTCGATCGAGAAGAATGCTGTAATAAAGAATAATAAATAATCGATAACCTAAATCATAACAATATTGCTGCTATCAGAGCACCGGACAATCAACCGCCTTATGCCAACAAGAACAAGCCATGAGTTTGAAAAAATTGGGCAACCTTGGGTAAAACCCATGATTCAAATATACTATATTCCGAAGTGGTTAACAATTAGCGATTAATAATGCTTCATTTCAAATCTCTCTGTGCCAATATGGTAACTACTGGCTGGCAAATGTGAAAAAATACTCACCCTCTCAAATAATTCCATGCACTTTCGTTCTTTGTGACCATATCAATCTTTTTTGTTACGTATCTAAAAATGTTGTTTCAGAATTTATTATAAAGTGCGCCATCATTTGAGCTCAAATAAAACACATGATTCTAGCTTCATGTACACATATTCTCAAAATGCATGGTTTCGTTTCTAGATTAGTGTGGTATTTTATATTGTATTTATATTGATTCTACTGTATAACTGCATGCTATATAACTTACAGTTCATTGAAAAATGGGGAAAAAATGTTCGTTTTACGTAAATTGATTTTCGGCATGTATGCAATTTCAATGTTGATTTTCTTCTCAGAAGTTACAAGAGAATTGGATGAGTGTGTCTTGTTCATCACACTACCGCTTGGTGTTCTATAAATCTTTGGCCAGGAATCTTTGCAATAAACAGAATATAACCAGACTTACAATATGAGAAATGTATGATCTTACTCAATTTCTTTATTAACAACTTCGTCTGTTAATCCTTTAGTATGAGAAACAACATAATATCTGTGATTCCAAGCAGAATTGTTGCGAAGATCAGACTCAAGAAATGAATCCACAAAATCAAGTTCACCTTCCCATAATAAATATTCCTGCAATGTATGGAAGGTGATTTTCTAATTATCAACAGATTATTAACTTCATTTTTCAACTTATTTTCAGCCACTATAAGTATGTTTATTTTTCTATTTCAGTTGAATCAAATAGTATCCAGGGCAGAAGAATCATTGACAAAATAAGTAGATCAATTTCAATTTTAAAGACAATAATTCAAGACTTCCGAAATTTATTGTTTCCTCGTCTAACAAATTTATAATAAACATTATTATATTGTGTTCAAAAAGTTGACATAAAACTCTTCATGCAATGCTGTCATTCACACAAAAATCTTCAGTAATCAGATTCTCTATGTATTTTATATACAAACAAATATTGTTATAAACGCAAAAGATAATGATAAGCTTTTACTTACTTTTATTACCCATTGTCTATGTTGCCATGCATGATAATTTTTATGATCCAAATTCAAAATTTCTGCCGTAAATTCTAATTCTTTTGAGGGGTCCCCTGACCATTCAACCAGCGCTCGTCTGTGATGCCAAACCTGATAATTTTTTTGTTGCTCGGTAATAAGACCAGAGAGAAAATTCATTTCTTCTGTAATGTCCTTTTTTAAATGTTTCAAGAGAACTCTCCTATATAAAAATGAGAGAATGCCATTAATCACAACTGTATGAATTATCAAAATACTATTACTACTATGTAAAAAGAGGTGAGACCGAATACATCTTACGAAATATTGCAGTAAAGAACACTTGGCAATTGGAGGATGACAATGAAATCTCAAAGTCAAACTAGCAACCCCAAAACGGATCTTGAAAGTATGATAGAATTGATTATAAAATAATTTAGCCAAAGAGTAAGTGGTTAATATAGGTACGAAAGCATAACTATTCAAAATTGAACAGGATGAGGCAGAATTGTATCCCAATTATAAAAAAAATCAACATGTATGGAGTATTGCTACCCCATCCTGGACATCTTGCTCCAACACCTACATTTGATCAGCCTTATCCAAATTGAAAGATTATGAATATCATTGCTCTAAAAGTAATTTTAAGAATGCACAATCTTAGCCATTGACAAAATATGGTGTCATTCTGCCTCTGTGACAGATATTGTAACGAACTTTGTCATCTTAACTTGTCTATCCCATCCCCACCAATAAGGCTTTTAGTCATTCAAAATTAACAGCCAGTTCCCAACCACTGCGATGTTTCAAATCTCAAAAAAAATTTTGTACTGAAAGTATTTTGCTTGCTTTATGGCAAATCTTTCCAGCAGAGGTGTTAAAAAACGCCTAATCGCATTCTTTCATGGATACAAATGGCTATAACATATAGCCTATGCAAAAAGTTATGAGAACAACCTTTTGATGGCAAGAAGTCTTCTTGCACATCACTTCGATTGCAATTTAGTCAGCATTTCTCGGCCAGATTTATTAGGTTTGAGACAATAGTGTGTTCCCAACACCTTACATAATACACCAACCAGTTTGATTACAAATATTGCATACCTATATTGCCATACTGTGTAATTTGCAGGATTCATATCAATCGCACTTTTTGTGAGTTCGAGAGCTCGTTCACTTTTTTCGTTTGATTTCAAAACTGCTCGAAAGTAATCAAAGACATCTTTGACTGTAAAAATGGTAACAATTATATAACTATAGGTGGATAATATATAGCCTATCAGAATATTTATATTAATTGAATCCTTCAATCCATTAAGTTTGCCATATAATTTGCCCTGGGGAACAATCAAATTCTTATAAGCATTCTTGAGATAAAATCAAGAAACAAAGATGGGCCTAAAGATAAATTAAAGTAACCATAAAAGTGAATAAAAGAAGGAATACATTTTTCACTGTAAGCAATCTGTACAACTGGGTGAGGTCCATCATCTTGTGGTACTGGTGTTACATCATTCCACTCTGGACGATCTCTAAAAAAAGAATTGTGAGTAGCAGTAGTCTAAGTAGGCCTAATACTGTAATACATAATAAGCAAAGTTTTTTTTCATAGCCTTATTCTGCATGTTCACTACAACAATACAGTGGTCAAAAATTGTTTAGACATACTTGTAATATATATAATCCTCCCCGTCGTCTGAAGATGATGACATCTTTGCAATCCAAAATACAATGACGAACCGCCTGACAAAGCTCACTTGCAAGATACGGTATTAAGGTGACGCAGAAAGTCGCGAGGTCACTTCTGACATCTACCGACGTTATGACGAATCTCCGTTCCTCCGTTCTATGGACCTTTCCCCGACCTTTGACCCCCGAATAATTCTTCCTGTACTTCACCATTGCAAAATTTTCGGAGTTTATTTTAAGAGTGGTTCGCGAGTTGATGCCTGTAAAATGGGGTATTTGTTCAAACCATTATTATGATTCACCGCATACAACAATCTGATTTTCAAAAGTACCGGTAAAGAATTTTAGCATAGCCTATCACAGCTATTTTTACACTAATATTTTTATTACTGCAATTAAATTAAAACTCCAAATAAGATAGGGTGATCATTGAATTATCTGATTTATATTTAAATTTCCGAAACACAACTGAAAACTAACGAATAGAGTTCAAAAACGCGAAAACGAGGTAATGTTTACGGTTCCATTACATTTGAACCCACGACAATTGCACCTGCATACTATTGCACCTATGGACATTTTTTTTGTTTTATAGATATTTGAACCCATACTAACCTAACCCATGGGTTTTAGAACCCGTATATAGATTGAACCCGCGGATGTCATGGGTTCAAATGTACGTGGGTTCAAATTAGGGTTAGTTCGGATACCTATAATTTTCACTATCCGGATAACGGATATATCCGGGTATTCCGTATTTTAAATATACGGTTAACCGGATAGTTACTGCTGATTTTAGAGAACCGATTTCGCAGGATTTTCGCGGTGAATTGAACGAATACCACCACACAGTTCTGTTGTAGACTCACATATGTATTATTTTTCTTGAATATGAATTATTGTGCATTTTAATATTGCATGTGTCAATAAATAATAATTTAAGCTCAGTAGTCGTACCGATGTACAGCGGAATAATAAAATGAAACATTTTTTGAAAATATTGTGTCCTAATTTTTTTTCCCCCAACTGCTAAGTTATTTTCCCTATTTAAATAATATGTAAAGATTTATGTTATTTCTACTTTATTGTAAAGTTTTTTAAAAGTTTCTTTTTGTGTCTAGAGCCTCTTTTCTTTAAATTTTGACTCGTACTAAATTTTAGTGTCGCAGACTCACAATGATCATTTCTGATCATCCGCACCTTCCTATCAATTGCAATGAAATTTAATATTGTCATGTAAAGTATTTTGTTTTCTATAATATTTGGTGATTTCTTGCACGACGAAATAAACTTTGTTAATATATACCACAAGAGCATACATATAAATGAAATCATGAACACAAAAAATCGTGCATTTCGAACATTTTATTTCGGTGAGAGAAGTATCCAAAAAATAGAATATAGGGGGAACAAATTCCGTGAAGTGTATAGGAAAATATACGTCATTTGAACAAAAATTTTAATAACAAAGCAAATTGATGATTATGAAAAAACCGAAGTGGTCAGAAATTTCTTCTAATTTGAAAACTTCACTTATTTAACATGTCACTGTAAATATTCTCACGTTTGTACTAATTAGGCCACAACTTTAAATCTATTTCCATTCGAATACATTTTAAACTAAATTAACAGAGCCAAAACAATGCTGCGCCAGTTTTTGAACAACTTTACTTACCACCCTAAATGAGTAAACGAAAAACATGACACGATACAAAGTCAGTCAAATTAAACTTTTCTGAAATATTATAGACCATTTTGCAAACAAATTTGTTTGTGAAAGTTCCATGAAAACCATAAATGTAATAACAGCCTTTCCTCCTCATTTTGAAATTTTCGAAAACGTCACTAATAAAGGCGGTCGAATTTTACAGGCTAATTGTGTTATCATCGCCGATCGTTTTCTTCCGCATCGCGTTATTATTTGGGGAATTAACATCGGCATTATGCCAGTTTTAATTTGAAAAGAAGTTACATCCCGTGAAAAGTTACCCTTGTTGTAAATTCAGTAAATACGATTATTACGAAATTTTGGCGATTCAACAGCGCCTAAAATAGAGTCTTGTTTTATCTATCACTGGCTCATAAATCATGAGTCGTGGTATTTTCGTTAGCATTCAATTCCTTATTGTCAGTCAAAAATGTGTGTTTCAGAACTACTCTCTTAACGATAGATAGATACGACGATAGATAACATACTGCGGCCATTTCAGTTCCGGGCGAAATAAAACAATTATCGGCGTTATATACCGACGAAACTGAACCCGACTTTTCTCCCGAAAATGTTGATATATAACTATAAGCTAATTAATATCTGCATTTATTGTACTAAATAAATTATACTCATTGGAATTGCAATAATAGCCCAAATTTGATGAATTTTCAAGATAGCAAAAATAGGAAATTGGATTTGTTCGTGCAGCTTACCATTTATTTTCATATCTAGAGTAGAAATGCTTTTATTTTAAGGTAAGTCGGGCTCTTCTATACCGCAAATACGCAATAATCACATTTTTCTGCGTGTTTTGTGATGTAATACTATAGTCAAGTTCACTCCAGCATTACACGGATGACTAAAATATGCAGAGTGGTGTGGATATAAGTGAATATTATATGCTCTGAGAGATGTCATTGGCCACTCAACAAAAAATATAAAAATCACTAATGCGCATATGCATTATTTATACTGCTCTATTATCCGGTTAACCGTTACAATAATATCCGGTTATCAGATAGCAAAATACCTCTTGGTTAATCGGTTATCCGGTTAACCGCTATCCGGATAATCCAACCCTAGTTCAAATGAACGGTCACGAATGTTTACGACCACGCCTGAAAATCTGTCTGAGCGGATGCGAAAGGGGAGCTTTGTTACGTCACTTATTGCATCTTGCTGATTGGCCAATGTCATGAAGTAAACGAGGAATTCGATGCTCGGGGAAAGGTTCATAGTCAGTAGTTAATTTGGATTTCTGCCCATTGACAAATCACCCTTGCCTACTATGTCTCTTTAACTAATATCCCGAAATGAAACGAATAGATTTCTCCCAACAGTCCCAAAGTGATTTAATCCAGATATCAGTAAGACAAAGTGACCTGACAAACAATAAAGATGAATATTAAAATGAGTACAGGCAACCAGGCACAATACAAAGCAAGAATATACCAATTCACTTACATTTAAATGAGGCTTTGTCAGAACAGATTATCCCAATGTAAGAAACTTAAGAAATAGATTATTCATACCCAATGACTATAGCACCATTAACAAGCTTATGAGAACAGATCTAAAGACAGACTAAAGCTCTAGACAGTTAACCATAACAAGAAGTAACCAAGTAATCAGCCAATACTCGCGATGCAGTGAACCATACGTAAACACACCAAAAGTAGAGTCGAAGTGGTGACTCCTCTTCGGCCCATGGGCCGGGGTCACGGCCCATCAAATTGGGCCTAGGCCCATCAGGCTATGGGCCGCGGCCCATCAAGTTGTGTAAAGGAACTATTCACTTGGCTAACACAGACAGTCCCCAAACTCATAATAGAACTATAATGTAAATAATCTGAACAAAATTTTGCCCTAACCCTAACCTGGTACACATAGTAGTGGGCCGTAGTGGAGTCACCACTCCTGTAGCAAAAGTAAGTAGTACCAAGATAAATCAGTCAAATGTTCAAACCACTCCCCCCCCAGGGTCTATGAATGCAATAAAAAAGACGATCATATTGAACATTGTTGACTCGGAGTAACTGATATGAGATTAGATGTCTTTCAACCCACACTGTAGCTCTTCTTTGGTCGCAATTAGACAAAGTTTATGTATTGGTCGATTGTATAAATTCCCATCGCTGTCTTTGATTGTAACACTTCTCACCAAGCCATCTGAACTGGGCATAATGTTGTGAACCAGTGCTTTTTTCCATAAACCTCCTGGTGCACTTCCGCCTTTAAATCCAGGTTGAATAATTAATACGTAATCTCCAACTTGAAGATTGCGTCTTGTTCGAAACCATTTGTTAGCAAGTAATAGCTGATGCGGTATGTGTTTCATCCATGTTTTCCAGAACACCTCAACTCTGTTTTCCGCCACTTTTAGCATGTCTCGTGGATTGAATCTCTCTTCTTGTGTAGTTTGAGGGACTACCTGCTTTGCATATGGATGTAAAAGAGTATTGCCAGTAATACAATTATATTCCAAAGGGTTTCCATCTGGGAAAAGTGGTCGACTATTGATGATATAAGTAATTTCGTTGAGAACAGTTGTCCATTCTTCGTAGGTCATAAGAGCCCTGCTGTAATTCACCACTGATGCATCGAGTGCTTTGCGAACCGAGTTGATAAGCGATTCTACTACTCCATTCATATGTGACGCGTAAGGCACATTATATTTCCAATCAAATTTCGTTTGATTCTCTGCCATCTCATGTTGAATCAACTGAAATTTCCATTTCTCGATCCATTCCTTGATAGGCGCTTGACTAGCGTGAAATGTAGTACCTCCGTCGGAAAATACAAATGCAGGATGAATTCCCCTTATAGATACAAATCGTCTCCATGCCCGAAGGAACGAATTAGTATCCAGAGCCAGACACAGTTCCAGATGAATATAACGAGTGGTTGCACATGTAATAATCAAAACAGACGCGTTGATAACTACATTTCGAGATTGCTTTACTTTCAAGTATCCGAAAAAACTCATTGCTACAGAATTGAATGGTGCCATCTGTGGTTGCATTCGAAATGAAGGAAGTTCACCCATGCGTTGCTGTAGCAACTTTCTACGACGAATTCTGCAAAATATACACATTGATGCTATTGATTTTAAGAGTATTCTTCCACCAATAAGAACAATACCGTCATTCTTCATATTTGCCAATATAACTCGATACCCTTGATGTAAGAAATTTTTATGATAGAACACTCCAAGAAGACGAACGAGGGAATGTTTGCCCGGAAGTACGACTGGATGCTTCATTTCCATATATAAATCAGTTCTATTCAGTCTTCCACCAATACGAAGAATTCCGTGAGAATCGAATACCAAGTCTAATTTCCATAGAGTTTTGACAGCCTTCCCAAATTCATCAATCATAGACTTTTGACAAATTCTGAATATACACAATTTTGCTTTCTCTATGTATTGTACGACATCGGCAGTTTTAATTCCAAATTGACAAATGATTTTTGCTGAAATGCACCCTTCATCCAAGCTGTCGCTCTTAGCAAGTCTTGCCATGAAGAAAAATTATCCGCTAAATCATTATCATTTTGATAAGGCAAATCTGCTTTAACGACGTTGAATTGTCTTTTTCCGCGATATGCTTTTGACTTAGTTGGTGGTTTTTCTTCCAATATTTCTTGACATAATTCATCTAATTTTAAGTCATCATCATTCGGCCAATATTCCATTGGTTGCCTTAGAAATTCAGGTTCTTCATGCCAAATTGTAAGCTTCTCGCAGGAAATAGGTTTTGTTAAACAATCTGCAGCATTAAGAAGACTTGGAATGAATTTGACTTCTTTTGTTAGATTCTTATGTGTATCTTGAAATTCTTGTACTCTTGAAGCAACGAATGGTTTGAATTTTCCAGATTGGGAGTTTAACCAATAAATAACAACTTTGCTGTCTATCCAGAAATACTTGAATGCAATATTGTACGGTAGTGCTCTACTTATTTCATGCACCAATCTGCTCATGCCTATTGCTCCCATTAGCTCCTTTCTTGGAGTACTTTTGTGTTTGAGTGGCGCCACAAATCCCTTTGCTGCAACGAATGTTAGCTTAACTCCACCTGTTGTAGGCCACCGTAAGAAGTTAAGAACACACAAGTGCCATAGGCTAAATCTCCACCGTCTGAAAATGCGTGCAGTTGAGGAGGTCCAGTTGTGTTTTCAGGTTTCAGACATCTTGGAGTTGAAACTTGAGCTAACTTGGACATTTCTTGAACATTGTCATCCGTGATAGGATGAGGAATCGGGGATGAATTTTTCCGAAGTTTTTTGGTGCAGGTCATCAGGCTGTACGAATGAATGAGATGTACGAAAATCATTATTATAAGTTTGGGAAACTTAACTTTGGTTTTATTATTTTAATGTGAAACGGGGTGGATTTAGGAAGTGAAATGCTATAAGGCAAGAGTACACGGCGGTTTTTGAGGAGGTAGAACCCTGGATTCTTTCATTTCCGACCTATTATATGGTAAAAAGGGGGGTTTTCAGCCGTGCTACTATTGCTATTAAAACAACGAAATCACCTTTCCATCAGTAAACGGGGTAATTTTAGATATAATAAAAAAACTCGCTGAAGAACACCAATCTTATCTATCTCATTAAAAAACACTATAAACTATGATTTGTCTTCTTATTTGGTCTGTAATGTATTCGTTTCTGACTTTATATTTTTTTGTAGTACAGGGGGGCGATGAAGTTGTATAAACTACTTTAAGGGGGCGATGGTCAAAAAAGTTTGGGAAGCACTGCTCTAAACCATCATTGAGACATGTACCCTTAAAAGGACACGCAGAATCAAATACTATTCTTAATTTTGTTGAGGTTTTATCCGGACGTTCTACGATACGATGATTGAGGTACCATGCATTTTCAACTTTAGCCGTTTTCGTTTCAACCGGTGTTAGTCGTCGTACTACGCCTCGCTGAAGCAGATTTTTAATCTCCATATTATACTCTTCCGTTTTTCCTTTTCTATACAATTCTTGTTCCCGTTTTTTCATTTGTTCATACGCCTTCTCAAAATTGTTGTGCAATTTTTCTGGGAAACCAGGTTTCCATGGCATTTTGACACAAACTCGGCCATCAGCACTAATATTGGTTGTCGCTTTTACATGTTTGATAAATGCTGATTCTGCAATTTCTGAGTTAGAACAAACACACAAAGTTGTGGGTTGCACTCCAAGAACTTCACCATGGAAAAACTTGCGCAACTCTTCATTTTCTAATGATGAAAAACTATTAATATTTGCTACATGATTGAAAGATCGTTGCGGTGCTTGAATAATGCCTCCATATAGATAGCATCCAAGAGATGTGAAAGCTGCTGAAGGATGATTATCGGGATCAATTGGCGAACGAAATGAATGCATTGTTTGAATTAAAGGTGCATAATCTCTACCAACAAGAACATCGACTTGAATGCATCTGAGATTGGTTGAATACTGCTGCATTAGAGTGAATATGTTGACTTTCCAAATTCCAGTCGTTCATACCAGAATTTCTCATTGTATTGTAATTTCCCTGTACTTTTCCGGGACATAATGACCAATGATGCTGTCTTTGGTTACAATTTACACAGCTATCGGCTGTTGTTCTTGCACAATTTCTTGCAAAGTGAGTTCCTAGACATATAAAACATCTTCGATCATCTGCTATAAAGTTTTTTCTTTCAGGAATTGATAGGTTTTGATATTTGTTGCAGTCTATAAGGCGGTGCTGAATTCCACATCCAAAAATACAAGTGACTGTCCTTTGACGTGGCTGAACTGAACCCATGTTATCATTCTCGTCTGTAGCATGATTAACCGTATTGAAATTAGATCTTGGCGACTGGTTTTGTCTCGGTCGAAACCTCATATTCTCGGTTTGACTGATAAAGTTACCAGATATTTCCAACGCTGTAGCTTCAGATCTCAGAAAATTCGTTATAGATTCCAAGTTAGAATTACCTTTGCTGGAACTATTATATCGCAGTGCAGTGTCTGCATCTAGACACTCTAATGCTCTATTGACAGAAAAAACCGAGTTTGCATCCTGTTTTAACCCAAGATCTTCCATACGTCGGCAGAAGAGAGAAATTTCGTGAGCTAGTCGCCTAAGGTTCGCTGGATTACGAGAGGTCTTATATAAAGGTTTTATTTGCTCGTATTGCTTGATTACTTCACGTTGAACTACTGATTTAGGAATACGCTCTTCCAGGCGTTCCCATGCACTTGAAATTGATTTACAGTCACATATCATTGTTTGATAATCGTTTGGCATTGCACCATTGCGTAAAAGCCATGAAATTTGCACTAAATCATCCGTAATTCTAGCATGGTGCATTATATCTGTAAAACGTTCTTTCCAGGTATAAAAGTCTACTTTTTGTCCGTTCCAGCATGGCGGATCCATACCACATAACTTAATCATAGGAGGATCATTATTATAATTGTTTTGAGTGGTTACAAGAGATGATATCACCGGCTTTATATCTAGTTTGTCTTCATATTTCTCAAAATCTATTGCAATCTTGTTTTCCACACGTAAAATTTCTTCACTTAATTTGGATATAACGGGTTTTTCCTCACTTTGTGTAGTACTGTCTTCTTCAATTAGAGTCAATTCCATAGTATCAATTAGACAGACCAAAAATGCTATTTTATCGTTAGCATCGTGAAACAGTATTTTGACCTTTTCAAAATCTCTTCTTTCCAGAGAGTGCTCAAATCGTGTTAAAATTCTTTCCAAATTTACTTTGAGTACCGGAAACTTACTCTTGAGTTGTTTAAAATTCTGACCTTGAAAATATTCTGCCATTGTTAGTTGGCATTCTTGCTTTGATGTATTGCTGAATCCTCGAAAGGTTGAAGAAGAACTGCTTGATTCAGACTCCAGTTTGTAGGTGTAGGTGCAGTATCATTAAATGTCACTAATTTGGATTTCTGCCCATTGACAAATCACCCTTGCCTACTATGTCTCTTTAACTAATATCCCGAAATGAAACGAATAGATTTCTCCCAAAGTGATTTAATCCAGATATCAGTAAGACAAAGTGACCTGACAAACAATAAAGATGAATATTAAAATGAGTACAGGCAACCAGGCACAATACAAAGCAAGAATATACCAATTCACTTACATTTAAATAAGGCTTTGTCAGAACAGATTATCCCAATGTAAGAAACTTATGAAATAGATTATTCATACCCAATGACTATAGCACCATTAACAAGCTTATGAGAACAGACTAAAGACTAAAGACAGACTAAAGCTCTAGACAGTTAACCATAACAAGAAGTAACCAAGTAATCAGCCAATACTCGCGATGCAGTGAACCATACGTAAACACACCAAAAGTAAGTAGTACCAAGATAAATCAGTCAAATGTTCAAACCAGTAGTTGTTGGACACATCGAAATTTACATACGCATGCGGCTCTCAACAACCTTTCCCGCGGCTCTTGTTAATGCTTTAAAATATAATTACTTTCGAAGAAAATTTTTTATTGAAAACTATTCATTGACTTGAAATTAAAATGCGGAAGTCTATTAGTTAGTCGAATGGATTCCCCGTGTTCATTTGCGTAGCGTTGACTAATCTACAAAATGCAATAGTGACGCAACAGTAAGCGTTTTCGCGGCCACTCGGTCACTTTTCACTTGGAAAGATTTTAGACATGGCTGTAATAATTGGCTTGCTTTCGTGGATTTTCAGTTTTTGTCGCATTTTCGAATATTATGTATAAATCAAATAACTCAATGATTATTTTAATTTCTAGAGCATTTTAATTTTGTTCCCGTACTCGAAAATAGTCCCGAAATATCTGGCGATCATCTCAAGCAGCTGCTGCACCTTGCATCTTCCACGATTATGACCCGCTTTGACAAACTTATTAGAAATCAAAGCCAAATTAAATGGCTGTTAGTCTAGGGTGGGCAAAATCAAATCTTTTTTCGAATCGAATAATTTGAATATTTTTTATACATAACAGGGATCCAGAACGTCGGAGGTCGATACTCCATTTACTGGTTCATGATTAATTTCATCATAATCGCTGATTGTCTTTGTCACCGCGATCGTTTCGGCGGCGATATCCTAAAGTTGGTGTTCTATATTCCCGCTCTTTCTCGTTTTTTTTGCAAGAATAAGGGGTCGCCAGATATCGAAGTTACATATTTCTAGTATACCCTTGCGTTCACATCAGCGACAGCTGTTGAATACATTAACGGCTGATTTCAAAAACAAATTAATTTTATTCTGAGTTTTATGCTCTGCCTTGGATTTGATCTTCCTTATCATCGCTTGTAAATTTCGTGACTGTTTAAAGTGAACGGTAACCGAGATGCAGATATTTATTAACATGATAATTGAGTTCCTCGTGCTTTTCTATGGTGTTCGTGTTATTTTTGTATATATTAGATAGATAAACCTAGCAAATTTACGATTGCGTGAATCCTGAATGTTGATTTAAAATAGCGATTAAATAAATTGGCAATAAAGGCATTTTAGGCCTTTGTGTCTAATAGAGGGTCAGACGCTTATTATAACTAATTCCTTCAAGTTTTAACGAGTCAGTGTGTATTGTTGCAACGAAATTCGCTATTGATTTTACGTTCTACTCTTGGCTCAACGGCCATGCATGGTCAGGTGAAATTATTACATATTAGAAACATTACTTGTCCAAGGATAGAAGGGATCACTAAAGGGCTAATACAAAGTGCTTTGAAGGGACACGACATTTCTTATCTGGCTACAACTTAATGAATGTTTTTCATACAAGTAACTCATACCAGCTTTTGGAAAAACTTTTTGTCATTTTTAAATCCATGCTATTTATATAACTAGAGTTTTCTAACGACCTAACGCCGAAAAGTCATTTTAACATTTAATTGTAATCAACTTTATGTTCGGTAATGCAAGAAAGGGCTAATGACAGTTCACCAAGCATGCGGAGTTTAAAATCTGGGAAATTTATTTTAAATAGCTAATCTGGTTTGACGTTTCTAAATTTACGGAACGGTCGCCGGTCAGTACGTTTTTTTGCAAAATATGGAAATGAAACGATACGTTAAGTTCAAAGATAAGCATATAACCACACAACGCAAAGACGACTTTTCAAAGTTATCGCCGTTGGGAAATCTCGCACAATTCACGATTGAGTTGCACTAAGCAGAGCGGCGCAGGTCACGTGGTACCGGATATTCGAATAGTAGAATGCCTTTCGAATATTTTATTATTCGAATATTTTGCCCAGTCCTAGTTGTTACGTGTGTTGTGTTGTTACGGTGATTTGGTATTTTAAATACGCTCTTAATAAGGATTGTTGCTATTTTACCTTGCGTTGTTTGTGTGCGGCTCTTCATAACTTTGACGTTTGAAATGCGGCTCTGGGACTGAAAAAGTTTGAGAACCACTGATATAGATCGTTTTGTTATTGGACACGAAATGAACCTATAGATCATTTTGTTAATGTTATTCTTTGTGTTTTTCGTCCTATCGTTATGAAAAATCACTTTACTCTTTAACTACTGGACCAATTACTTCGAAATTTTCAGTGGTTAAAAATTGTATTTTTCACTAGAACGGTATTACTTTCATTTACTTCAAAACTTTCTGCGGGCTTTATGTTATCCTTTTTCACTTCAAAATATAGTGTGATGACCTCTTCAAAATTAATATGAGTTATTTATGCTATTCTTTTTTTTTTGCATGCGATGAGGTCAACAAAATTAAAAATACGCACCTTGCCGGGGTTCTGTGACTGAATTTCAACGATCTCGTGGTCAGATTATCGATACCTTTAACATATCGTCATTATCAGTTAGTTTGTGATTAAATAGTAAACTTGGAAAAAGTACTGATAAAGAGCTACAGGGCAACATAGCACAGTTAGAGCTATGCCTAAGTTTATCATATTTTATATTCCATGGAATCAAAAGTAATATATTTGTTTCGTTGTAATTATAACATTAAAATTAATCGCTTCACTCATAACCAATAATTTAATACTTGCATAAATAATGGACAATTAAAGGATTGCGAAAGCTGTTCATAAAATCAATATGGATTAACTCAATTGGACTTGCAAAATACATTTACCTATCTTCATCACCAATATAAAACTTATTAATTATTATTATTAGTTATCTAAGAGATATTTAATAGAGACCTATTCGAAAAGAAGCGTCACCCCAAGAAGACGAATGCTCAAGGTGATTTATATTCTATCTACATGGTTTGACGCAACAAAAATCCGTGCAACTTGAGTATAGGACGCAAATTACAACAATTAGGCTTAAAGGATTATAAATCCTGTCATTATGTCCTTCTGCATACTTCATATTAAACAAATTACCTCCGATTACATAATTTTACGTCATTGCTACCCTACCCTTTACTCAAAACTCATCAAATGCGACTACATGCTCAGAAGTAGCTAGTTGCTCTCTTTTACTCTGCTTGCGTCGGGTGTAATATCATCAGAATGATGCGTCCGAAATCAACAATTGCTGTTTTATGTTTGGTTGCTACTTTCACTATACCGCTGGTCAATGGTGAGTTCTGAAATATATATATTTATTTAAGTCCCGTATTGACGTGAGCGTTTCAGTTCTTGGACTTCGATCTGCAAAAATTACTTAAGAAGATTGAGCGCAGTTACATGCTTGTTAATATTATTTTATTGAAGAAATTGCCAAACATTCTAAAAACGAGGACAGTCGGTTCGCACTGAATGGACATTGGCGCAATCACAGATATTCTCAACTTGGCGTTTGTCACTGTAACTACAAGAGTCAGATGATGATATATTATAGATGATGATGCTGATTTAATCGCATGATTCGTAGAGAACAATATCAAAAAACTTTGGAAAATCAGATTAATAAATGAAATTGTGGTCAAATATTTTAGGTCTGGATTTTCTGCAAGTGAGATTGTGCTTAACATGAAGATTTTTTCAAATATTTTCTCAAGCAGCTATGCTCAAAATAACATAACTATCGAAATGCACTTAGTATCTGGTTTTCAGGCTGTCACAACGCCGAACACCAACAGCAAAGAAGACGTCGAAGAAGTGAATCTGATTTACCAGATAATTCTGTTCGAGTCTATTTCCGCGAATGTTTGAATAGGATTACCGTAACGGATGGCTGGTACTGGAGATCGGTTGTTGACTACGTTGTGAAGTATTCGGATTGGTACAGAGGTGCAAATACTGAACAGTGCTATGGGTAAGAAAATGACGATAAAAATTACCAAAAAATAAATATTTATAGATAAATATAAAATACCCGTTTACAACATCTGCATAGCAACATATATATTAAAAATTAAAATTGAGTTTTCCATGAATGACTGTATGTTTATTGCCAGTGTGAACGATAATATCCAATGCTGGACAAATGCTATTCAAGACTTTTTGGTTGGTGGCTCTACTTCCTTGACTCCAGTAGAAAGTTGCATCGTCTCATTTGGAGATTTTTCTGATACTTTTCTAACCTCCCTAACAGGTAAGTTATATTTATTGATCTAAATCACTGGTTATCAACCTGGTTTCCGCAGCACCCTAGTTCCGCAAGTTTCCATTCAAATCCGTGTGTATATTTATATTTCTTAAATATATTCGAAGTATATTTGCTGCTATTATTAAACTTGCTACACTTTAAAGATCACTTCGTTTTTCCAATGTTCGGTTTGCTTTTATATATATATATTATACTTATGTATATAATTCAGACAATAAAATCCAATTAAGTAAAATCGGTTTCTCGAGCCTCCATAATGTTGCATTGGAGTTCGGCTTCCGCAGAGATTCAAAATCCATTTTCCTGGAAAAAAAATTTTTTTTTATCGCCAGATGCCACAGAGGACGAGCTGGAAGTGCTCGCCCAGGTTTCTCTAAAAAATCACTACGGATCAGCAGCGGATATGTATGCATCAGGTGGGCACGCCGACACTAGTTCGTCATGTCCTATTCGCAACCCTCATGAATACAACAACTGCATAGTGGAAACCTTAAGCGGTACGAAAGATACATTTGACGTCTATGACTACGACTCTGTTATTAACTTCATGCAACAAGAATCTACCTGTGAATCGTAAGTAAACCTACCAACTTAACAAATATCGTATTCAAGTGATATTTCAGTTGCATAAAATATTGCAGAAAGCCAATCGTATAATTTTATTGGCTCCATTAGTAAACTGTGTCGGGGTCTGTTGTTCAATAAAAAATGGTCAGTACAATTGAATATGAAAACTCCATTTCCGAATAGACATTCTAAAACGATTTGAGATTTCATCGAAAATTTCCATATCTGAATAAACTTTATACTTGTAAATGGATTGTAATGTGATTTGAAAAGTAGTGATATTGCTTTGAATTCTACGTAGCATATGGGATAAAGTTAATTTCGCCAAATAATAGTGTTGTGTCATAGCTAGCTAAGCCTGAATGTGATCGTTGTCTTTTGCAGAAATTGTCAGTGTACGTCCATCTACAGTCGAAGTAGCGACATTGTAACGTACTACACAAACAAAGGGCTATCTTGTGACCAATGTTGGCCTACAAAACTAGCAGGAACTTTCACAAGAGACTCCAAGCTGACGACAGTGTATTCGGCCATGCTGAGATGCTCATCCTTGGTTTCAGAATACTACAAATAGAGGAACACCTTGACCTTTATTGATTTAGACGGAGATAATCTACAAATAAATGAGTAATGTGATTTTCCACGAATATATTCTTGATGTGATGCTTTTATTAACTTTTTGGTGTTCTGTATCATCTTGAAGTATATATATATATAGTAGGGCGGGGGAAGATAGACACACGGGGTTAGATGGACACTTTTTTTCAAATTGACCTATTGGCGACATCTTATGGGGCTTGGTTCTGCAAATGCCATTGCCGAGTTCGTTGCTAAGGAGGGAATTCGTTCTAGCCATTTCGGTTCAGCGCTTGGCGTAGTTCGTCAGTTGTGTAGCTTTCCACGTGGCTTGTGATTTTTGAAGGGTGAAAAAAGGGCATTTAGTAAAGACACCTTTTTCTTGGAGGCGCTATATGCTCATTTTCAGCGAAGGAACTCTGAATCGCGCGTTTGTTGGTAAGTTTATACTCACTGACAATGATTTAGGACTAACTGAGCGACTTGTGCCATCTAGCAGCTAACTATATCTTTCAGCATGTGATCATGTAAAAATGGGGGGGTTATGAGGGGGTAATAAATTTCTTGCGTTTTTCGGGCTTATATTTACTTTGACCGTTCAAACCCGTTCTTTGTGAATAAGATACCAGAAAGTCTTCTTTATAATGTTGTTATTGCTTTTACCTGTCAAAACACTTCTTGGATAATCTCAATAATCTTATGAAATTATGGGGGGTGGCCATCTTACCCTTATGTACTATCATGTTTTTCCAGATGCAAGTTTTGGATGCACGGGAAACAGAAAATCCTAAAGAATGTTGAGAAAATACCAAAGAATATCAAACAGAGGCAAATAACAAATAGAGACTACGATGTACCATCTCATGAGGTGAACACCACGACAGAGGTAGAAAGTGTCACAAGTGAACCATGCTGCTCTGTGCTCTCTAACGATTTTTTCAAGTAGAACTTCGCCAGGAGTTCAGTTAGTTTCTGATAAAGTCAGTGATTCTTTGAGGCAAGAAAATAGCAGAGACCTGATAGCACCAGTTTATCATTTGAATATATTTGCCTCTTCCAGTAGCCACTCAGAGAGCCAAGAGGCAAAGAAAGCCATTCAGGCAGGAATTAGAGTGTTAACAAGTGAGAATTATGTAGCCGAACTGTCAGCACTCGCAGAAACAACGCCACCTAGCTCGTTCAGGAAAACTACAGCACTCGCAGAAACGATGTCATCTAGCTCGTCTAAGAAAGTTGCAGCTCCCAGGAAGAAAAAAGAAAATAAACGTAAGAATGAGCGACATGAAAGATATTGTTACAGTAACCTCTGTGCTGCCTGCAAGGTCAAATATTTTGACGACGAAGAGGACGAGGGATGGATTCAGTGCCAGAAATGCAAAAGTGGCTTCACGATATTTGTGCCGGGATTTATGGAAAACACATTGTGTCCTTCCAATGTGAAGACTGCTCTGCTTGAAGCTTTTTTGTATAAATATTTTCATTCGAATGTAAAATTCCATGACGATAGCTTTCATGCTATCCCAGATGTTCTTTTGGTGTTATGATTAAGATTTGTGTGAAAGTATGATCAAATAAAATTTGGCTGCTTTACTAGGTGGTGTTTTATCATACTTTCGTGAACAATTATATGGGTTCACAACTTCAAAAATTTAAGGGGTAAGATGGACATAGGGGGAATTTTCGAATGCCCCAAAAAATTTTCCAAATACATTGCTTATTTTGATATTCTGATAAGAAACAGAACGCAATACTAGTATTTTGATGCGATTTTATCACATGTCCGTCATATCCGACCATATGTCCAACTTCCCCGAATTTTTTTTTCGCTTAAAAACGTTTCTGCTGTTGCGATGGTTGGAGACCGGCGGACGCCGCCGAGTGGCTAAAGAGTTCAGCCCCTTATGTTTGTACTTGCAAAGTTTTAGGAATATTTGAAGAAAGGTTTTCGAAATATAGATAATTTTCAATAAGGGGGGCCATCATCCCCCGCCCTACTATATATAACATGCTAGCGATAAATACTAATATTCACGATGTCTATATTCTTGCTTATTCTGTTAGTAGCGGCATTCCGTTTTCTTGTGTGACACACGGAAGATGGCCTGGGGGCAGCTGTCACGGCAGCAAGTTGTAGGGGGCAGCAGATAAAGGGGTTCAATTTTATAGATGTGAGTTTGTTGCTTAGTTCGAAGATTTAATTAATAATGCAAACATTTCACTCTTTCTTTGTCTTTATTTTATTCATTCCCGTGTATATCAACATCTATAATTTGTTTATCACTCAAATTACCAACAGAAACTCGCCTTCAGCAGCAGAAAGTTTGGCATGCCCCTGGTAATGTACAATAAGTTTAATGCGATTGACCAACAGACGAACGAACTTTCAGATCTAAAAGGCCAATGAGAACACGCAATTAAAGATGACAAAATTTCGCTTTCGTGGGGGTACCGGGAGGATCATTGAAGTACCCGTCGAACGGCTAATAAGTCAGCAATAAACATGGTGCTGATATCTTAGCACCATCCTCGATTGTCGAGGCATAATTTCATTTAAGATGCTGTATGGCCAGTATGGACATGAAGAATAGTGTCAATTACAATTACAACGTGTAGGGATTGCAGCCGCAGTCGCCAATCTGTACTATTTTAAGTTACTAGGAAATGTATATGCAAATTCGTATTGATTATACCAGTTACTAAAGTTGACGACCGTTGAAATGCAATCACGTACCTCTAGTCTCGGCTTGTTCCCCTCTCACTCCCACATTTTAATGTACTACTGTATCGCGCGTTTGCTCAGTGCGCAAATTAGGCGTATTGATTAATCCACTCATTATTCTTTTCCACCAGAAAATCATCCCTCCGACCTGATTAACTGATTGCAAGAAGTTTTGCGCTTTCGTCGAAAAATACTTTTTTTTTTTTAATCTTACACTATATATTAATCTCTCATTACAAAAATCAGAACAAATAATAATCCTAAATGTAACACAAATCACACAAGAAAACAAAATCAGATAAATGACTAAATACCTTACAGAGTCAGATTCTTTTTTATATGTCCTTTACTTTTGATATTGACTAGGGGAGTTGTCCATCTTTCTCTTTTTGAATGTCATATGTTGTTGGACCTCATACAGTAATTTTCCTGCCAAAAGTTTTGCCCCTTCTTCACTTAGGTGAACACCATCTTTTTCATAAAGTGAGCCATCGTTTTCTCGGAATTTCTTTGGTAATTCTACAACTTGGATGTCAAGTTGTTTTGCTGCCAGTTTAATGATATCGTTTATTTGACTCGTATCAATTTTCTTTTTTGTTGATCCTATATATGGCACAATTTCCATAAAATATACATTTATTGCAGATCGGTTGGCACATTTCATTATTCTCTCTACTTGATGATTAAAGGTTTCAATATCATCATCTAAATGATTCGTGCCAAAATATAAGGCAAGATTTTCTACACAAGGATCTTTATCATTCAACCACTCTTCTCCATGCATAAATGCACCTCCTGGTATATGAATTGCATTTACAGTTTGTGGTGATACTACGCCTTCTTTTTACCTGTGAGTCCCCATCAAAAGGATCTTTGGCTTACTTTCAGGCTTTCCATCTTTACTTTGATTTCCTTCAATATTATTTTCTATTATATCACTTTCATTTCTTAGTTTCATCAATGACGTGATTGCATCCATTTCTAGTTGGTCGAGTTCCATATTCCTCTTTATGTTCCTTTGACAGTGGTGATTGTGGGATTTTTTCAACTTCAGTTTGCTGTTGTGTATCCATGATTTCCACTATTTGCTGGGTTTTTTCCCCATCTGGTTCATGACTTTCATTATTCGTTTTAGCAATCGAAATGTTTTTTTCTTGTTTTTGTTTTTCATTTTCAACTTCACTGGCTATTCTTAGTTCCTGTTCATATATTTGCTGCGTCTTTCTGCGACAGTTTTTTGTCAAATGTGGCCGACCTTCCATTCCACAAAAATCGCATGGAATTCGTTTAGGGCATTCGTTTGCTATATGTTGATTACTTGTACAAATGTAGCAATGTTTTCCTGCTATGATTGGTTTTGATTTATATGTCATTTGAAACTGACCACCTCCCATGTGCCATGGAATATTGATTCTTCGTGGTAGATGTTTTTTTAGTACAATTTGGATTACTCTTATGCCAGTTGCTATATTGTCTTCATCGTAGAAGTTTTGGATATTTAAACATTCTCCATATGTTTGAAGCATTTCTGTGATATCAGCATGCAATAAATGGTAAGGTGTTTTACTCATCTCAACTTTAGTAACATCATTCCTATATATCATTGGATAGGTTATAAAATCTTCATTTTGAAACTGGTAGGGAATCCCCTCCTTCAATAAAATTGTTACATGATTTTCTTTGTGTAATGTCACAATCCAGATTTTTTCTCCTTCTTCATAGACACTTGCTATATTAGTTTTTCCAATTTTTTGACCAATAAAGTTAACCACATCTTTTCTATGCACCCAATTATTTTTTTCAAATTTAACAACGATTGTGTTTTTTGATACAAGATTCAGTCTCATTTCTGTCCCTCTGCTTTCAGCATTTACTTCGGCATCTTTTTCGCCATCTTCCATATTATTTTGTATGTCTGAATCGTTTTTTCTTTCTCATCTGTCTTTCTTAATCAAACAACCAATTAGGAAATTCTTAACAAACAGCTCCACACTCAACGTACGTTGACGACCTCAACTTTTGACCGATGACTGTCATGACTTTTCTGCATCATACATAGCGTCATACATACATCGTCGAAAAATACAAAACAAGCATTGTGTCTGTAGACATGCATGGCAGAAGTGGTGAACCTTGACGATGGCTTAGAATAGGATTTACATATTTATCCCGGGGGAGAGGAAAGCCGATAAGACGGCGTATCCATATGGCGAACCACGGCCTCTCGCCCGGTTACCATTCCAAGTCGGGTATGGGATTAGTTATATTGTTTGTTTTCGGAAGCATGGACTTGGTGGTGGAGGAAGCCGTAACCGACCAGCGGTTACGTGAACCACCCAACGACGACGAGAAGTCCAGCAATCCTCTCGCACATAACCATCCCTGCATGGGATTCGAACCCACGCAGAGTAATTAGAGGTGCGGTGGCGAGCGTATTCCTAACGCATAGCCCGTTGAGCCACACCGCCGGCTTTGTTTGTGTTTTGCGTTATGGCAGTGGTCACAAAGTCACTGTGTCTGTAGAAATCTACTACAGCAGAAGGATGAGGAGAAACCCGTAATTTCTGTCTCTCATTTCAAATTTTGACGTACGCGATCGTACAACAACGACTCCGCAAATCTGTTATTTCTAATCCAAACTTGACCCTGAAGGAGTCTTGTGAGTTGTCTCTCGTTTACGGTGAACCTGACATATCCTACTAATCATATCGCCAACTTTGGATCGCAATTACATAGCTAAAAGGCTCACAATTAAGCTACACTCACACTAAACTGGCAATTCGTCATGTGTGACCTTGTACAAAGGTGTATCCATAAAACATTTGCTGATAATTTTATAATCAATTACCTAGTATACAGGACCACAAGAAACAATACAGAGTCACAGCAAGGTTTATTATTTATTGCTTATAAGTTGCAAAAAATAATTTCTAACTGGATATTATAATTTTGGAAAAAAGAGGAAATAACAGAGCAGTAGGGCATTTAAATATTAATGAACAAGCGATGCCAAGCAAAAAACAACTAGAGGTAAAAAAAAATCACCACAATAACTTTGATATGAATATACAGATATAATCAATGTAATGATCTGGTAGCTCTCTTATCAAAATAAAATTAAAAGACTGGGCTAGATCGAAGCGATCGATGACCAAAGTCAAAATTTTATTTTGCCCGAAGTAAATCAAATAACATACTCAGGCATAACTAAGAAACAGTAAATAATGTTGAAAAATGGACAGAAAGAAAATACGAAAACCAGGTAGAGCAACAATAACAATCTGTCAGAATGGCTTTCATATACAAGGTTAAAGCTATTTAATTTTGCAATGAATCATAAAGATTTGAACTAGAGTTTTTCTCACCAGCTCGTTAAGTTGTCTTTTCAAATATGAGCATGGGTTAGTCAAACATTGATTATTTCAGATTTTTCAATTTTTTGGGGTTTTAAATGGCATGGCTTTAAAATAACCAAAAACGAATACTAAGTGTCTAAGTCAACAAGAATTACCCAAACAGTTCAACTTCTATCTCGCTAGTAAACCTGCCAAAGATTAATGATTTATAGCAAAATAAAAATTGGAATATAACAACATTTCTCTATGCATTGCAACAATTTAAAATATTTGAGACCAGAATATAATTCCAGAATAGTCGGTAACCATAACATTATAAAATAGCTGTGGTAAATTATTGTTAAATCAGATTCTCAATATTTAATATCACAAGTTTCACCTACAAAATAATGAAATATATCTTATATGCAACAGAATCAACAAAATGACGATTTTTTTAATTTTACAAAATTTAAACGCAACATGTGCGTGTCATGATATTGATGACCTAAGCCACTCTTCTCTGTTATTAATCTAATAAAGGTGGAGACTTGTGAAGAGATTTTTAAACTGCAATCCAATGGACATCATTCTTTTACATTCTATCACATAATCTTGCATCCTCACACAAGTCTGTTATCATAGGCCACAGACCAATATTCTTTAACTTTTGAGTGAAAATATCAAAATGCTATATTAATTCCATATCTTCCTCCATTTGTAATATATTTGTGTTGGTGTTATATGCCCGTTGGGGCTGTTGGGCCAATTCAGCAAGAAGAGTTGCAGGAATCCGCATTGCGCAACATGCAACACTTGTTAAAGCTTCGGGAAAATCAACAGCCTTTTCCCAAACATCTCTATCCGGATCATAACACGCTACAGTCCGTACATCTTTTCGCTCACGCCAGGTATGCCCACCAACAACATAAATTTTACCTTCTACCAATGATGCACCCGCTTCACTTTGGCCAGCAAAAAGAGGGGCAACATCACTCCACTGCTCCGTGTTAATATCAAACATTTCAGTACTAAGCACATCTCTTCTTGCTCCATTTGTTTTATTGTTGCCACCAATACAATACAATCTCTCTTTATATGCAACCATGCAATGTAGCCCACGTTCTGTTTTTAACTTTGGTTTTGGCTCCCATTTATTCTCCTTTGGTTCATAGCAATATACTCCTCGTTGGAAACCATCTGATGCAAACCCACCAGCAACATATAGCTTCCCGCTACATGGGGCACCAGCATGAGCACAAACTGGGTGGGGCAGATCTGCGATAGGTTCCCACTTGTTGCGATCAACTCTATATCGCTCTGCTGAGGATAGCGGACCAGTATTGTTTCTACCTGCCACCGCATAGAGACATCCATCAATAACTGAAACTGCAAAATCTGTTCTTGTTTCAAGCATTGACGTCATTTTTAACCAAGTATTGAAACGTGGATCATATCTATACACATTTGCCATTGCTGTGTTTCCATTATTATCAAACATTTCCTGTCCTCCTACAACGTACAGGAAATCACTCAAAACAGCAACACAATGACAATAGGCTGGTACATCCATTTCACCAAGACGTAACCATTTTCCAAGGTCTCTGTCACAAATCTGAACTTCTTTGGAAACTGAATTGGTTGATTCTTTTCCTCCTAAAGCAACTAAACACGAAGTAACTGATCGAACACACATTCTTGCAGATGTCAGTAATGGCTGCTTATGAGGTAACATGTGATACTTTGAAGCCTCAAAAAGCAATTTCATGCAATCTGCATTCTTTTGCATATAAGATGTTGATTGAACTCGTTCATCTAAATCCTCTGGGCTAATGAGTTGAAATCTGATGTTCTGCATTACATGATAGACATTAGTAAGCCTGGCATTGTCATGTGTCAACCATCGATCAGCAGCTTGAAAAAGATCAAGTTCATTGTGGCCTTTGATATTGTTACTTGAAAGCAATTTACACACATCATCTTCGGAAAGTCGTAAAAACTCTTCTGTTCTAACAAATTGTGTGAAATGAGCTAGTATAAAACCAAACACACATTCTTCCACTTCTGTCAAATTAAAAAATTTTGCAATATTACAAATATCAACACAATTCTGGAGATTGACTTCCGACTGCATGAATTCACAGCAGAATGTGACTACTGACAAAATTTGCAAATGATTTGCTGCAGACAAAATATCCTGCATGTTTTGAACATCCAAATTGACCGATGAAGTGTAAATGAAGTTGAGTACGTGTTGAAGTCCAATTCCACTAAATCCCTTCAAAGTAATAACATCTTGTCGACTTTCTTTCATCTCTGAAGTGAACATGGAACGAAAATATGGGCTACAAGAGGCAAGAACTACTCTGTGAACATTAAACTTATATTCATCAACAACCAGTTGTACATCGCACAAAGATTCGCCAACTCTCATTTCATTGAGACCAACAAGAACTGCTTTCTCATGTGTGTTTGATGTGAAGCAGCGTTGTCCAGATGATCCTCCAATTTGTGGAACGGAATAAGTTGTTGGTGATGCCGTCAGGGCTAGCTGAGCGGAATTGATTCTGGCAGGACTGGTCATGATGTTTTCGAATTTAATAATAAGAATCAAGTAAACACTAAATAGGTTGTTATCCAGACATAAATTAACTGTGAAAAACATATACCGGTAGGTAACAACGACGAATATGTACCATACATCAAAATATTGTATTTTATAAAATACCGGTACAGATTTTTATGTTCCAATTTGGAATACTCCTTAAGTCCTTACTTAGATGGTATTCCAGAAATTGTATAACACCAACTTTGATCATTGGCATCTTAAGCTCTCCTATGGATGATTAATTTTAATTATAGCAAACAGTAATCAAACACAAGAGTGATATGCAAACCATAGTTTCTAATATAAATATTTGTTGATGTTGAAATCAACATGGAGGTTTAGTTTGCAATGATTAAAATTTCATATTTATACTCTTGAATACAATAGCCATTTTTAGCAGTCCATGAGTTTTGTATCAATGAAAACCACTAGCATCTATTGATACAATATTTATCATCATGAAGTGACAAATTAATTAAGGATGTTGAAAATTATATAAAAGGGAAAGGGGCAAACAGAGACAGGGTGTTTGGTTAAAACCCTATAGCTGTAGCTAAAGAAATAGGTACCTTAGCAACTGAGAAAAAACAGCAGGAAAAGGGAGTGGTGCTGGCCGGTAAATATAGTTTGATTTATGCTATGGGTTGGAATACATCATACAAGTTCGAACCGAGCAAAAGTGATGCAAAATCTTTCATTCACACACACACAAGGTTTATCTCATAAAATACTTCAACCCATTGTTCATAACAGAAAAAGAAAATACTGAAGAATTCACTATTCTGGACACATTTCAAAATATGTAATGTATTTTAAAATGACCTAAACTCAACACAAAACTTTTACAAGTTATTGGATATTCACAGCAAAATACATAAAAAAACATAATTGAACATTGTACCGTAGTATTTGATTTTCCCTATTTTTTTTTTTCAAGCTTCGAAGTAAGAATATTTAGCTTGACTGAAAAATGTCGGATAATCCAAATTCTTCAGGAACCTAAATGAATATAACCAATTTCCATGTAGCCTATTCAAATTCTTCTTAAAAATTTTTGGTCCACTTTTATGAGGTGACAAATCTTATTTCAATATCTGATTATCCAAATCAAACTGATAAAGAGTGCCCCGATATTTTACCTGGTATTCAATTCAAATGCAGTAGGGCACAGTTTTCGAATTCAAAGGATGTCCCATCATTTGGTTCAATAAAACAGACACTCCACGTGTCAAACGAGGGGCATCTGGCATAACGACAGATGTGTCATATCGTGCCATGCTTGTCTTGATAATAGTCTAAATTAATCACGGATTCATGGCCGTCACATTTTTTGCTAAAACCTCGAATGCTACAGCAAAAATTTATGTCGATATAGAGGCCTATATTGTCTACTGGTCTAGTGAAGGCGGGGCATGCACTCACTGTTATAATCGATGTCTTTTATTGTGGGGCTTTTCTTGGAATCATAGAACTGTGCCGTACTGAAATGTAAGGCTTTGAAGACCAGCTTGAACATTGTTTGGGTCTTGTATAGTTTAGTACCACAAGTACTTCCAGTTGGAGGCGCAGTTCTTACCACTTCATGGCAGCTCCTGCCACGAACGTACCACGCCGTCTCCTGCCATGGTTTTATGGCGCTATTACCGGTATATTTACAAATTCATGTACCATATTTTAGTTTATCATGCGAAATTATATCTACTTAAACCCTAACCCTAACCCCAAATCCATCCAAACTGTATCCATAAGAAAAACATTCCAACTCACCAAATATTTATCACCATCAGCAGATTAGGGGCAGCCCTGCTATTACAGCCGACCTGCCGTGGTTACGGCAGTAAAATTGGTGGTATTCGATTTGCTGCCGTAACCACGGCAGCTCGCTATTGGTTTGTGGCAGCTAAAAAGTCAGTCGCCGCGGGTTTGGTCTTAGTGGCCGTGGTTTGGAAATCCCGCCATGGTTTTGCGGCAGCTGTAGACGCCACAAAATACTTGAAACTGCACTTGTCCAGTTGGCGTATCAAAACGAATTTTGCATATGTTATTCCTAACCTCCACCTGATTATGCCATCCAAAAATTACATCAATACAACGTCACAAACACGTCATAGGGCTTGCCAAAGAATAATTACGATCGCCTGAAATGGCATCTGCGCCACTGATAATGAACTCGCTAACGCCGGCGATCTCTCTCCTATCGCGATCGTTATGATCATAGAGATATGGTTATGACGGGAAAACGAAAGAAATAGCTTGCTCGATTTCGGGTGATCATCTGCGTGTTTTGGACGACCATCCGCATACTTTGGTGGGCCTTATTACGCCAATGTGACGCCGAAATGATGTGATTTTTCGGTGACGTAGTCAGGTGGGGATTAAGATTGGCATAGGTATGTAAAAATTGTTGAGCCAGGCCAACCAGAAGTGCATGTGGTACTAAACTATACCAGACTCCAATGTTTGAGGGGCACTGGAAAACATTTCAAAAAAGGCCATTAAAAAGCAATTTGCCAGCCATCTGTGACAGTATGAGGAATAATCGACCACGGAATATGGATTATACCATGCCTAGGGCTGGGAAGGAAAACATTTCAAAAAAGGCCATTAAAAAGCAATTTGCCAGCCATCTGTGACAGTATGAGGAATAATCGACCACGGAATATGGATTATACCATGCCTAGGGCTGGGAATTGTTAACCAGTTAATCAGTTCCCCGATTTTAGATTTAACAGTGATTAGATTTAACGGTCACGATTTGGTTTGATCGTTAACAGACATCTGAGGTACAAATCACAAAGCACCTTTTGCATACTGTACGATTTCTTCAAAAAAGATTAATTCATCACAAATTTATCTCCTCCTGTGGCACCAAACACCAACAAAATGTCTCAAGTACAGGTACCGTACCGGTAGGTCATAGGTACCAGTATCGCAAACTACAGAATTCTGGAATTTAGGATAGGATAGGATTTACATATTTATCCCGGGGGAGAGGAAAGCCGATAAGACGGCTTATCCATATGGCGAACCACGGCCTCTCGTCCGGTTACCATTCCAAGTCGGGTACCGGTATGGGATTAGTTTTACTGTATTGTTTGTTTTCGGAAGCATGGACTTGGTGGTGGAGGAAGCCGTAACCGTCCAGCGGTTACGTGAACCACCCAATCTGTTTACTAGGTTTCCGTACTGGTCTAAGGTTACCTACAACGGGACAAGTCTAACATTAGTTAAAAATTAAACATCTGAACATAACATATTGGCCATCTACCTAGGTAAAGCTAGCAGACAGTTACCGGTACCGTACCGCATCGAACCCGCGGTGCCGTGTACCATGAATTGATCGCAAATAAAATGCACAGTTGTCACGAATTTACTTACTGTAATTGCGACACGGTGGATGCGATTATAGGGGTTGCGATTCCCCTTTTTTTAAATCAAAGAAAGACGTAAAATTTAATAAAACAGAGAAAGATTGAAACAATACATTTTGTACTCGGTAAAAAGAATAAATGCCTAGCCGATATAAGTTTTACCCATTTATTGAAATACAGACGAAATCGGTATGTTAGTCGTTGAAGTAGCCTAAGTCTTGACTTGATTTTTTTTGTTTTCAACTTTCAACATCTTCAAATTCAAGAGGAAAGAATTCCGTAGTCTAGGCCAGGTATAGGACATGCTGGCCCACAGATTTACTCATGAAGGGTAGGAGCAAATTGGAATTACTTCTTCGGATGGAGGTATTTTTGGCAAGTATGTGGTCAAAGCAGTTTGGTAGCGCATTATTGTAGTAAAAGTCGAATGTTAATGATAATACTGCAAATGCCATCATATCTCCAATTTAACCGTTATGTGCTTTTCATGGATTAATCATGAGAATACGCGATATACATATAGGGGTACAAGCTCCAAGTCTTGAATAAAACGCACATTGTGAAAGCGGGGTACGATGAGGTAGGGTATAGATAGGAAACTAAAATATGAAGAGTGAGTATGTTTTTTGGATGGATAAATTTTGAAGGGAGAAGACCATCGTCCGTCAGTTTGCGAAGTTCTGAAAAGTTTGGTGAGAGTTCCTCTTTGGGTGGACTGTGCCAGCTTCCCAATACCAATAGACGCGAAAGAGTCACGAGGGATGCGAACCTGCAGGGTAATCAGATGTGCGGGGACAAGCGTATTCCTGACGCTTAGCACGTCTGAGCCCTAATTTAAACTATTGAAAAAAAACAGTTGTTGACTAGTGTCGATATGTGCATGGAGGAGTTGCATCCTTTAACTAAAGTTACCGTATCTTATTTCCAATGGCTTGGAAATATTACTCCATCATTTTTCGTTGTAAAGGTATGAGCACAGAGAATGATAATAGAGAATTCACTCGCGGGTTCAAAGGTCGTTCCACATGAGTAAAGAGGTACGGAAGTAGGAAATGCGATGTTTTTCTCAGCGCGATCTATTTCAGCGTTGGCCGTTTGTTGTCAAGATGTCGCGGGTTCGTATCCAGCCAATCCATCAGTTCAGGGTCATGATTCGGTAGTTTGCTTTCAGAATTAATAAATATGTTTCTTTACTGTATACTATCAATATTGTATTGGCCTCTGCGATTGAAAACCACTGTATTTTACTCTATTTTTATTGGACTGCTATCTTACCATTTATTCTCATACTAAATCGATGCTAAAACCGTTATCTGTCTGAAATCAGCCACATAGCCTAATTAGTGAGAAAAAAAAGGAGTGTTGATTAATTAAAAGTCAAAAGCATTACCACGTTTAGATTGTCAATTTGCACAATCTCTGTAATTAATTATTTTTCACATACCCAGCCTAGCTCTAGTTTATTACTCAGTAACTTATCTTACTTACTGTTATTCATCTGTAATGGCTACTAACGAGATACATGGAATTGTTGAGTTCCTTTTTGAGGATTTCGATAAAATCGAAGAATTTCCTCATTCGAAAGCATCAACACAAGTAAAAAATAGAAGAACTCCGGAAGTTTCCGATGATCAAGTTATAAAATTCGTCAATAACGTAAGATCCGACTTAGAGCTAACATTTGAAGGCTTGAATATTA